CACCTGGAGAGAGTTCAAAGGGAGAAAGCAAGACGGGAGGAGATGGCAAGGAAGCTTCAGGAGCCCGGTGCTGGCCTTCAAGGTGGCAGCAAGAAGAAAGACAAAAGCGAGGCCAAAGGTAGGTCCTTGCTTCACAACCAGCACCATTAATGATCCTGCTTGGCTGGGTCTGGCTGCTTAAGCCCCTTGGTTTTGCCTCCAGACCTCATGTGCGTGGGGGGCTTGGGATGTGGCTACTGGAAATCTGCAAAAGGGGCTTCCCGGAGCTGTGCTGCTTCGCAGCAGCTGCATCACAAGGGTTTTTTGGGGGTTTGTTCTCTGCGTCGAAGTGGGTGCCTAACTCCCCGTGTCTCTTCTGCCCTGTCTGTAGGAAAGCCAGCAGTCAAAACCGGGGCGGAGCGCGCAACAGAAGAAGATATTGATGCTCTGATTTCTGCTGCCATTAAAGCTGACAACACCTGTGGCTTCCCCCGCTGCAAAGCCAGCGTTACAACCCTGGGCCAGCTCTGCCTCCACTGCAACAGGCGCTACTGCCTCAGCCATCACGTCCCCGAGGTACGCCTGGGGCTGGGCAGCTGCCCAGGTGCTCGAGCAGAGTAGGACGTGCCCAGCAGCATGGCTTCAACCTGAAAGTCATCCCTGTTAAGCTCCCCAGGAAAGATTTCCTTGCAGGGAGGTTAAAGCAGAACCAGCTCAAGAGTAGGCTGGTGATGGCCAAAGATCAAAGATTATCCAACTCCAACCCCCTGCCATGGCAGGGATGCCACCCACCAGCCAAGGTTTAGCCTGGCCTTGAGCACCTCCAGGGATGGGGCATCCACAACCTCTCTGGGCAGCCTGTGCCAGTGCCTCACCCCTCTCTGAGTGAAGAATTTCCTCCTAACCTCTGACCTTCTTTAGTCTTCTTCCTTGCCATTCTTCCACAGCTGCTTGAAAGCCCCTTCCTCCTCAGATCTGGGTAGAAAGAAAGGAAGAAGACAAAACTTAAACTGTTGTCAGGCTTTATCTTTTAGTTTTGGTGCCGAGGCAGACAGGTAGGTTTAAACCTCCAGGGCTGGCAGCATGATGCTTCATGATCAGCCAGCCCTGGGCTTTGAGCCCCTGAGGCAGAGCTGATGTGGCTGGTTGGAGGCTGTGAGGTGATGATTTTCCATTCATCCACAGCCTTGTGCTCCCCTCCTGCATCACCCAAGCGTAGCTCTTGGCCACGTGGAGCCTCCCAGGGCTTAGCAACATTTAGCAAGCCGACCTATAAATCATCAGCAGAGATTTTCCCCTTGTCAACTGCTATCTGTTTCCATGGCAAAGAATAGTTGTATTTATGGTCATTCACAATCCGGGTGGGATGTGAATTTATTTCTTGCAGAATCGCCTCTCTCTGTTGAATTGTAATGAGAACTCCAATGAGAAACAATTGGAAGGATAAAATCCCCTTCAGTGAGTTTTTCTTCCCTTTCAAAACTCAGCCCTTTTTCTAGAGGTCATCTGGCAAATAGCCCGGGACCTTCTACCCATGCCTGACCCTCGGGGGGATCAGCAGGGCCAGGAGCAGCTTGCCAGGCACTGCCCACAGCTCTTCTCTGCCACTGACCTGCCCCAGCAGCAGGGCCAGAAATCTTTTACCAGGGCATGGAGAGAACCAGCTGCTGTCTTCTGGGCTGTGTCTGTGTTCCTAAAAACATCAAATGATTTGGGGGCCGACTGAGCAGAAGGGATGAACTTTTCAGAGCCAATTTAGACCCGGTGAAGGTGATTCAAGCTGGTGTTGAGCTTAACACGCGGTTGGGTCACCTTAAACACAACCTGTGCTTCAGTGCAGGCCGGTTTTGTAAAAGGTTCACCTGCACAGAACGAGCCTTCTGATGCCTTTTCTATCATCGCACAGCCCAAACTACCCTAGCGAGGCAGATAACGTGGCTGAAAAGAGCTCTTCTCATTTCCCAAGTCACCTGTCCTGCTTCACTCCTTTTCCTGTACTGAGAACATCAGGGAACGGGAGCTCAGTATTGTTCCCAACTCACATAGGAACCATAAAAGATCCAGCTCCCTCACGTGATGAGCAGGAGTCTCCCCCAAACATTGGAAGTTTCCTGAAGGCCATACTTCAGCTGGCCTAAAGGCCAATTTCCCTGCTGTGCCGATCCCGCAAGGAAAGGAGCCACCTTTTCCTTTTTGTTTCTTGTTAGAGGAGCTGTAAATAAATGGGAAACGGTCTCAGGGAGTACGAAGTAGGTGGGAGAGCACGTCCAGGCTCCAGCCACTAGAAACTCCAGACTCCCACACGTGCCCTGTTTCCCACCCGTGTCTCTCCTCTCTCTCCCCAGGTTCATGGCTGTGGGGAGAAGGCCAAGGCGCACGCACGGCAGAGGATCAGCAGGGAAGGGGTTCTCTACCCTGGGAGCGGCTCCAAAGACAAGTCCCTGGACCCCACCAAGAGGGCCCACCTCCAGCGCCGCCTGGACAAGAAGCTCAGCGAGCTGACCAGCCAGAGAAAGAGCAAAAAGAAAGACAAAGAGAAATGAAGGTGCTGGTTACTTCTCTCCGACAACCCAGATCTTTTCTTGGGTTAACAGCTCAGGCTACGAACACCAAAGATGCACTAAAGGGTGGTGCTGAGCCCCAGAGGGAAAGGGGAGCTCGTTCTGGGTGGCAGACAGCTTGGAGCCAGCATGCCATAGACTGCTGAATAAAGAGTCACCGGGCCTCTGGAAACCCCGGAGCTGCTACGGAGGAAGGAGAGCACTTTCCTTTGCCCCAGTTACCCTTATTGACAAAGTAATGGATGTACACAGAGAGGCTGCAGCGTGCCAATAAAGACGGATATTAAAACACCTAAAGCAATCAGCTGTCACTGTGACATTTCTCCTGCTCCAGCAAAAAGATAAATGCCTGTGGGCAGTAGTGGGGGAGGAACTGAAAGGCCCCGGGTGACCCTCTCCTCTTCTCTCAGGGAGGATGACTAAGGAAATGGATGCTTCCAGCTCTGCCCTCCCAGCTCCTGTCCCTCCTGGACCCATTACCTGGCCCTGTACCCCCTGAAATAATCCATCCCCCACCCCGCTCGCTGCCTGCTGAGCCTCAGCTCTGTAGCATCTCCTCCACAGCCCCCAGCGCCGTTGGCCCCTCTCCTCAATGGCTCGAGGAGGTCCTGATGAACCACAGTTCTTGAACCACCCCCGAGAAGTGGCTCAGAAAGCCACTTGCTGTCCCCAGGGCAGCAAACAAGTCATTCTAGGAGGAAGGGAAAGCTGCTGAGAAGCCTGCACAGAGGAGGGCCTGGAAGAGGAGCAGCAAAACCACCAAACCATGCATGCCTTGGCATTTAAGAGCTTTGCAGCTCTTGCCCACTGGCGATTTCAGCCTCACTGAACACCAGGGGAAGGCACTCATCTCATCCTGACCCAAAAAAAAAAAAAAAAGCTCAGCAATTTGCAGGGGCTGCACATTAGGCAAACCTTCCTCTTTCTTTCTTCCCAAACACTAGGCGAAGTAGCTAATAAGCACGTTTTTCCCCTCAAATCTCGCTGCCTGTCAGTACCGGCTACGCAAAAATAAACACAACAAGAAGTGATGCTGAGCATCCCTTGGCTCATGCCCCGGTCCCCAGGGTCAGCCATGTGTCAGCTCACCGAGGGACAGCGCCGGCTCACGCGGCAGCGGCGTGGTGGCAGCAGATGGGACCGGGAGGGCTCCTGGGGGGAGAGGTGGGGAGGAGGGAGAGCGTGGGAGAGAGAAAATCTGTGCCTCTGCCAGCAGCGCTGGGTGCGCACGGGGGAAGGAGTCAGCGCAGCACACGCGAGGGGTTGCGTGGGGGAGAGAAATCGCAGCCTCGTGCCAAAACAGCGGGCAGACAGGGAAGAGAGAGGAGCAAAGATCACCGCCAGCTCAGGGTACCACCGCGGTATTATCTTTAATCAGGGCAAAATGGCTCATTCACACTTTTATATACTTTTTTTTCCCAGATCAAATCATTCAAGCAACTCATTCCCTCATGTAGCCCACCCCGTGGAGGCAGCTCCGTGGCAAACAGCACCCCCAACACACACACAGGTTTCCCTGCCTGGTTTTCTGCAGGCAGAGACCAGCCCAGGCTCTGCTGAGAGCACATCCCCAGAGCATCCTCTGCCTGCCAGCTCCCTCCATCTGTCAGCCTCCAAAAAACGGGGGGAATCGGCTCCCCAAAAAAGCTAACTTTATGCAGGGGACCTTGCTGGGGACAGGAGCCCACAAGCAGACAGTGCCCAAAGAGGTATTTTCCCCTCCTTTCTCCCTGAAAGAGGAGATGGGCTTAAAAATTAGGAACTGGGGAGGGGTCTCTGGTGCCTGCTGAACTTGGCCCTGCTGTAGGGGCAGCCCAGGGGTTATCTCAGCTGGGGAAAGGGCTGGGGTGGGGACAGGTGCCCCTGCTCACATTTAACCTACAGGGGATGACTCAGGCTGGACTCGACCTCAAACCCAAGGGGTTTAAAGACCGCTCATGAAGTCCTGACACCCCTCAGCAGCATCTGCCTTGATTTATGCTGCTGGAAAGGCGATGGAAGGAAAGAAAAGATAGATAACAACCGTTTGTTTTTTTTTTTCTGCTGTTATTTCTCCCTTCTTCCTTGCAATTTGAAGTGGTTCAACCCTGGTGCAGTGCACTAAAACCCCTCCGAAACCCAACAGAAAGTCCCCACGTGCCGAGAGAAACCGCGCGGTGCCGGCCTTGGTCGCCCCCCTCGGCATTTTCCCCTCGCTTGCCCCAAAAGCGCCTTCCGAAGCAGCCCGTCGCGGTCCCCCCAGCGGTCCCCAGAGGCCACGTTTGGGGTCCCCACCGGTCCGAGGAGCCCTGCTGGGGGGGAGGGCATGCAGGATGCTCGGGAGCCTGGCAGGCAGCCGGGCAGCAGTTTGGGGAGGATTTTGCTGGTTTTGGTCCTTCCTCGGCGGGTCCCTTGGCAGCTCCCAGCGCATGCGGATGGCGAGAGAGACGCGGACAGGAGTTTCTCCATCCTCCTCCCCGTCCAGGCTTTCGGCAGCAGGATGCTGGGGCCGAGGCGTGCCAGCAGCTCTGCCCTTTGGGGCCAGCCCCAGACCTCTGGGCACGGCCCTCAGCCGCCGTCGGGGCGCAGGGTCCCGGGGGCACGCGGGGCTCCCCCCCGCCGGCAGCTTTAGTTCCTCCGCAGCGGGTGCCACATGGACACGGGCTTCCTCAGCGTGGCCAGCATCTGGTTCCAGTGGGTGATGCCCATGCCGCTGGCCGCCGGGCCGATGAGGACGTGGCCCGTGTTGTCGGCACGGCCAGTCCTCGCCGCTCTCCGCCACCGTCACCCGCAGGGACAGGTCCTGTGGGGGCAGAATGCCCCATATGTACGTATCCCCACACCACCAACCACACGTGCAGGTAGAAATGTGCCCCCCCCCCCCCAATACCGTCCCATATACATCCCACCCCATAAACGCACATCCACCCAAACCCCGTGCATTCCCCTACACCCCCGCCCCCCTCGTGCACATATCCCTACATCCTCCCCCCCACATACTGGGAAACCACGTGTGCCCATCCCCACACACAGCCTTACCCTTTACATACCCCCAATACCTCCCACCCCACATGTACTCATCACCTTACCTCACCCCACACCCCCTGAACCCATAAATGCACCCACCTACAACCTATGTGAATTCCCTACACCCACACACCCACACAACACATCCCACCAGCAGCCATACCCTGCGCATACACGTGTCCTCCTACAGCCATACCCCATCCATACACATCCCCCTGCACCCCAAAATCATAAACGCCCATCCCTACACACACACCCTCACCCGATTCCTGCACCCCTGTACCCCCACCCCATCCATACGCTCCCTGCTGAACCATACAGGCACCCTACACCCCCTACGATTCCCTCTCCCCCCCTAGCACAGGGATTTGGGGCCCCGTGGAGCAGGACCCCCAGGCTGGGACGGACCTGGAGCACGATGGCCGGCACCGAGAAGATCATGGCCTCGTTGAACACGGGGTTGTTGTCGTCCCTCTTCACCGCCGTCTTCTTCTTGCTGATCTTCCTCCCGTCCTGCAGCAGGTAGACCTTGACGAAGGGATCTGCTCGGGAGAGAACAGCCTCAACGTGGAGCCAGCGACCTCCCCGGGTGGCTCTGCCGCCCCGAGGCAGCACGGGGACACACGGGGATGAGCACCCTGCTCACCTGCGGTCACTTTGCCGTTGGACCACACGAGGTTTTTGGCTTTGACCACCACCACCGTCAGCCGCTCGGCCGTGGGCAGGTAGCTCAGCGACAGCAGGATCTCCCCCACCGTGTCCACCGCCTGCGGGACACACCAGCCCTCCAGGAGAGGGACACAAAAACCCCAAAACACCCCAAACCCGGGCACGCAGAGCCTCGCCACCACCCTGCTTCACCTTGTTCATGTCCTGCAGGTAGAGCCAGGCGTTGAAGGGGCGCAGGGCCAGGTCCAGGTCGGAGAGCTTGAGCTCGGCCACGCCGGTGCTGACGTTCCTCTCGTCCTCGTCGATGCCGAAGACGGAGAAGCGCAGGCTGTTCTCCTCCAGCGCCGCCGGGTCCAGCGGGATGGAGAAGCGCTCGTCGAAGGCCACGGCGTAGGCGCTCCGCTGGATCTGCCGCGGGGAGAGCCAGGGGCTGGATGGAGAGGAGCCCCCCGTACCACCACCACCATCCCCTCTGCCCACCTCATACCCCCCTGAGACCTCCTAAGGAGACTTCCCTGCACTCCCCTCGTCAGCTCTGCCCAACCTCTGCAGTCCCCAGGGGATTGAAGTGCCTCTGAGGGAAAGGCAGAGCTGCAGAAAATTGGCTTTATAGCACTGATCGCTCTCAGTCTGCAGCCTACGATGTGTTTGGGGGACGTCTGGATGAAAGCTACTGTAAGAAATTTTAGCCATCATTTAAAAGTAAAGCAAAAACAACGAAAAAGCAGGTACTGCAGAGCATTAAAGGGAAAAAAAAGACTTTATGACTTGTCTCAGGATTGCAAAAGAGGGTAAATAGGGCTGGTAAATTATGAATAATGATGCTAAATAATAAATATCTCCGGAGCGTAAATACAGAACCTGATGTTAGGATGGAAAAATGGGTTTAAACGAGCACTGGGAAAATATTTCACTGTCTTTTTGTGCGCCTCCACCCCCAGGGAATTGGCGTTCTTCGGTGGGATGGGGATTTCTGCTCCTTTCTGGAACAGCCTGATAAAATCAAGCTGGCAGACCCAGAGGCTTTCCAAAATCCCTCTGCAAAAAGCCAAGTTGCCAAGAGGCAACTGGGGGCTTCCTGCTTTCCCAGAGCACCTTCTGGGGTGTTCTAAAAAAAAAATAATAATAGTAAGGAAGGTTTTTTTTCCCCCAAAAACAGCTCTGATCATGCCTGCAAGAAGGAGGCAGGAACGCCAAGGCAGCCCCGTTGCCTTTTAATCTGTCTGTGCAATATTTTTGGCCACCCCATCACATGCAGAGAGGGACTCCAGGACTCATTCCCCTCCAGTACCCCATCCGGGACCCCCACCACCCAAAAACCCCGCAACCAGCCCCAAACTCAGCACAGATGAGCCCGGACCCCTTTCCACCCCAGGACCCGTCAGCACCCTACACACCCATATTCCCCGCGTGGGGTTTTTGGGGTAGGAGCCGCTCACCCGGGAGATGCCGACGATCTGCTCAGCCGGCAGCAGGCTGATGCGCATGAAGCAGGACTCGAAGCGCGTGTCCTCCTTCTCCAGCAGGTCCTTGCCCTGCAGCAGCGTCACGTGCAAGGTGGCCGCCTTCCCGTCGTACTCCATGGACACCTCCACCTGCCCCACGGTGACGTCCTGCCCGAAGTTGTTCCCGATGGAGGAGATGGAGCTGAGCGAGTCGGCCGAGATGGATTTCTTCAAGGGGCCATAGGGGGCCAGCCCCAGGTCTTTGCTCATCAGCTCCAGGCTCCCCAGCTCATTGATGCTCTCGAAGGTGTCAGCCGCCCGCAGGCTGGCTTGGCGGACGGGCGACGTCTTCTCCAGCCCCCTCTGTGAGCCCATGGTGGCCCCGCGCTGCGAAGGAGAAGCGATCACCACCACTCGGTCCGAGTTCACCCCAGGAGCAGCGCTGAGCCCAGCTCTCCACCCCCAATTTATTCATTATTTTTACCTTGTGCTTGACATCCGAGCACGCCGCCCCGTATTTCTGCTCCAGGTAGCGGTAGTCATAGTTGGGGAAGGGGGACGGCGCCGGGTAGCTGCCGGAGCGCCAGAGCTTCCACAGGTTGAGGGCCGCGATCCCCAGCAGTGCCAGCGCGCCCGCGGCGTAGATGCCGACCTCCCAGCGCGGCGGGCTGGCGGCCACTGCAAGGGGACAGAGGCACCGTGAGCCACCCGCGGAGGGGGCTTCGGCCACGTCCCCGCCAGGAGCTCCTCATCCCCTTGATATAGGATCAGCTGCAGGGGCTGGGAATTAATTGAGGCTGCCCGTGGGTTGAAAAAAGGTGGTTGGCAGTGCTCTGCAAGCCTAAAGTGGCAGATTTTTGGCCAAGCAAAATCTGGTGAGGTGCAGGTGAGTTTCTGCCCCGCTCCCCACAGGTAATGCTGGTGAGTGGCTGCAGCACCCCCAGGACTGCAGGGAGCCCCTGGCAGCTTGCAGCAATCCCACATCGCCTCCACGCTGAAGGGAACTGCTCGGGATGCCAAAAAAAAATAAAAAGAAAAAAAAATAGGAATGGGAAAAAAAAAAATTGGAAATGGGGGAAAAAGAACCCTAAGGGTAAGCGATGGGGGATGCAGAGGAAAAAGCCCGGCTGGAGGCTGCGAACTGGGTCGGCTGCGATGGCACAGGAGCCGTCGGTGCTGCATTGCAGCAGCCTCCATCGCCCGAGCGATTCGAGCAGCGCCGGTGGCTCAGCCTAACATGAAGAACAGGAGGGGAGCCGGGAGCGGGGGGAAGAGATTTGTGGTTACTGAGCGCTGCCGGGGGCCCCCCAGCGCTGCCTCCTGCGTCACGCCGCTGTGCTCCTGCCTTCAGCTTCAGCTTTGGAGGCAGGAGCCGAAGCCAGGCTGGTGCCTGCCTTTTTTAGGGCAGAGTGCCTAATATTGCAAAGTTTACTCATTTTCCTTTTTCAATTAAAAAAAAGTCAGAAGATTTAACTCCATGCTCACGTGCGACACTGAGGGGCTGCTGCTGAAAGCAGCAGGGACCAGCAGCCCTCCTGTGGGGCTGTGTGTGCCAGCACCGAGGGCTCAGCCCGTTCCCAAAATCCCTTCCCCGAGCTCCTTAAAGCACTCACCGCTCAGGCGGTACCTGCCCGCGTGGTCGCTGTCCATGGCAAGCACTCCCCGCTAGTGGGACAGCCTGCAGTGCACAGGGAAAAGCAGTTAGGGTAAGAGGAAAAAAAAATAATTATTTTTTTGTTCTTTCTAAGCAGGGATGCTGAATAGTCTCTTGGTGACTTTTCTCTCTTACCTTCCTCACCCGGAGGGGTTTTCCCAGGTGAATTCTACGTGAGAACCAGCTTAAACACGAGCAATTTTCCAAACTAGACCTGAACCACGCTCATGGCCAGGGAGGGAGAGCTGGATTTGCCTGGTGGCTGAAGGTGTGGGCACCACCTTCCAGCTCAGCTGGGCTATCGATGAATTTGGGTATCAGGCCCTGGTAGCCTGATGTGGCTGGCAGACCTCCGCTAAGGGCAACGGGGTCCAGCAGGAGAAGGGTTTTCTGAAGGTAACAGAGTCACAAAGCATCCCGAAACAGCAGCAGGGCTCGGAGATGCCCACCTTGTCCCCACCTCATACTTGGCTGAGAATGGGGACCTCGTGTCATCCCCGGGCTGAGCACCACGGGGGCTCGCCCAAATCAGCCCCTTTTATCTGCTGGAAAACCACCTTGCCTAAGAGGTTTCCTTTTCTGGCTTTTTGATACTATGCAAACAAACGAAGTTTAGAGGAACGAGTTTCCCTGCAAAAGTGCAAATATCCCCCGTCAAAACACTCCGTTTCCTTCAAAGCCGTGCCCCCCGTGACAGCGTTTTCTGAGGAGCTGTGAGGACAGGCAGCAGCTCCAGCAGCTTTCCGAGGCATCCCCAAGAGAGCCGCCGGCTGACTGCAGCGTTCAGCGGAGGAATTAAATGAGCTGGTATTTCCCCCAGCAGCGAGACGACATCAGCCTTTCCTGGGCACGCAAACGAAGGTGCAACCAGAGCTCGGGAGATTTACAGCTTTCTGTGTCAAGCCAGGCTTTCCCCACCTGTTTTTTTCTTTTATTTATTTTTTGTTTGGTTGGTTGGTTTGTTGTTTTTTTTTTTTGTTTTTTTTGTTTTTTTTTGCTTGGTGGGACAATCAGGATCCAGGTATTGCAATAGGTTCAGGGCATCTCTGCTCTCCTAGAGAGCTGCTGCGATGGGACGTGGGGCAGCTCCTGCTCGGGGGGATAAAACGGCTCAAAGGGGGAGACCTGGCACTGAAGCCATGTGTCTGCTGGGGGAGAGGGGCAATTCCCTCAAAATCAAGAGGGCTGACACCCCACTGGCCCTCGCTGCTGTGCCCAGCCGAGGCTAGAAGACACTTGCACAAGGGGTCTGCGTGGTCCCAGCACGTATCAAGCACCGTGGGTAAATCCAGGACACCCCCCAGAGCAAGCTGCAACCCCCAAAAGTCATAACCCAAGTTATAAATGGCAGCAGTGATCTCTGTGCAAACCTTGCCCACTGCCCCTGGCCACCCAGCATGGGTGAGCTCCGTCCCCTCCACCCTCCAGCACCGTCCCCACATCCTGGGCTGGGAGCGGAGCTTCTCCATCCCCCCAGTCCATCCCCAGCCTCCTGCCAGAAGGTGAAAGCCTCGATCCACAAGGCAGAAAAGTAGGATGGGGGTTGCTGATGGTGAGTTTGTTAAAATAAATAAATAAATTAAAAAAAATAAAATAAATAAATCCAAGACCTGACCCAAGAGGTTGGGCTCTGCCCCTCACCATCCTGAGCCCTGAACGCGATCCCACCGCGCTCCCCCTCCCACAGTTACTGCTGCAGAAGGTGAGGGCAGCAGCCACCTCCGCGGCAGACCCCACTCCAGGCACCAAACCATGCCCCTATCTCCCTGTTTTTTCACCCAAAGAGGACCCTGCACCACCCCAAGCCTCCCGCAGCCCCAAGGCTGCACTCAGTGGCACCGGCGCTCCGAGGGGCTACGGAGCCACAGCGGGCACAGGCCTGGATCTGTCCCAACACCAATTGCTGGGTATTTTTTTTTAATTTTTATTTTGCTTTAAAAGCAGGGAAAAAGGAAATCCTCGGGACCCTCCTCACCTCCATCCTTAGCCGGGCAGCAGCAGTGTTTGCATCCCCGGCAGTGCCTGGGAATGCAGCAGTGCCCAGCCCAGCGAGCCGGGGAAGCCGGTGCTGAGCCCAGGGGACGATGCTGAACCCAGGGGGTGGCTTTGGGGTCGAAGCAGCCCCCAGCTCCTCCGAGGGGTGCCAGGCTGAGCTCCTTCCACGGCAGGAATTCCCAGCGCGATGCCAGCCTGGGCTCCTCGCACCGGCTGCGGGGCACAGCGCCTGCTCACAAGTGCAACGAGCTGGGCAGCCTCTGCCCCGCATCACCCAGTGCCAGGAGGTTTTTTGCCCTAAAGGTTTGGCCCTAAAGCAGCCCAAATCCCCGACCGGGGAGCAGGGGCCCCAGTCACGTCACGTTTCTGTAGGGTTTCTCTGGAAAAGCGTTTCCCTCCTGGTTCATCCTCACGGCACCACAGCCAGGGCATCGCTCAGCTCCGGGGTCCTGCATCTGCACCCACCCAGCATACCCCAAAATCGCCCCCTCCTGCCACCCAGGGACCCCCAGGTCCCCCCCAGCACCCTCTGCTCCCCCCTCGTAGCACCTTTCAGCTCTGCCCTTGCCCCCCCCCAAGGTATTTTTCTGCTTCAGGACCCGTGTGCAGGAGGCGACGCGCATTGCAATAAGCTCAGAGAGCTGCACCGGCGAACCCCCCCAAAATAAATAAATCAGTAAAAAAAAAAAATAAATGAAAAATAAAACCGCCACCCCAAAACACTGCAAGGGGGCGAGAAGATGCTCTGCAGGGGTCGCACCCCCTGCCTGGGGGGGGGTGGCACGGACCCGACGGGGGTTTTCCCCCCCTGCTTCCCCCTCTCCCCCTCTATCACCACCACCACCAGCAACCCCGCGTCTCGGACTCACCGCTCCTTTGGGGAGAAAAGGGAGAAAAAGCTCATTTTGCGGCCGGGGGGGTGCTGGCAGCGGGCGGCTGGAGCGGGGACTGCGGGAGGGGCCGCCCCCTCCCGCCCCCCAGGTGCGGCCCCAGCCGCCGCCCGCCCCCTGCAGCCCCCGGCCCCGCCGGGCGGGTTTGGGATCGGCTGCTCCCCCCCCCAAAACCCCTTCCCCGGGTTTGGGTTTCCCCCGGCCACCGGCATCCTTCAGCCCCGGGGTCCTGCGTTAGATAAGGGATGGGATGAGAGAGATGCAGTGAAAACCCAAATCCTCACCCCCCCCCCTTCTGCCCCCCAGGGACCCCCAGCTCCATCCCCAGCCCCTCTGCTCCCCTCTTGTCGCATCCTTCAGCTCATCCTCCAGCTGCTTCAGGAGCCGTATCCCCTCCTCTTCCCTCCCGCAGGGGTGATGCTCTCCTCCATAAGGCTTTTTACGGGCTACGGCTTGAAATTATTACCCCAGAGCCCAAGGTTTGGCTCCTCTCCTGTCCTTAACGCGGGTGCCGGGGCTTCAGGTCCCTTCCCACCACTGCAGGACAGAAACCACCACGATCCTCGCCCCCGTTTCACCCCTGGACTCTGCCCCTTCAGCCACAAATCCCATGGGTTCTCCTCTCCCTCAATGCAGCACAAGTCAAAGGCTCATCCTGAAAGTGCCAATTCCATGGGATTTGTCCCCAAAAAGCCCTTTGATGGGAGAGCAAAAGCTCAGCACCCCCTGGCAGGCCCCGTCTGCTGTGGCAAAGGAACTGGTCAGCAGCCAAACCTCCCCCAGGTGCTCCTGTGGGGTGGGGATAGAGAGCCTCAGAGCCCCGTGGGCAGCCTCTTTCCTACCCCGAACACCAGGCCACAGCTCTGTAGGAGTGAGAAGTAATTCCAAACAGAAAGATTCAATTTGCTCAAATTAGGAAAAAAAAAATAATAATCGCAATTTGGGGAGGAAAGAAAACCTTTCACCCCAAGGAAAAGGCCAGCTCACCTGGTGCACAGCAGCACGATGCTCCAGGAGCTTTGCTTCCCAGGAAAACCCACCAAATCCTTCCTGTCGGAGAACTCATCTTTAGGGAGAGATGGGTTTTAATTTTCTCATAGTTAAAGAAACAAATCCCAACAATACATTGAATTTCGGCTGCAGCCCCTTTATGGGTGGGAGCTGAGCCTTGTCCCCCAGCTGAGAGCCCTCTCCAGGAGCACAGGTTCCCCCAAAAGCAGCCCTTCCTCCAGACGTACAAAAAGCAGCTGGAAATGGAGCTGGCCAGGGCTTCTTCCCTCCTCAGCTCCCAAACATAGGAGAGGAGAAGTGTTCCCAGGGGCCGGCAGCCATCCGTCTCAGCCCCGGACACCAGCACCCTCTTGTGGGGCCTCCTTGGGCTCAGCCCCGTCCACAGCTGACCCCCAGAAAGCTGGATTTAGCCAAATTTGGTTTGGCCAATATCTCACAGCCATCAGAGAGCAACATAAGGCACCCAAGCAGCCCTATAAATCATTTTTTTAATGCCACAGGGACACGGCTGAGGTACCTCAAGCAGCTTCTGCTTGCAGCAGCATACTCAGCCTGCTTGCTGGGAAGTAAAGAGCTCTTTATTTCTGGTCAAAACCCTCCTGGAAAAGCCCTCCAGCAGCAGCCAGCCGTGCGTCAGGCATTTTCCAGGTGGTTAAACCATCACCCACCCCCCTGTGCTGCTGTTCTTACACCTTCACCTCTGGAGGGCCTCACCCTTTATGTGCTTCTTGAGCCTCTGCTAATTTACCTGATTCACTTACCCTGCCCCATCTGAATTCCCATAGGAAATACCACCCAGAGCAGTGCTCTGCAGAGTTTTAAGTCTCATAATAATAATAAAACTTAGCCTTTTAAGAAATAAATACCTACACAAACACACACACAAAAGCAAACCACCACCACGCACGCAATGAACATGCTTGAGCCTAAAGGACAAACAGGCAGGGATGGATGAACAGAAGGCAAGAAGCATTCTGGAAGGCCAGCATCCAAAATCTCTGCCCGCTGAAGGCTCCCACCAGCACATGGAGGTACCTCGGAGGATGGAGCACTGCAGAAGAGCACCAAGGGATGTGTCCTCCCCAGGCTTGCCTCCTTGCAGGAACTAAATGGCTGCTGCTCCTTCACCTTGCAGACCCATGCAGGGGGGCAAGGGCCATTGCCTGCTTCTTTAAAATCCAGCTTAAAAATATATATATAAAATAAGGCAGTAGCTGTGTCAGAAGCTGTTGATGACAGAGGCGGATGAGACTCAGCGCTTCAAAAGCGATATCCCTATTGCCTTCCCATCTGGGAAAAAAAAAATCCCATCCCACGTGTAGGTACTGCACTGAACACACCAAGAGGAACCCTCTGGGACTTCCCTGCTTTCACAGCCAGAGCCTGGTGGCTGCTCGGTGGTCTCCTGCCCCGTCACAGCACAGACTGGCAGCGAGGAGTCAATGCCACTGTCACCGGGTCTGGCACGAGATGCGTGTGCTCATCACTGGTGTTTTGGGGTATCAGACTTTGGGGGGTCCATTCTCATCGACCAGAGCCCATGCAGGAGTTGATTCAGCATTAGCTGAGTATGTTTTCACTCACCTGAACAGTCTCCCTGCATTTTCCCTTTTTAAACCAAAAACTTACCATTGGTAAACTTCACTACGAATATTAGGGCGCACCCACACGAGGAAGCTACCTCGTTCCAGTTTTCTGAAAAGGAAGGTGAGCTAAGGAAGTGTGCAGTAAGAGAAGGATGCGCATGGACATGGGAGAGTCACCTCTCATCTCCACAGGGGTGGTCTCATCTTATGCCACTGCAAATATTGTTTAAGTAAAGCTTCTCAGCTGTCCTTTCATCATCTCCGTATGAGGTTGCTTTTGCCTGCTTCTCAGAGAGATGATGACAAAAGGATGTCTAAAACCAGGCAAGATTTCAATGATTAGAGCCCGCCTGCAACACTGGACATGGAATCTAGAAAGGAAGAACCGAGACTGCAACACTATTCAATGCGTTGTGTGCACCGCTCACGTCCACTTTACCGTGCAAAGATCACCCGTGTAAATGTCCTGCAAGAAGTTTCTGAATTGCAAGAGCTGACCAAGGGCTTGTACCACCCATTTCCCTGAAAATCTGGACACGATGGTTATCTTAAGGCCCAAGACCTGTCACAAACAGCACTGATGCATTTGGCAGTTTTCGCAGCAAGGGGAATTCAAAGCAATTCAAAGCACTTTTGAGGCGACGAGGAAGACAAACAGGGAGCACAGACACGTTGTACCAAAGGACACACCAGCAAACATCACTTTATTACACCGGTTCAGTTATCCAGACTAACCATAAGAGCCATGTAGATGGATGTAGACAAACACAAGTCAGTGTCTTACGTGCGAGGTCGAAGCTCCAGAACTGTTACTGGGAAGGGGTACGCTTCACCAGCTGCTTCAGATGTACACGTGTGGCCCTTCAGTGGGGCAGGGAGGAGGAAGGTGCAGCAAGAGACCCCTCCCAGGTGTGCCTGCTACCACCCAGCTCCTGAGACAGCCTCGAGGTGGTCGTGGGGCAGAGATCGGCGGGGCAGCACAGTGATAACCAGCACAGATGGAATGGAGATACACCGACCTGAGCCTCGCTCAGCTGGGACTACACAAGCACAACGCACTGGTACGAGCTACCAAACGACCAGTTAACAGTTCTTAGGACTGGTAGAAAGCTGGAAATTAGAATGACTCGGGGTGGAAAGGCATGGAAATAAATACTCGCTCAACTCAGCACCATCTGCCCGTTTACAAACTTGCCAGCATCTAGCTGCACGGCCATTTATTCCTCACTACCTCAGAGCAGCAAAAGACTAGGATTTAAGAGCAGCCACTGAGCGACTATCCACAGTACGTTGTACGTACTCGAGGAAGAAGATGGATGCTACCTCTCACACTGGTCATCCTCCTCGCTGTCTGCTAAGTGACTGGGGCAGGCCCCAGGGCCCACGAACTCTGCTTCATTTGTTGAGCTCTTCTGATGCAACCCATTAATTAATTAATGCTCCATTACTTGAAGAGCACCCTACTGCTAGCTGTCCATTCTTTAGGGGTGGAAAATATTTGGGTCACCCTGTAAACCTAGAGAAATGCAGGATTTGGTTGGTTCATGCACAGGACCAAAACCGCTCAGAAATGAAGATGTTTGCTAGCCAGCAGCTCTGCAAGTCTCCTGCCACTTCAAAAGTTTGGGGCTGTGCTCTTTAAATGTTACTGGGGTTGTTTATGTACTTTTCTTCTGGATAAACACTTCCCTGAAAAATATCCTTTAAGAGCCAGATTAGATCATTGTATCTAAAAAGTGATACAGTTACATCAGTGCCTCAGGGGCCAATGCAAAGGCTTAGAGCCGGGTTTACCAAATTGATGCTTAGTTGTAGCACTTACATTTTGGAATAACGACCTGAAAAAATGCAGCCCAGGTTTCTAATTTATTTTCCTAGATGCTGAGTCATGAGCAAAAAAAAAAAAAAAAGCTGTTTAGTTTGGCCTGCAAACCTCCACTACGCACTGCTCAGTGAGGAACGACGCGCGTTCCTCCTGCTTGTTCGTTTTGGCATGGATGGCAGCATGGTAACAACTATTTTGTGCGTGATTGCAGAGAACACCTCTTCCAGTTGGACTCGGGAGGGAGATTGCTCAGCCTGGAGCTACCTCGGGAGGAGAAGGAGGCAGCTCTGAAGGTGGCAGAACAGGACATGCCTTGTACAGCAGACACCAAGAATTAAATCCTCTCGGCAAGCAAAGTAAAAGAGCTGAGAATAAGGCAAATAACTTAAGATTGATGGAGTAACTCCCAGTTTTCTGTTTGTAATAGATTTCACTCCATGAAGCAAATGAAAGGCGGGCTGACCTTTCTTATTTAACCCTCCCTTACATTTAAGAGATGATTGAGATTAAAAAAGTCCTTCCGTCTCCCCAGAGCTGTGACATAACATAAAATTATTGTAAGCTATTCCAGGACATTGAAAGTCAGTTTAGAGAAAGGCAATAACCCCTGCATTACAGGGGCTGTAACAGTAGTGTACTGTATCACATTCTGTGCAAGTTACGCAACTTGTTCACAAGCTTCAGCTTATCTATGTTTTATCTCGCTGCACTTCTGTTAATTGGTGGCTGAACATGTTACACGATCTGACTCCATACCTCAAGGTATTTTCAAGCAGAAGAAAACAAAATTCATTTCCTGTGCCAGTATCTGCACACTCCAAAACAAGTGCTCCTAATGCCCAAATGTCAAAATCAAAATCTCACAGTTTACTGGAAATAGGTCAGCTAGATTCCCTTTGGGCTTTGTTTCAAAGCCCCTTGTCTCCAAACCTTGTTTGCAAGGAAGACATACAACACGCTTGGACGAAGATCCCACCTCGTTGCAATGGTGTTGGTTCTGACTTCCCTCTACACAGACTTTCTCTGACTCTGACTAGGTGTACACAAGGAGAAAGGGTGCGCATGTCAGTGCGACATCTTTTCCCCCAAGAGGACTTTCACACGTTGGAAAACTAACAACGAAACAAGTTAGGTAGGATAAGGTTGAAACTGTCCACCAGGCCAACTTGAGCACAACGAGTTCTTTTTAGCCCTTTGTCCGTTGCTCAAAGTTTCCTTTCCCTTAGTTTGTTCCCATTTTGTTCATCCAGTATTGAAGAATGTCCATCACCATTGCTCAAGCACTTGTCCTTTTCATATTTATGTTCTTGCTTCTGTCTTCTTATTTCTTTATACCTCAAGGTGATGTCACTAAAAAGAAAAAACAAACAGATGTGTATACCAGTGATGTGAATAAACAGTTTCAATATACAATAAAAACAATAAACCAGTTCTGTTCTGAATGCAAGCGCCCTTCGGATAACTTAACTCATTTTGGCTGGAAATTTCTGAAATTGCTGATGGCATTAATTCATTTGAGATTTGTGTTTCTTGCTAGTAGTCTGGCTACTTTCACTTCTTTTCAGAAGCATAACACAACAGCAAGTTCAACAGCAACCTGTTGCACAGGGCCTGCTCCAGAGATCACACTGTAATTCTTTCAGCCTTGTATTGCTGCTATTATTATTTTTTTTACACCTGCACAGAGCAGCATCGAAACCCAAGGGGTTTAAGTTGGCTCACTTGTTGCTAACATTAGGACAGCTTGGACGATTGCAGTGCAGTACTGCTCTTGCAGTGAAGCTGTAAACATCTTAGTCTTGTCTAAATCACAGCATTTAGAAGAGCTGTAGTCCCTCTTCAGGAGGCACTGAAGCATACATCTGACATTCAACACGCTGTTGAACAGAAGCCTAGAGCGGTCCACCCTTAAGATCCAGGCCAGACCTGGACGCAGCACAACCCCTTCTCACCGAATGAAGAAACGCCAGGCTGTCCAGGTGAGTACAAGTATAATCCCCAAGATCCAGCACTGGGTAATGTAGAAAGGAAGCGACAGTGTGAGCGTGTAGGGATCGTACTTCACGACGATCAGGAACTCTGTAGCAGTAATAGCAGCAACCAGCCAGGCCTGCTGACCCAACTTCTTATGGAACTTCCTGCAAAACAAATGCAGAAATAAAGCAAAGCCATTACTATCAAACTAAGCATTTGGAGAAACATTCATTCATAAAAAGACAGCTGGGGCAATAATTTCATTTAGCTTTGCACAATTCTGTAAGTCTGGTCTGGATTACACACACACACATGCAGGCTGACAACTTCCACGTTTGTATTAATTTCCTCTCAGAGACCCTGAAAACACTTCAGAAGTTAAACTCCAACATTTCATGATGCAAGGAAGTACCTCTACTTTCAGAGTATTGGTAAATCCAAGTAAAAAATAATTATTTAACCAGCTTGAGATCAGCTAAGGTTCAAGGTAAGATATGAAGCAGGAGCACTACTCCTAGATTACTCCTGCAAATCCCAAGTCACACTGCCATACCTGTATTTAACCCCTAGATCATTAATAGCATTCTGAAATTTACTCTTCCCAAGTAGGTGTTCAGTGAGCTGTCACTAATGACCTCTAAAGGGATTTTAAAAGAAGAAAGCTTAATAACAACAGGGTAAGTCACTGGGAGACACAGGGTGTTCTACTTCTAAGACAACACAAACTTTAAGCAAAAACATGCTTAATATTTAATCCCCAGGGTTTGTTTTTAAGCAGGAGCAGACAAGCAATTTAGAAACTGCACTGTTCTGTACAAGCCTAGCGAAGGAGTGTACTAATCAATCACTACTGCTAGGAATTAAACCGCAGTACAACCAAGACATCTATTTAGAGGCTCTACTGGCAGAACAAGAGATTGGAGATAAGCTATCTTTTGGGCCACCTACTCCTGCATGGGAAATACATAAAAATAAAATACCTATTGACTGCCCTTCAAGAAATGTCAGTATCCTCACCCAGGTTTCTAGCAACAGTCTGACTGTAAGTTGCTTGATCTCAACGAGCTAGATCATGCATTTCTTGATCCTGTCTGTTAACGTCGTTTCTAGACTTGACATTTTTCCCTTTTACTAACCTGTCAGACCAGCTGATTTATATAGCAGATGTAGCTCTGTTTGGGCAGCACAAGACCTTTTCTCTGCCTAGGGTTGCACTGGCATCCTGCCCACCGCAGCACCACTGGTACATGTGTATTTGCTGCCCAACAGCACAACCAAGTAGGTGACTTCCACTTGGTAGACTAAAGCTTTGTTCTTCTATCACCAACATTCTGAATCTTGTCTGCCCTCTCACTTATCATAGCGTGTTCTGACAGAGATTTTCCTACCAGGCCATTTCTCTTTTGTCCAGCTTACTGTGTTTCTCCGCTCCTACCGCAGCGTAAGATGCTGAGTGAATCATATCCAGGAGCACCTCAGTGTAAAGTGGCAGAATTACCAGGGCAGGACAAAGGAGATGGGGAGCAAAGTGTTTTAACAACCTTCAGTGGGCTGGGGAGAGAGAAATGGACATGTTAAGGTGACCTCTGCAGTGCTTCTAAAGCATTGCAGCAACAAGAAATTCTAGCTGGGCCTGTACACTATGGCTTAGGCACTGGCTTAGTAAATGCTGCACTACTCAGTGGCCACGTAAAACCTTGGGGCTGTATTTCCTTCCCAGTTTTGCCACAAAATGGACAAAAGAGAAGCCACCTAACAAATCCCTGATTAGGAGTACCCTTGGAGAGGGGCTGCTCAGCTAATGCTTCTCTCTGTGAGGCAGAGAAACAAGCCTGCCACCTCCAGCTAATAACAACACCCAGCTCGCTCACATCAGAACAGACCTCCAGGCATCCCCAGTAGTGCCGGGGAGAGGGAGCTGCAACTGCACATTTGCTCCCAACTTCTCTTCCCTTCTTTTCATATCTGTTGCCAGCAGCTGCATTGAGAGCAGCCTTCCTTTAGCAGGCATTTTGCTGCTGCTCATACACATGGAATACATACTCCATCAAATCCCCATGGAGTCTCTGTATCTGGAAAAAGATTTAAGCATGGGAAACAAACAGAGCTTCTCTTCACTCTCCTGTGATGCTTTCCTGAATCTAGGGGAGTCACAGCAAGTCAAGCACACAAAACACACGTTTTCTTTAACAAGAGGCCTGAGAGCCATATTTGACACCAATGCGTAAGTTCAAACTACACAACATTGACCAAATACACTGAAAAAATACGATACAGGAAACCAAGTGTGGATTATTGCTGATGCAGATGGGATGAGTGCATTCCACTTTAAAAAAAATATTCTGCCTAGACCAACTCAAGGTGAAAGGACTTCAGAAACTGCTCCAGGTGATTTACCTGAGATTAACCAGGCAGAAACTAGCCGTAACACATGAACAGAGGGAAAAAAAAAGAAACATCTCTCACTGTGAATTCAAGCTGTTCAGATGACTGTCTCAGCTTTCTGCTTTGCTGATCTGCATCCTGATTTGCCATTTTCTTTCACTAGCTTATGAGAGCACACTGACAGAAGAATCAAGGTAACCCCAACAGAGAGCTGTGCAGACCCTAAGGCTGCCAAAGAAGAGACATGGTTCTCCTCTCATGACAGTTTTTAAAGAAAATCCTATTATTTTATTTATTTTTTAAAAATTTGATGAATGAGTTTAAAATTCATGGCCTTAACGCAGACCCCTTGGAAGAGACATGAAGACTAGAAACCAGGAAGGCATGGCAAGGTCAGCTGCTATAGGTCCTCTTACATTATGGCATTTCTGGTCAGGAACATTTCATTAGCCAGTCCTCAAGAACTCCAGAGGCAGAGCATATCAGCTGGAATAGGAGCACAGAATATCTAAGAGTTGGAGAACAACTTCAAGAGCCACCTCTCTCTTGGACTATTCCCTTCTAGATACTTTTTTGTCACCATGCTCAGATCAAGTTCCTGCAAGTAGTCCTACAACTCTGCTGATACTAAGAATTGTGAATGAGAAAAAGGAGTTTTCATATTTGAACTTCACAACATTTAGTTCAGAAAGTAGAAATGTTAGCTGAAGAGACCTAATCGGTTTATCTCAGACAATCCCATCAGTAACAGACAAGGCATGGTGCCACAATTCTGACAAGGAAGGTCAGTGGAATACTCCAACCTTTGTCCATAAAGTTGTTGAATGAGTTTCCAAAAGGAAAAAGTCAGGAAGGTTTCTCATGTGGTGTTAGCTGGGAGCCTCCCATACAGCCTGCTCTTCCTCAGCAGCTTCTCCCTACAACACAACAGGAAGAACCCATCAAGGAGCTCCACTAAGTTCCTTGGCTCAAAATGATGTGCAATTGAAAATATACCCAGATGATCTCTGCTTGGATGACATGAAATGCATGAAGGAATCAAAATCCAGTTGCAAGAATCTTTACAGAGCGGGTATCAGGTAAGACCAGATGCTAGGTTCCACCATTTTTCATGAACAATCTGGTGAGGTCAGGTCTGTGGTGCATCAAGCAGAGCCATGAACCTCAGAAGAAAGGGAGTTAATCACCTTACCCACCAAGAGAAACAGACCAGTAGGTGGTGGTGGTGGCAGTGATGAAGACATGCAGTTCAGGATGAGAGTCTCTGCTTGCTTGATGAATTTCTCCAGCTCGTTGAAAGAATGGAAAGAATTAGCAGTGAGGCGCTGGTGACTGATGATTCTCCTAAATTTCAATGTCATGCCATGTGGTTGAACAGAGGGGCAAAGGTGCTGTTTTTTTCTAACCCAAACAAAAGGACCAGAAGATGGGGGAGTGGTGCTAAGGAGAGGAGCTCACCAGTGAGAGGTAGAGACCTCTTCTTACCTTTGAGTTGGAGGCACGTCCCAAACCAGTAGGTCCGACACCAAAGGCAGGGGCAGCCTGCCACTGCTGAATGTCCTGCAATCCGCCTAAGCAATGTGGGCTGGCCCTTCTTCCCAGCTCTAGGAGTCAAAGCCTTGCAATGGAAACTGATCTTCAGAGAATGGTGGAACCCTAAATTCTGAACACAGACACTTTTTTGCGTTGGTCAGTGACAGACAATGAGCACCCCCTGAAGCCAGGCGTTGTCTTAGACTTAAGATGTGGGCTCAGGCAGTTTGTGACATTACTACTAAAACTTAAAAGAAAACGCGATTTTGAGAACAAAGCATTCTCTGATCTTACATGGTCTGCAGAAACAAAAGCAGCAAGGACAAATATGATGCTTAAGTAGGAACAGTCTGAAAGTACATGCACTGTTGTGTATAGGTGCACTTTGCCTTCAGTATACTTTACTGCAGGGTCTGCTGATGTGCAAGAGGGTGCCATGAGAGCTTCAGGGGACCAGGAACCAGTTGGAAGACAGGTCAAGAAAAGAAGCACCTTTAAGAAACAGATTTTTTAGTTTGGGCCCTGTTGTCCTTAGAAGGTACTACTAAGGACTATAGTTCCCGGCTATCGATCTGAAAATGGAGTTAAGTACTCCCCTGCCCACAAGCCAGTGGCACTCCAGCTAATTTACACGTTACATGCTCAAGAGTGATCATTTATTAAAATCTGAGGTTCAAAACAGTGCACATGGAATGCCCTTAACAGCTGTTCTCCATCCAGATGCAGTGAGAATTTTACTTCCAAACCAAAAGAAAACAAAGCAGATGCTCTGGGGTTAGATCATGTTGTCCCCAGCAAGCTGAGATGGATGCCAACAAGCTGGAGCAAACTGGAGCAAATACAGAATAAAGCAAGTGAAGCTTGACATGGTAATATACACAAGAGGACTGGCTTACGGGTCATCCATGAAGTCGTAGATCTCCCTCATAGCCACACCTCCCACATTAACAAAAAAGACAAGTCGTAACAGGACCAAGTAGTGTTCTGGTGGCATCCAAAGGACAAACTTCAAGTAAAATGTGTTCAGCTCTGCCAATAAAAACTGAGAAAAAGGACATTTTAATTACATTCAGAAGACTTCACTGAATGAAGCCTGGAATCTCCCTGCACCCATGCATGACCACCCCTGCCCCCACCCAATTATTCACTGACTCCACAATGTCCTGTGTTATCACTAAACCCACCATCATCGGCTGCAATAATGACCAAGAACACACGGTGGGTTGTTTTGTTTTTAGTTTTTGACATCCCCCCCGGTTGCTGAGTGTGTTGGAAGAGGTTGAAAAAAACATGTACATGTTTGTGCATAGCACAGGACACAAAAGAAACCTGGCCAAACATTGCCTCTATTGTCAAGTTTATCAGGAGTTTGAAGTACCTTCAGAACTACTAATAGCAAATCCTAAAAGCAAAAAGCTTCTCCTTCCAAGTAGTTAAAAATCTCACCAAGGGAACCCAAAATGACAAGAGGCAGTAGCAATGAATCCCGGTTGGTGTTTTCACTTGCCTTTTTTTGCCCCCCTCCCTTTTTTTTTTTTTTTAAACAGTTGTGCAAACACCACTGCCAAAGCCAACTTAGGAGCACTGGTTACACATTTATAGCAAATGTTCTCAAGTGAGCTGCCCTAACAAAACGATTAAGTGAGCAAGTAGACACAAGTTTCTCACTTCAGAAGAAATTATATTAAAAGGCAGTAAGTGTTGCTTAATACAGAAGTATATGCCAATACGTGAAGCTGTTTATAAACTGGAAATCAGCTGCAGCTATGTTTTGCTACAAGAAACATTATTATACCAAAAACTAGTATAAACTCAGCGGAACCTCTCAGCTGCAGAATCTACTCCTGCACCTAAAAATGATTTCTTCAGAGTGCAAAAAAAAAATATTGGAGTATGCACACAGTAACCATTAAAGCAAACAGAAATGTTATTTATACAGGCACATTCACGTTAATTCTCCCATCAGCTATGGGAACCTCAGCAAGTCTGTTATGCTATGCGAACTGGGCGAATGTTTTATGTAGCAGAAATAGGTGATTTGAAGTTCTTTTCAACTGGGTTTGCAAACTGCCTGATGCATCCCTGCTGCCACTGCTTTATGTTGCTTGCTTTGTTGCAGACAGCATATTGCTCCTGCAGCACACTCAATCTGCAACGTGATGTTAACAAAGTGAGACAGAGGTGGTGGCTTATGAGCTGTGTGCCACTCAGCAAGCTCGGATAGGGAACCTCACCCCAAAATAAGCCACCACTCAACTTCATATTACACATATTTCAGGATGATTAAATATGCTGTGCTAGCAACTGTTACAAAATACACAGACCAGTTATATCCTGTACCATAGCAGAAGCCAGTTAACGCCCATTGTCTTTGGAATCACTAAAAGTACCACAAAGGGCTTTTTGTTATTAAACTTGACAGTTACTGAATTGAAATAAACTCGAGTTGCTCAAAACTGAGCCGACTGACATCCCATGGACACCACAAAGGCCAAAGTCTCCTAACTGAGAAGAGGCAGGAGTGGGGAAGAAGCATTTAAAAATGCCAAATTTTTCCTCCACGTGCTACACCTATGACTGTGAAACGGAAGGTATAAACTCAAGATGATGCTTTCCCACAATGTAGCCACTCAAATGGCTAAATCAAGGAGGCGGACTTCCACTGTATTACAACTGCTGGAGAAACATATTTTATTTTGTCTAAATGGGGTGGGTTTACCTGCACTGGTCAAGCTGGATACCATTAGCACATCAGTGAAACATCAAAAAAATAGGAGAGCAGAAGTCTGTATAAAAGCATTATCCAAGGCAAAACTGCAGGCATCAGGAGCCATACTGCCCAGAGCTAACATTCAGCAGCCTGAGGCTTTGACCACAGCCCTCTCCAGTTGGTATGTGTTATCTGCTTGAGGCAGAGAGAAACAAGCCCCTTCCATCCAAGACCAATGTCTTTGGTAGCAGCAGTTACTCACTGAATTGTGTATAGATCACAGTTTAAATCATTCACAGTGTCAATCAGTGATGTTCAGCAAGAAAAAAAGTGTTTATGTAATGAATCTGTAAGACTGTACCACAGACATGGACATCTTTTCTGCGGGATTCAAGAGCAATATCTTCTGGCCTCAACTAAAGAAATCACCACGCCAGTGTTTCAGCCTAAGTTACCTTCTGCATAGTCAAGTGTTATAAAACATCAAATCAGACGATAGAGAAAAGACAAGACAGAGATGTTTCCTTACTACAAAGATAATGCCACAAACTGCTAGCCATCTGCGTAAGCTGGATGCTGGCTTCCACTCAAATTTAACCCAGCTATACGGGGTGAACTGGAAGACAATTCTCTTCATTTTGCCTCTGAAAGAAAAACAGAGCACATTGTTATAAGAAATGGCAGATAAGAGACATCTATCTACATTTCTATTTCAGACATCAATCCACGTATGTGAAATGCCTCCATTTACTGCGTTAAAAATCCTACTTAATGCGATTTAACATTTCAAGTTAGCTTTCTTTTAAAGAGAAGCCCCTTATTGGAATATCATTTTAACTTTTAGTAGATCACACCCGTTGTAGTAAGCAGTTCCTCAGTTCTGCTTTGCTAAGCAAGGAAACACTACAGACAAGAATAATTCCCTACCGGTAGAACACTACAAGGGATTTACTCAATTAAAAGTTTCAGCATCCCAATTACTATGAAGTTTTGATTACTGGGGAACGTATTATTTGTGAACAGATCTTTGCTGTGAATGAAAGCCTGATCCTGGACTTGGGTTTCCTGAATCTCCAGTTACAATTTCATTACACAACCTAATTTCCACAAGACACCCTCAGTTCCTAGACATCAGGCAATGCTCGTGACAGACAGGTATGTTTTCTAGCAATTTTGTGTGCAAGTTAAATAAAATTATCATATACAAGCTTCCATGCTGTGTCAAGTTATTAGATAACTGAGTCATTTAAACACACATGGATTCTTTAGATCACATTAACAGGATAATCCATCAGCAAGCAAGGTCTTAAAGCAAGGTCCCAAACTTTGTGCGGTGCTACTGCTTGCAGAGTTAACTTTCTACGCCAACTTACTTGTATGTAGGAATGTTCCAAAGTCCTTGCCATTTGTATGTTTTCAAAGAAAGCCAAGAGAGAGTCTTCATCCCACAGTAAATTCCTAATCCATTACATAAGATCACATCCATTATCCACTGAAAGGAGAAAAAACAGTGATGCTGGTGAAGAAATCATAAAGCATGTAAAATAGGAAAATACTGTAAGTACATTTATGTGCAGACACAGTCACAAGGACTGGACATCCCCAGAAGAGTGGTGTATGAACCACCAGGAGAGAGAATCTGAACTGCCCAGGTCTGCTACAGCCAACAGCTGTAAAATACTTGTGCTTTAACTCCTCTTTTGCTGTATTCCTTCTGCTACAGAACAGATCTCTTCCTATTTACTATTTATCTCCACTCTGTTAAGCGGTAACTTGAAACACAGCAAAATAAGTCTGAATGCGTTCCTAACATGCTATCTAGACTTCAGACTGCCTCCTAAAGAAATGACTTATCTCCAGGATGTGAAATTAAACTCGTGATTTCTCCTCATGCTCTGCCTTACTCTCTCATTCTGGAGACAGAGCTCTTGAGCTGAGAAAAAAATGGCCGTCCTCTTCATTTGAAGAAGGAGAGCGCAGTGTTCATTTCATTAGAAATTTATTGAAGGCAAAATGCCTTTGCTTGATGTCTTTATGCAAACTGCATTTATTTTCATAAACAGAACCACATAGCAAATCATCACAAGCTTGGGAAAGAACCTGGACTGTACAAGCTGAAATAATGTAAGAACCAGAGCTGTGTGCCCTGAACATAGACAGTTTTGATTGCTCCTGTAGCCAATTTACATTTCACAGGAATATGAAAAATATATAAAAGAAAAAAAAGTATGACACTTTAAGCTACAGAGCTTACTTTTTCCTTAGAGAAACTAGATCATAGCAGTTAGCCCCTCTGGCTTTAAAAAACACACACAAGCAGTGTTTTAGGACAAGAATGGTTATACACTACGAAGTGTAAGAACCATAAAGCTTTTCAGTAAGGCCAAACCTTTCTCTTTCCAAGCAGCTTTTTATATACCATAGCAGGACTTCTAAACACAGCAATATTGACTCTTTTCAGAAAACAGTAAAGATAGGTCTATGCTGAAGGAAGAGCTGGACGTAAATTGCACTGAGCCTGTTTTCTTAACAGACAAGAAAAATTGCCACGTGAAACTCTACACACAAAGTTTTGCCTCTCTCTTAATTTTGGACTTTATGGTTTGTACCATCATCAAATATTTCAAAATGTTCAGCTAAAGCCTTAGTCTCTCTCTGGTGTGGAACAAACCAAAACAAGTATTTAACCACACAAAATAAAGTTACCATTCCACAGAGAAGTCTGAAAATCTTCAAAGTTATACAAACTGTGACAAACATATAACAAGCTCAATATGGAGACGTGCCCAAGCTCCTGAGCTGCAGTGGCCATACATACATTTGTGGTCGTGCACATCATGTAATTTAGTTTTCACAATTTCCTGCCCCCTCCCTTTAAAATATATACCTCAGTTTAGACACAAATATAATGATTTATGCAGTACATACATGATCCCACCAACATTCACTGAAGTTTGGAAGCTGGTGCTCCAGACTGTACTCCAGAAATTCAAACATCACACTGATGATCATACACATCCACCAGTCTCGAATCATCAGTGTCTGTAACAAGGGAGAGAAATCTTTCAAATATCAACAACAGCAGTTGTACAACATACTAAAGTCATTACAAAAATAAATATTTGCACACTGTACTGAGCAGTACCAGATACCACTTACACTGATGTCTTTCAGAGATCTAAAAGAACTCCAGAAATACCACAAAGACACTGCTTAGATTTACAGTTTTGCTATGGTGTATGGACAAATCATGTTATTTTCTAATTTCAAAACTCATCACTTAGGGAATATGAGGATTTAGATATGTATTATCAAGCATTAGTCTGAAAAGATGATCTAAAAGACTCCAGAGTAAATGAGGCCCCCAGTAATTTCTGATGAATGAGGCACGTTCATTTCCAGTATTGTTGTTCTGGTGCTTCACGAGGTAACTTAAGAATCTGGTACTCAAAACAGGGGGAACAGGAAAACAACAACAAACACACACCACATGCTCCTCGCTGTTTATGAAGACAACACACCCAACTTCCAGCTTTTTATAGAAAAATATGTTAACTGACAAATAAGAATTATAGCTGCCAGCTTCCTTCTGGCTTGGCGGCAGAGAAATGAACACTTCGTGGGGCATGCTGAGCTCTCCAGATCAGCCTGCAGGCTGACAAGTTGACATATCATCTCCAGCATTTCTGCAGAAACGCTCTCCTAAGTCATTTTAATCAAAACTAGCTTTCTTCCAGACCAAGACAGATAATAGCTTGAATGAGCAGACAGGCAGCTTGAATTATATCCCAGACAAGTTCTTCAGGAATGTGTTACTACTCCCTTATGTCTTTTAATCATGTTCTGCCTATTTAGGCATTTGTTCTCAGAATGACATTATTTGTACAAATACAGATTGTAATTGAAACGTTATTTTGATATTTAAGCTTTTAATGGAATTCTCTCAGACAAAATAGATCCAAGTTTCTCCATATTTACGATTTTGTATACTAACAGAACAAGCCATAGACACGTTGATCTGAAGTCAAAGTCTCCCCGTGCCTACCACTCTCATCTTTTGGTTATGGGGGAAAAACAAACAAACAAAAAGAGCAATACATCTGCACTTCTGAAGGTGAAAAACAACACAGCAGTTATAACTTATTTTTAAAGTAGACTGAGCTTTTTCAGCTTATTATTTCTGGTGGTCTCGTAGATTGGAACAAAAGCTAACAAAAACAGACCAAAAAAAGAGGAGGTCTGCACTTGTACAGCTGTGGTTTTTTAAAAGCAATATTTAGACCAAAGTGTTCAGTAAAAGATGGGCTGAATGTGTTCTGCCAGAGACAAGCACAACCTGAATTTCTTTGACAGTTGGTTACTTTATAGTAAATGTCAACAAGAACTAAAACAGCACCTACCCACTTACAATTGAAATTCCTGATTTGGAAGCCACTGGAAAAAGCCTGTCTTGGAATAATCCTAGCGTATCACCATGCATCTATTTTGGATAACAATCAACTTTTGCTGCCTTTTCTGAATACTGTCTTCTTCCCCACACTCTGCATTCAAAGGTCATTCAAAGATTTATCTTGCTACAGAAGTAAAGGATTTTACTTTCATTGATCTCACCTCAGAATGAATTATAGCGAAGGAAGGAGCTTGTCAATGTAATGTTACTTTGGAAAGAAATGAGACGACTGAACAGGAAAAAAAGCCTTTCATGTTTTACATAGTTCACAGATGACTGCCTAATATAATTGATCATTAAGACTGGCATCACTGAAACAGAAGCAGCCAAGCTATGAAAGAAGAATAGTACTGTAAGAGAAATGTAACAGAAGGCTCATTCTTACTTTCAGGTACCAGCCAAAAAAGTGAGCAGGAACAAATCCATCCAGCTTGTCCTACAAACCAAGAAGAGAGTGTAGGTCACTTTGTACTATAAACAATTACTCAACTTTGAAGCTTACATTTTTCCAGGAAAAGATGCAGCAATAAACTTCAGTTGTTCCACATTCTAGACGCATTTTAAGAGATTCTTTGTTCCCAAGTACAGTGAACATACAAGAAACCTTTAAAGCAAAGTCAGGAAGCTTCAAGGGCAGAAACTGGGATCAGGTTTACTGATAAAGTAGAAACTACCTTCTTAATGCAAAATGTCATGTTCTTTACCTTCCAAGGGTACAGAACGATGCATTCAAACCAGACATAATAAAGAAAATGCATTTCTTCACCATATCCCAATCTTGTATCTAGGAAAGCTTCTTACATTTTACCATTCCTGACAACAAAAAGCATGGGCAGAGAGGTTCTCCTCCACCTACTGCCAGTGGAGCACTAGGAGAGGAAAGCTGTTATTGCTCTCAGTTATTATGCTTCCTGTTGCACTGAAAACTTATATGGTAGACCCAAAGAATTTAGTGCTCTGCAGTTGTGGAGTTGAAAGCAATCACAATTCCACTGCCCTTGATTTTCGAGTCCTCTGGTAGCCAGTAAGAAACAATAACCTGCCAGTTTGTGGTATACAGAAAAGTCCAACTTAGGGGCTGCCTGCAACATGCAACTTTTGAACTTGGTGCCTCAAGGTGATTGGGATTAGAAGATTCTTTAGGCATGCTAATAAATCCAGACTCTTAGAGGAAACAGGCTTTCATCAATAATCTGAGAAACAAGGATTGTTCTAGTTTACCCCCTTTCTTGGGCAGTGTAATTAAGATACAAAGAAGCACATCTCCATCTGCCAGGGAAGTCCAAGGAAGAGAAACAAAGCTAGAATCAGTCATGACCTGCTTTCTGATTCAGCGCTCAGAAAGACTAAGGACTGCATTTTCAAGTTTTTAATTAAGCAACAGTTACTAAAAAAAAAAAAAGTCAGACCCACTAGCAAATAACTTTGTTTCTTACCCAGATGTTGTGAAACGGATCCGTTTCATTGCCAGGATCATAAATAAGGCAGTTGCCACCGTAGTCTCTTTCTGGCAAAGGAACACCTAAATTTGGATCGATGTACTTCATAAATTGTCTCCCATCTTGTACAGTCTGCAAAAGGAACACAAAACCAAGGTTTTCCTCTTAGTAAGTGCTAATGGACAGAAAAAAACAAAGAGAACTTATATCAACAGCCTATCTTCAAATGGGTGTTTTTTATGTGTTGTAAAACAATTTTTAAAATACATCTAGACCTCGGAGCATCACATAGCACACACACCTGAGTTTCTAGACCTCTAATGCCTAGTACTGCAGAGAGAAATGACTAGAATATGAACTTAAGATTTCTTAAAGATTAAAAAAAAAAAAAAAAACAGATCTTTAACTCAGTTTCCTAAGCTACTCCTCTATGCCCCCTCTCCCTTAAAAGTTTAGTACTTGAACTGATACACAATTCATCCTTCTTCTTTCTGATCCTTTCGCCCTTCCTCTCTTCGTGAGGGTAAACAAAAAGCAGCCAGCAAACAAGGAAAGGTTCATTTAATGGCTGCATCTCCTACACTAGTGGCCTCCTGGTTTCCTAGGATGGGAAAGATACAGCTGCTGGAAATGCAGCTCCAACAAAATACAGCACATACGAGCATCAGTAGATGGAGCATGCAGATCACATGCTCTGTTGGCAGGATTTGTCTTGCATGTGTGCTCAGCTCACTTCAGCTACAGAAAATTGAGACCTGCACCAAGTTTCATGGCTGAAAAGAATTAGCACTGCCTGTTGAATAAACAGCCATTTTCAATAACATCCCACTAGCAGCTCAGGTAATAAATCCCGAAGCAAACTGCAAGGAGAAAAATTACCCAACTATTTGTTATAGAAGGTGACCAAGACCTGAACTAATTTACTGGTCACTCACACAAACATTTACTGAATGGGCGTTTCCCAATGAAATTGATCACTGCTGTGGTCAATGTTTTACAGCAGAAACATCAATGACAGATAGGCGAATAAGCTAGCAGATATTAAAAAACTGAGCAACACCAAAATTAGTTAATAACAATAATGACGTTATAGAATGAAACCAATAAAGTCAGATTAACTGTAAGACAAGTTTCAACTATGAGCAAACTTGTATTTACTTTTCAAGTAGTTTAGTCACTGACTGACTCGGCAGAATTTTAACCTTACTTAAACCTGCGCAAAAGTCATAATGTATTTTTAGTAAGGAGCTGGGCACCAGCTAGTGAGTGTCCTTAACAACTAAATGGCCGGTAACAGAACATTCTGCCAGAGGAAAGCAAAGCGGTTCCAGGCTTTCCTTTGAGAATTCAGAACTCCAACAGTGCTATCAAATAAAAATGAAACACATTATTCAGTTTGGTTGCAGCTAGTCATGAGTATCATTTACAAGGATGCCTAGAAAAAATAGAGGGTGACATGAAACAAACAGTAAGAGCATAAGAATAAATTGGAACTGAATAAATATTCCTCAGTGGTGAGGAATAACAACAAAAAAGGCAAGACAGACCTGTTCATGCTTGTGAAAGGGTCAGAACTCCACTCCCTCCAAGCAGGACAGGCAGCCTGAAAGAAACCCTAATGAGACATTAGGGCCCTGCATAAGGGTTTACACTGAACCCCCAAGTTATGCCAACAGGACAGAAAAAACATCTTGTTCTTTACCGACCTACTGCGGACACATTCCAGCTGCCCACTGACACAACAAGCCAGCCAAAAAACAAACCAAACCAAAAAACCCACATCAGACTTTTTCACTCTTAAAGAGAACTTGGCATCAACTTTTGAGAAGACTCCAGGAAGGTCGAGAAGAACAAGAAATGCCGAAGCCAAAGGAAATATTTGATTAACCGGAAAGGGTCTGCTCAATATCAAGAACTTGTTTGCAAAAAGCACATGTCATACTCCAACATGAAGACAGCTGACAGGTTGTGACCCTTCTGAATTCTAGTCCCACTTCTTAAAGCTCTTTGGCCTCTAGAGGCAAAACACTGTATTTTTAAATGTGTTCCTCATTATCTTCTTATCTAAAAGGATCAGTTTAATGTTACTTGATGAGTACACAATGGTACTCTACAACCCTATTAAGATGCAGAGCACCAAATGCTACTGGGATGTTGGGATGTCAGCAGGAAGGTACTGGTTGAAAAAGATCCACTGGCAACTCCAAAGCTTAACACCAAAACGTAGCCAAGGTCTGACAGAGCAGAATGTTTAACTCCCATTGTCCAATATCTCTACATTTGCTGTGGCTTCAAGTTATACTGCTGCCTGAGGAGATGACTACAACTGGATTGTGTAACTGAGGAGAGGGTAAGTCTCCTTCAAAACGTAGAGCTCCAAGTATTTCAAGATATTAAACACGATGAATTCACTCCACAATCTGTAGGGTCTAAGAAACTAACAGCTGCTATGCAACTTCAGCAGTGCAATCAAATCTAGCAAAGCAGAAACTAGATGTCAGAAGCACTAACTCCTGGTCGTTTGATGTAACCAAGAATACTGACTTTTTTATTAACTCATTTAAGATCACTTCTCTGTGGTGTCTAACCTGGGCTGAGATTAACTGGAGATCAGGAGAGACACCAGGGTGAAATATTTTGAGAATATAATTAAGTTTTCTTCAACCTAGAAGTCTCATTAAATAAAGCAATGAACACAAGAATGAAGTAGAGCATCTTCTGCAGTCAGTGAGGATCCCCAAAAAAACAACACAAATGATTTTACACCCATATTAGATGTCTAGCTACTAAACAGCAGTTTAAGGTACTTACCTGGAACAGTATAAAGATGAGGAAGAGTTCATACACAACGCTGACACACAGCCAGAACCTCCAGTAAGCTACAGAAACAGACAAACAGAATGTCAGCAAAGGCTTCAAGAATAGTTGTCAATTATGCATCTGTTGCAACTTAACTAAACATTTCAAGAAGAGATGCTCTCACCAAGATATTATAAAACTCAGTATTCAAAGTATTTGCTGTCCTTCCTGAAGGGTAAAGCCAGAAAGGCTCGTTCAACTACTAGAAAGGCTGCTATGCAAATATGCCAGAATTACTCTGGCAATGACCAGGATCAACAAAAATGCTTCAACCTGATGAACTAAATATTTAAGAAGTAGAAGGAATATTTGCCACTTACAATGCTTTCTAGCAGTCCTTGGAATGGAGCTGTATCCTTCCTCCACAACGTCACATAACCTGATCTGCCCAGCTTTGGTTTTCCCAGCCCTATCGTGGCTAAGCAGCTTGTCCAACTTCTACCTATTTATTGCTAAAACAGACAAAACTAATGCCAGCAGGGGGGACACCTCTGCTTTTGTTTGTAAGCCCATCTTCTTCCCGAAGACAAGGTTTTTTCCTTGACGGGCAGGAAGCATTTCAAAAATACCAAAGATGTTTTCACTTTTACTAGGAATTCAATACAAAAAAATTTATGAAAGGCTCAGCAGGTGCTAGATGCAAGACCGATGAAATCATCTGATGCTCTCCATAATAAGAAATGTCAGGCAAAACTCATCTGTTTCAGAACCTACTGTCATTTTTCACCCTCACAAGATGTGTGATTTCAGCTCTTCTCAGACTGAAGCAACACCTGAAGCTAAAGGGTACATAAATTAAAGCGTTTGTGCACTTTCTGCTCTGTCATTGTCACCTCTGTTCTTCTGTAAGACTCACTCCCCACGTAATAGGCTCTCTGACTGTTTTGGATACCAGCTTTGTGGTCCATGGGCTGCATTCATGCCCTTAATTCATCCTACTCCAACCACAAGACTGCTTTGGCCTCCATTCCGTACAGTCATTTCTGGGCTCTGGAATCTCATCCAGCTTTTTGTTAACTCCTACAAGGGAGGAAGCAGGTTAATGCAGAACCAGCATGTGTGCAGACAGAGCACTCCAGCATTTTTTCCTAATCACACACAAAAATTTATCCAAGGTAGTTCAGCAAAACTTGACTCATTCTAAGTGGATATTTAAATCTCGCAGTAACATCACGTACTAATCACTTAGGAATGATTTTAATAGACTTTCCTTCAGGTGTTTCCTGTTTACACTTACAAAACCGAGCTCTCCTTCCATGGCTACATAGAGGTGATGGTTACAATTGGACTGGGGCAAAGAGGAATCAAAAGTGTCATTGGTAAGGTTGAGCAGAGACAGCAGGCAATTCCACCTCCACGTTCATGGTTCACCATGAAATAAATAAAAAAAACAAACAAGCACCTTCAGGCACAATTTGGGCATCTCTCTCTATTAACTCCAAGGGAACTTAGATATGTTAATGCTTCATAGTCAGGGCCACGACATAAATAATGCAAGAACTCAACATCAACTATAAGCTTGCAAACTTGTTTATCAGCTCAGAACCTCAAATCATCTAGCTGTGGTGTGGCAGGACTTTTTATAGGCTTGTTTGCCCTGAAACAAAAATAAATGTCATCGTTGCCCTGTTGAATCATAAGTAGCAAAAAAATTTAAAAAATATATATACATTTTAAAAAGAAGCCTCTTATCTGACAGCCTGCTAAAGACACAATCATTAAAATAGATTGAAAAGTGAGAAGGCGTGACCTTTTTTCACCAAAACTGCTGAATTTAAATTAATCAAAATGGCTTACTTTATACTTCCAGAGGGAAAAAGAAAAAAAAAAAGAAAAGAAAAAAGCAGGCGTGGATAGCAGAAAGTTTAGGACTCTGCAACAGATTTCACTGGAAATCCTGAATTTTTAAGATTTTTACTTGAAATTCACAAACATAATTGTACTTGTTTAATTACACAATAATATGAAGCCTTTTCCTAGGTGTCAGTTAAAAAAACAACAACACAAAACCAACTCTAACATATGCTATGAGGTGTTTTATGACTTTTTTTTTGTCCCTTGGTCACCTTAAGAGAAGCAAAAGCAGAGTTCAGCCTGCCTTCTCTGAAAGGCAGCAACTAGTGTTTCCTGCCCAGCTGTCTTCGCCTAGACATCATAGAAAGGGTTATTTAATACTGCTGTCCCTCCTTCAAGATTTCATAAACTTGAAAATCCATTGGCAAATTTCACTTGGAAGGACTGACTGAGAGCGTGCACCCTCTTGTCTTTTCTAGAATGCTGCTTAGGGAAAACAAAAACGTCCACTGGTCAAAGATGTATTCGGGAGAGACAAACTTCTCCCCACACTAGCACCACTGTAATGAAAAATACTTCTGGTTTCTATTTAAAATGTGTTTTGTGTTTGATAACATTTTCTACCCCTTCCCATGACTGCAAACCTTGAAGAGTAAACCCCGTGTTCACACCAGAAGTAATAATTAAGTTTTCATTTACATTTCTACAAAAATTATTTCCTTTATACATCAGCTTCAGACTACCAGCCTTGGCAATGCTGCTTTTTTCTGACCTACGAAGCCTTGTATGACAGATTTTATTCTCCTCGCAGTCATAAATGTGGCAGACTAACTCTGAAACCAACGTTCAGACAGCAGAAAAATCTAAACCTGCAGCTGAGCTTTTCTTCTCCTATGTACATAGAGTTCTGGCAACAGGTGAACTACAGCTGCTGAATACACTCAGCAATGCTCAATAAAGCAAAATAATTAATAAAAGATTAAGATCTGGTTGCAATTTAGTGTGCTTTCTCCCCAGCAGACATAAGCACCCAGGAGGTTTTGAAGACTACTTTCTATCTGTACAAGCACAGCAGAAACAAGATGTTTTCAAAGCGGTACAAAAACATTGTGTTCTCTCTCTTCCTGGACCAGCCTCAGCTATAAAGTTATTTTTGGCATACCCCTATTATTTGTTTGCCTTAAATGCACTGTCACCGTGAACCTCCCTCAAATTAGGATTATCTGCCTGATTAAACAGGCCTCAACTAATCATTTACATACCTGAGAGTTTAGTGATTACTATGCTCAAACACTAAACTGCTGTCATCCTTGGGAGACTTGAGAATATTTAACAAGAGTGCTGCCTGGCCGAGTGCACAACTGGCCACTTACCCCTAGTTACCATCACAGGTTTGAGTTTAACCTATGCAACCTGAAAGACTGAGTTTAAAAATAATAATAATTAAAAAAAAAGGTATGTGCCTGAACAAGGCACTTATCTTAGAGCTGTTAAGTGGGTGGAAGCACTTCATAAGCGCTAATCAGAAGTTGCACAGGACACGAAGAGGGAGAAGTGTCTGCTCTGGGCTGCCACATGCCTGCTCAAATTACTTAGCACAAGGTTTTCCATAGCGAGCTCGGGTTCGGAAGCACCACCTCGTGACCTGAGAGCAGCAATGTGATGGAGTGACCGAGGGAACAGCAGAGGGAACGCAAGCCTTCAAAGCAGTCCTAGCTCGGTGTGCACGGTATTTCATTGCTAAATGTAAGGCTTTAAAATATTAAGTGGCTAAGTTAGGATATAAAAGTAGGAGTTAAAAGCTTGGCTTGTCCAACCCCCTAGACACAGGGTATTTCACCCAGTCAGTGGAACTACCGCTATCCCAAGAGTCCAATGACTTTATGTACAGACAGTAGTGAGCAGCCAGATTCCTGAATTGGTAAAGGAGCTGTCAGAAAAGGGCAGATCACAAACTATTCTCTAACAGAAGGATTTCTTCACTGCAGAACTACAAGGCAACCAGCTGCTGCACCTGGTTTTACCAGCAGCCTGCTCTGCCAGTGCTTTCTCACCTGCAACAGGGTACAGAAGAGATCCGGTTTTTGCCTCCTCCTTTTTCTAGCTACTTCAGCCTATGGGTTAGTTAGGAATATCATGGTTTACTCTCCAAACTGCTTAATCCATCAGGAACAATGCATTACATCAAACAACTGTTGACAAGGGCTGGGAATATTACAACTGTTTTCTTGGGGCAGTAATAACCATCTCAGAAAGTTGCATTAGAATTACAATATGGGCCCATTGTCTTAACAAAGATGATAAAGCATCACTGGACCCTTGCAACGTTACATCATTTGTATGCTCAAGGCTCCTTAGGGGAGTTGACAACAAGAATCAAGAAAATCTTTTAGCTGCAAATAGTAAGAAGTCAGCATACTGATGACCTATATCCATGACCCATATCCATATCATTTTAGCATGAAATGCATTACACTCTCCGCATTTAGGTGTTCACCCACCAATAAATGGACCTGCAGGCAGAGATTTCACCCCTGTGAAATATTGTTCCTTAGGGATAAGGACATATTCATCTTTTGCTAGATGGCTCGGAAGTGGTTTGCGTTTTGTTGAGCATGCTAGAGGCACTACAAACCAAACAGAGGCTTTGAAGCTAATGGTTTACAGGAACAAAATGGAAAATTGGATAAAAAGCAGGGAAAGAGTGTTAAAACATCAGTCTTCCCTAAATAACCATACATATTTCTTTGTGTAATAGCCCTACATTTCTGAATTATGCTAAAACAATTGGTATGGGTCCACGTGGCAAATTATTACCTAGAGAAAATGGGGCAGAAAAATCAGTAGAAGAATGGTAAAGCTGAATGGGCAATCAACTAAAACTGACATAGCCAGCAACGCTGAAAGGGGAAAAAAGTCAGTCTGGAAGGCTAAGCGTAGAAGTGGCTAAGTCTGGAAATCTTAAACGCTCACATATTGGCTAAGATCAATTTTGTTAATAACCTTAGTGGAAAGTAGATTAACAACACAAAACACACAAACAGCAGCAGCAGGGAAGGCAGGGACAGCAAGGAGAAAAAACAGATGACCTCAGAGAAGATGACCTCAAAAAAAACAGAGTAATAGAAGAACTCAGAATACAATTTCACACTTAGGAACCAGTAAATTTTCATACACGATGTTAGCTCGTCAGCTTAGTAACCGAAGGATTAGTGTCATCTGTCAGCCTCTGAGCTGCCAGTGTAATACAGCCATGAAAAAAGCACAAGTAACATGAAGTCTGCCATCAGCGTGCTCCCAAAGAGATATTGTGAAGCTTTAATGTTGTCACGAAAAACATGAGCACTGCCAGGTCTGGATAGCCATTTTCCAAGAGGAAAACCCAAAACACACACAGAGGGCTACTAAAATGTTATGGGGTAAACAAGCTTATGTTGAGGGGGAAACTAAAGGCAAGACTTGTTTGCTCTAGCAAAACCAATGGTGAGATGGCATGAACTGTGTATATATAAATCAGGTGGATAAACACCGAGTAAGAAGAACTATTTAAACAGAAAAGCAACATAGGCACAAAACCCAAACCAAAATATAAAACACCTCCGAGCTGACCGTAAATAGGTACAGACATAATGAGCAGTAGGCCTCCAAAATCACTCAGCTACCGTAACATCTAGCCACTTCTCATACACAGCTCAGAGATTTGGTGTAACAGGTCTGATGGGGCTGTATGTGATCGTAGTGACCTGAATCTGACCCACAGGCTTTCTTCTGTCCTATAAATGGAAGCTGCGCACACCAGCAGCCTGTACTCCCAGTTCCTTTGAGATGAGATCTTTCTCTTGGAACAGCACCGTGAAGCTAAGGTCAGTGCCTGAGGGACACTTCCCAGTACACCCTCCACAGCCCTCCGTAACGGGAGAGCTGACACGGCGTCTCGGGGGCTGCAGCACCAAGCCTCTGCTGCCTGCAAGATTGCTGTTCTCATTTAAACTGGCACCCAGGTGTCTGGCTGCGACCATGGAAGTATCTGCTGTCCTGGTGAACTGGTATAGCCCTTGAAAACCACTCTTCAGAAGATCACCTCATTTAACAAGCTACAAGAAAGGTGAAATAATACAAAAAAAAAATAAATACTAAACTCAGTATATAAAGTGACTAAATATATGAAAAATTTGCTTGTCAGAAGATAATCAGCCTCAGTCCCCTAAGTGCTGTCTACCACCTGTGTATGTTACCATCTCGGAAACACCAGATCAGTCCACACTAGCAGTTTGCTGTACACATCTACGACCTTTGGACATTCCCCATCCCACTTGTCCTACTTTGTTCTAGGGAATAAAAATGACTTATTCCCCAGACAAAACCACTGGATGTTCTCAAACTGAAAGCTATGACAGGAAAGCAGCCAAATATCACTTAAAGGGAGTAATTTCTCTTACATAAGGTACAAGAATTAATTGTAACTTTAATTAAAAAGACCTCAAAACACACCAACTTCTTATCAAAACCTTAAGTTTACAGAGATGTGCTGTGTGCATTGCTCTAGAACAACTTCTGCTTTTATCAGTGTTTTTAAACTGTCTGCCGTTTCTCATATAAGATAAGATTCCTAAACTGAAAAGTTAATTTTTTGGCATAAGAAATATTTCACGGACATTATGTAAGCCTATATAAATTCCCTTAGCTCTTTCTCAGTGATTCACAACGTCTAAACATAGGCAAAGAGATCAAACATGTTAAAATTCTTCACTCGATATAGCAGTACAAAGAAGAGGTTTTATGTTATGGTCTCAAACACTCTCAAGACTTACAGTCTTGCACTGAAGGATCACTGTGCTGTTTGGAATACCTGGGTACTTGAGGAGGCTGGCAGGATGCTGGGAGGCTATATAAGAACTATGCAGCATTAGTGTGCCTATATTATTAGTTAAATTATGACTTACCTTCTCAGCAAGTAACACAAGTACTTACATTCATCATAAAATGCATTTTTCAGAAATACTTGCTTAATTTGAGTGACTTAAGTTACCTGGATGAGGTCTTGAGAATGGTCCATCTTTAGCTTGTGTAACTCCAAAACATAGAAAAACCAAAATACTGGCAACAATGCCTCTGAAAGTAAAAAAGAGAACAGACTATTTATATTGCTGCATCTTCCCACTGAAGTTGTAAATCATATTCTCAGATGTCAAAAATATCTGGTCTTTATTTCTTAACCTTTAAACATGTCAGCCATTAAATAGATCCCTTTTGGAGAATAATGTTTCAGGGAAATAGTATAGAATGTTTTAGAAAGGACTTACAAAGACTGCCTATAGGTAACAGGTATAGGAAATAGGTACCAATTCCTACATTTTACTTGTGGTTTCACAAAAGACTGTCTCAGATCCCCATGCCCACCCTTCTAGCTTTCTCCCTTCCTCTCCACTAACTGCATGCTTCCATTCCTCAGGCAGTCCAGGAGTCTGCTGGATGAGTTTTCAGTGAGATCAATAACAAAGCAAAAAAGAACAATTCCTTGATCCACACGAATCTTAGGCTTTAAATGATCATGACATGCACAGTCAAATGCTTCCCTATGTCTCTGACTTTCACCCATACTGCATCAGCAAGACACTTAACTGAAGAAATTTCTTCCTGTTATATTTTGAGGAGCATCTTCTCCTCGCTCCAGTATAATTTCAATGAAAGCTCATGAGGAACCACTGAAATGCCATTTCCTGGGTTGTCTCTACTCCAAAAACATTTTCTCCATTAACTGAAGACAAGAAGAAGCTTATAAAATTAAACCAGCACTGTTGCTATTCCAAGAGCAGGAACCATAACACAGATCCTACATAACGTTATAGTAACGTAATAATAACGTTACTATATAAGACCATAAGACCAGGTATACCGAAGATCCACCACCTTATCCCAAAACCCCAAGCCGCAGTGCACAAGGTTTTCTCTCATCCTCAGCAACATGAGACCTAAGGGAGGACTGCCACAGCTCTGCCATCCTTCTCCTTCCAGGAGGCAGCAGCAGGAGAGGGATGAGACTGGTTCAGCTGAAAACTAACCTAGGAGCAGAACAATTTAAGTTGGGTCTGCTCACCCCCTCACACAAGGAAGGAACACAGCAGCCCCATTTTAGGCTGAACTGCTAGCTTAACCCATTGCAGATGCAAAGCTTTAAAGGCAGCCACATGGCTCCAAGAAGAGGTTTGTATTTTTGCATTTTGTAGCACATAACAATGCACGCTGCTTTGCTCACTATCACCATGCTCAGTCATGAACCATGTCCAAGATTTTTAGGCCTTGTTGGGTATTTTTCCCAAAGCTAGAGACAACCTGAATCTAAATCACCACAGGAACTTAGTTATGTTTCTTTCTAAAATCCACCCTCAGCCAAACAGTAGATGCAGCAGCAGCACCGAAATAAGCTGTGCAATTTTTATTTTTTTATTATTATTTTTTTTTAACTTCAAGTTCACCATGGGAAGTTTCAAAGAAAAATCACAAATCTGTGTAATAGCCATGCCAGCTCCATTACCTTTTTTCCCTCAGTGACCAAATTCATATCAACATACTGCCTTCTTACGAAGCTTTCAAAGCCTAAGCAGCAGCTTCTCTCCTGGCTCAGCACAGCTCCATGTAAGAATTTCTCTAGCATTTGATAGGGGTACAGGATTTGCCTCAAACTACATCCACGAAGGTAGCCTAGAGGGACAAAGTTTATAAATTCCCCTGAGCAGCAGATCAGGAAGGCACTAAATAGCAGCGCCTACAAAAATCATTTCAGTGCTTAACCAAAAAAGAAAGGGAAAACACAGCAACAGCTTCATTAGCACAAACAGGCTATTGTTTCTGTTGTTTTAAAAGAGTCGATTCAGGAACACAAGACAACGAAGCCTATGAGTTGCTGTGTACCACCCTCTGTTCCATGCATTTAAGCAGACAGCTCCCGCTCTCTGTCCTGGCACGACTGGTACAGTCCCCTTACGGCTCTGACCAGATGAAGAAGTGGCAGACAGAGGCCTAGCCTCTCTCTTACCTTGTTTTCTTGGTAGGTGTTCATCAGCAGCTTGCAAACACACACACCCCCAGTCTCATTACCACAGCTGAGCAATGATCAGTTATGCCAGAAGCCAGCATAGACGGGCATCTTAGAAGAGAAACTGATTTACAGCTTGAAATTCAATACAAAGCCCTGATGCCTGCAGGATTTTTTAAAGCCTGAATGCATTTACGTGTGTTTTTTTTCCCCTAAAGATCCCTTGCTCAGCACTCAAAGCATTAGTGGATTTCTTCCATAGCCACGGTACACAAAGGAGGCCGCTGAGGATTTATTTAGCTGTCCTCATCAGAGCTGGAGTGCGGTCCTGTCGGCTCCTGCTTAACGGGAGAGGAGAAGCTGCCAGCTGCCAGACGGGACGGGCTGTGTCAAGGCTGCTCTGAATGCTGGAAGAACTGTGTGAATAAAAAGCCTTATCGATCAGACAGGTTTTGCAATGCAATCTCTCTTTATATCTATTGTAAAGAGAGTTGAGACTTTACTTAGCCAATCTGATCGTGTATATTGCATGAACATATCAACATCTTTGTGTATGATCCTAATGAACTTTGACTAGATTTACGTATAAAGCATTCCTACATAACTTACAGTACAAATAAAAAGATAAAATCCTCATTGAACTGCTCTAACACATGGCAGGAAGGCAAATGGCATCTGTTTATGTGCTGGTATTTGAGTGCAAGTACGAATCCCAGCTCCAGATACCACACCCCACTGATCTCACAGGCTCTGGAGTGTATCTTGTGCCTCATTTCTCCCCGTGACTTACTACCTCTCACCCTGCCCTCACTGCTGCTGCAAGTGCCTGAGTGAAGCACTTTTACAAGGGAGAAATATGAGAGCTTCACACGACTTCCTGCTGCTTTACCCAGTCCAGGAAACAGCAACAGCAGACAGCACAGCAATTTGTGTACTTTGCTTCAATTTCATGGTTTGCTCACAGCCCCTAATGCAGTTTGCAAGCAGTCTGGCATCTCTTAGCATGAGCTTGAAAACAAAAGAGATTTAGGTGTCTGCAAGCACGTAGTTAGACTTTGCACCTCCGGACAAAAACACTGCTCCACTGTCATTGTGCAGCAGTTGGAAATAAAAAAGTATGACAGCCAGAGCCACTGCTTGCTGGTAATAAAATTGCCACTGTTCATTAAGCAGGCAAGTGCTCCTACGAGATATTTGCAAAGTGACAGTCTCACGCCGGGCCAAAATTTTTGATCAGAACACATAGCAGCTCTTTAAGGAGACTGAAAAAGTTCTCAGGGTAGGATGAAGTATTTTAAGCTATGAAGGTAAAACGAAACTGTGAGAACTGGGGATGTGGATATACCTGAGTATGTTGTGCCCATCTTGCTCCTGCCTCTCTTTGTTCGAGTATGCCCCTGGAGAGCCACACAAAACTGGCCAGGAACAACACAACACAAGCAAGTGCACAGAGGCTAAAGGAGGTTAAGAGCACTGTCAAGGAACATGATTTGAGCTTGAACCCTTTGTGTTTAGCTGTGCTAGATTTGGCAAAGCGCTTGCCTCAAAGACCTTAGAAAAGAGATTTATGAGACCAAATAGGAGTTCACAGAAAACTGACACAATGCAACAGACACTCACTTCCATCCCTTAAATCAGGTCCAAGGCAACAGAAGCAAAGCTTTGGAAAGGCCCAATAGGGCTGATGTTATTTCTGCGTTGAATTTTAGCTTAGGATAAAGTAATGCTTTGACTGAGTTAATTGCAATCTCAGAATTCAGCATGTAGCTGGCATGGCTATGGTAACAGCATAAGGATGAAGCCTGACTGGAAACAGAGAGGTATCCTTCAAAAACAATATTTGAAAGACCTTACATAATTCTCAGACGCTTGTTTTCAAGTATTTTTACAGCTAGACATTGCAGGCAGTACTCCACAAGCAGAGACGTGAAAGTGATCAAAGAACAATCCCTACTCATTGCTTGGTCTGGGACTATTATGTTGATTTTTAACAACTGCAAACATTACTCTGCGCTGAATTTGAAGAAAGCAACATCTATTTCACTGAAAGAAAGGTTAATCTGATGATTAATCTTCTTTGGTTTTGTTTTTGTTAAAGCAGTAAGGGCTCTAATCTCAATAATAAGATATTCCACTGAGTCACCTTCTGTCTGTCTTATCCCCTAACCATGTGTCATCACTTCTCTTTCAGCTTTTCCACTTCTTTATTCTGAACTACCCTTCCAGAGGATGTCCCACCTCCATCCATTCGCTGAACTCTCATGTTGTGGTAACTGGGAGTAAAGTGGCATTTGTTCACACCAGAGCCTTGCAGAAATTTTCCCAGACCCAGACAGGCCACTCTGTTCCAGCTTGTTCCATTTCACCCCCACGCATAAAAACACAAACCCTCAGCTCTGCACACATGCAAGAATGAACCGCATTAACTACAACTATTGTGTAACATAGAATAACAACTGTCTCAGGAAATACCCCAATTCCTGCATCTCCATGACAACAAATGCCATATCCATATTCACTATAGAAAATGGAAAAAAAAAAAAAAAGTAGGAAGAAATCCTTTCATAGCAAAGGGGAGAAACGAAGTGTTATATTTAAGAAGCCAGACAGGCAGGAAACAATGATTTTCATGCTTATAACAAGGATGCTTTGCAATTTGTAAGCTCTGCTTTAATTCTTAGAATGTAGTCAGATTTTAAAAGACCACTTTACTTACCCTTTTTTGTTCCCTACTGTATTTCTTTTTTCTCTCATTTTTTTTTTTAAAAAAGAAGAGAAATTCAGCTACACATAGTCAGTTTAAACTGTGGTTTAATCATCCTTAATTCCCAAGAGTCTCCCTTTGGGCTAGAATGTTCTCATGTTTATTTTTAATAACAAATGAGCACCTATTAAAATCTCAAGTATAATTTTATTAAAAAAATACTTAAGTGAGAGAAATTTAGTCACAGTTCACATGTTCAGAAAGTTAGGTTATTTTAAGAAAAAAGCAAAATCCTTGCCAAAGAAACACAGTGCATACTTTGAGGCTTTAGAAGAGTTTTGGGATTTATTTTAAATCATACACACAGGACAGCCACCAGGTATGACAGGGAGCAACACCGAACTGACTAGCAATTAAGTTCAATGACCAGCACCAACAGAAATTAGAGTTATGTTTGCTTTTGTCACTTGCCAAGGGTTTGGGCATTTGGGCCATGCAAACAAGTTAATACAAAAGAGCATTTGAGGTATCTTATCCATAAGATTAAAGCACGAAAGGCAACTTGTTCACACAGCTACCCTCCAGGAATACATGCCAGATAGAAACGCTTTCTCAAACATTTACCTCTTTGTATTGTAAGCTGTATCCTGCGGTGTTTCTTCAAGCAAGGTTACGTATCCCAGCGCACACGTGAGGATGAACAAGACTGTTAGGGTATGAGCTCTCCTAAAATTGAGAAGAGAGAAAACTGACATCAGAAAGCAGAAAAACCCCAGTTGCTGCCTTTGAGTGAGCCCTCAGTAAGGCTCACGTGTCGACAGCAGTCAATTCTACTGAAGGAAATTTTTTGCATTGTACTGCACAGGAAAAGGAATTTAGCATTTACACGGAATTCAGCCACCAGGCTGTCGTGCACTAGCATGCAAGAGAAGCCTATCACCACAACAGGTCTTGCTCATTTTCCCTCGGCGTTTCAAGTTAAGGAAGGTTTGGACTAACGTGTGCTACGTGAACAATGGCAGCTTGAACAAAAATAGCATCAACTGTGCTAATACCAACATTACTGGAAAAAAACCAACAGATTTCCCTCCTGCTTAGTCAGGTACACACTTGGTGCTGCTGTACCACTGTCAATAAAGCAGCAATAAAAACAGCAGCTAATCAAACAGACTCAAGACAAAACCTGAAGGGTGCTCAAGCCAGATAAAACTCCCATAAAAACAAAAAAAAAATATTACGAAATAAGCATCTCTGGATGAGAACAGCTGCAACCGTACAAGATCCGATGCTCCCTCTGGCTGCCGTATTTCTAGTGATGCTCACAGTTTCATTTCATCTTAGCAGCGAACGGGAGGAGCAGAGATTCATGCCCGCAAAACCCCACGCAGCCATCTCTCTGCGAGGAGTTTCTGCTGGAATAACTGGACGAGCAAAGGTGCCCAGCAAAGGCAGGTGGCTGCTCTTCCGCACTGCTAAAGGTGCGACCTGGCTGGTGTAACCTACTGGCAAAGGCAGATCCCGCTCATACGCTGTTCACTTCCCCTTCCATAAAGGTTCCACCCTCCCACCCAAGTTTTATTAAGGAATTTATATATGAAAGAAAGAAGAGCTAAGCATGGGCAGACCCAGCAGCTGAGAGAACTGCGTGGAGCTGGTTGACATGTATATTCACACACCTACTGAGTATAACAGACATAATATTCTTACATAATGCATGCTGCTTTTTTTTTTTTTGAAGTCAAAAATTCATTTCCTAATGAAAAGCCATTCCTTATTTTCAGTGGCAAACTTCTCTGACCTCTGCTCGCAAGCAGAAGCATGGGAAGCGAAGCCATTTAAGACCAAATCATAAAGACACAAGTTGTATAGTCCTCTAAAACAACGTCTTCTAGTACAAACCATTAAAATTAATATCACGTAAAACATCAAGCTTAGAGAAGAGAGAAACAGTGAATGAGAAGTACTGTATCTGACGTATATATATGCACCTTCGGATGTTACATTTTCTTTTTGTAGTGTTACATTTCCATTTTGTATTAAAAAACACCAAAGTTAAACATATATTTATATCGTACAGTGCATGAGAAACTGGAGATCACCACAGATTTCCAAGAACTCTACTGACTTACCTTTAAACACCAAACCCAATAAGCAACCTAGAAGTGCTCTAAAAAGTGAAGGCAAGCATTATTTTGAACCACAATCTGAAGTTCATCCTAGTCCAAAACACGGCCACTTCTCACAGCATCCTTTTAATCCCACTGGAAAACATGCAATACCTCATAAGCAGATGAAATCCTCTTCTGCCGCTGTTAGAAAGGTGTTCAGTATTTAACTCTATCCCTCCTTGCAGTCCAGAGGACACAAATTAACCAGCTCCAGAGAAAGAAGAGAAGGATGTAGGAGTATTTTCAAAACTAGCAAGGCATCAAGATGTCAAAATAAACACGCAAAGACTCCGCAGCAGCACAACCGATGCATTTTCCCGGCAAGTTGTCTCTCAGGATGCCACCTAACAGGTGATTCAGGCACCACAGATTAATATTCATTTACCAGCCATGTGACTCTGGGCCTATTTTGTAACCTCCACGAGTTTAAAAAAACAGACACAGTCCTTCTCAAAGGCTACAGGACAGCGCGGGGCTGAAGGAAATGCCCCAATTCATTCATAAAGGAGCATGGTCTCAGTCACTGCACTGCATACATGCATGTAATTGACACAAAAACTACCTATATTTTGATCACAACAGTGTTACTTTAATTGCAAGGCTGTGCATTATATTTTATGCCTGGTTTTATTGTGTATTTTTGAAAGGAGTATCTAAGAGGATACAAAAATCTCTAAACGCTGTCTTCCGTCATCTCACCACATCCCAGTCTGAATACAAATATTAAGTTGGTTACTTCTCCAACGTGCTGTGTCACAAAAATTAGAAAAAAATAAAGAGAAATCAGCTGTGAGCACGTCCTCATTTAGATAAATGTACCTAGAAACTTGTCAAGTAGAAAAACAAAGATCTAGTTTCATTCAGCCCTGCCGGGAGTCTGTAGCCAAGCAAATGGTCAGTGTCTGAGAGCTCTGTGTCCCCCTGCCTTTGGTTTATTTTGGTCTACAATCAACTTGAATTTCAACAAGCCCCTGTGTTTAACACAGAACGAGCAGCTCTATCCCTCGTATTATCTCATCTCCCCTTTTAGCTGTGCCTTCACTTCCAGCTGAAGTGAGATGGTCTCGTAGCGCGTCTTAGAGACGGATAAGCACGTAAACATATTTTCAGTCTAGCAGGAAATCCAAAGACCTGGATGAAACGCTTTCTGGCTTGGTTTGTCTTCTGGAAAGAGCAAGTCGACAGCTCCAAGCAAAAAATCACCAGTAGTGACAAAGCAACGGCAGCTGCTACAGGTAGCAGGGCATCTTGCAAACCTACCTGCCTGATCAAACAAGTTCAGGGATGTATTTATGCTTGCTTCCTTAACTTCCCAGTCCGGAAGTTAAAAAGAAATAAAGAAATCCAGTCACATGGAGCAAGACAAAGTGTTAAGCATCTACAGCAGCCAGTAAAAGGGAGAGCACACAGAAGTGCTTGTGAAGAATCAGTCAAGATGACTTAGCCGGCATGAAGAGGGATTAAGTCTCCACGTACACTCCGAAATAATGCTTCAAGAGGAAGACAGCCCAGCTAAGAACATCCAGAGCAAGGTAAGCATTATGGGAATTATGCAGAAAGGCTTATGTTCTCCTGGTTAGCCTAGAGCCTTTGGAGAAGGAAAAGAGCTAAGCTAAGCAGACCGCAAGCCTTCCCCTTAGCATTACACAAGAGTTTGGGCTCTACGTAAGAAGCAGGGGTACAGATTGCTTTCAGTGCCAGGTTTTATGCCAAAAATCTCAGAAAACAGTACCCAAGAAGACAGACACACAGAAGTATGTAAGGTCAGGAAGGTCAAAGAGAATTCACAATAAATCCTAAAATACCAAAAAGCCAGAGCTTATTCTTCTGCACTAGCATTCTTCTGCATTTCTGTACCTTACATCTAGCTCTTTCCCCATTTAAGTTAAAGGAAGCGTTTAGGTGAAATATTTCCAGTTTTATTTCAATTAAAATACTTCCCATCGTAATTTAGCTAAATGCCAATTGAAAGCAATTAAGTCAGTCCAACACAGCATCAGTAACTACACCACTCCCTCACTGAATCTTATGAAGTAGGAGCTTTGCCAGCAAATACATTCAACCCGAGCTTCTTTTGTCATAGTAACTCGTTTTTCTGTCACACTTAGAAACTAGTTTTTTCAACACAACGATTACCAGAGCTTTTATTTTCCCAAATAAAGTATATGACAAGCATAAGGTAAGACAAAACCGTACTGAATCTCTTCCTTTCAGCAGGTTCAGACAGATCAGCTCCCAGGACTGAAGGGAGGCAGTAATACCCCAGCATCACCTCCTTCGAACTCCAACACAAACTAAAAGGGGCTTAAGTGTACGCGACCACACCCTTAGCACCCATTTCTCTGCATTAATGCTCTTGTTTGTCAGAAATGATGCAATAACTGCCTTAAAACCGACCGCTGAGACCACGCCAAGGATCGATGTGTTAATCTTTTTGTCAGCTCTCTGCTGGAACAAAATTCCAAAGAACAGGCTGCGTGGTTTGCCCCCAATGTAAGAAGTTATGTTCATAGTTACTGCTGGCAAAGAACGCCACCAGAAACTATTCCCAACTCAGCCTACCATCAACATTTTTGCAAATATTTTTCTTCCTTTATTCCAACTAACGGTGAAGTCCTAAAAACGTTTCTGAAAGCGATTTTAAAAGATGAAGCAATGTTCAAGCTCTCCACCTCCCTCACAGCTACACCTCATTTGACATGTGAATTTCAAGGAAACATGACAAATGGAGAGTAGGACAAGTAACAGTATTTCAGCAACAGTATAGCATTTCAGTGAGTTCCCATGAGGAATATGTTATGGGAACATACAAGAAAAAATTAATCACAATGTAACACTGACCAACCTTTTGACATTCAAAACCAAAACTGTAAGGAGGAGGGAAACAATTCCATCTGGATAAAGAGAGAGGCTTTTGGAACCTTCAGCAATTTAACCTTTTGTTGTAACTTGGTTAGACATCCAAGATGAGTGATGCGAAACTCAGATGTTCAGGGCGCACAGGGCCAAAGGAAGTGGTCAGGCCTCAGCATTTAAAAAAAAAAAAGATCATGACATGATGACATGAGACCTCTCTCATCCACCCATATCACAAAAAATAATCGGCAGCAACCAGAGGATGTACTTTGTCCTGTGACACTGCCCGAAAGCTCCACGCATCCCACATCTGCAACAGTAACAGGGACACAGCTGGGGCTTTTAAGCTGCAGCCTGTTTTAAAGCGTTTAAACTCAGAGACAATCAAGAAGTACCTATTCTTAGACCAGTAACATGTCTTCAGCACATCTGTAAAGGTAAACGATGCTGGTTAAACTTCTGTATGTACTTGTGCTACTAAACAGGAACGTCCCTTTTCCTTCCCTAAGTCCTTCTGCTTTTACAAGTCAGTGCCTCTCGTAAAGCGATCAGATCACCCGATAAGAGCAGTACAATAGCACGTACTCCCATAGAGAAACCAGAACAATGGATTAAAAAGCAAACCACGCTTCAGCAAATTAGTCATTTGCCTCTGAATGAGAAAGAAAAAAAAAAAAAAACACATCTTCATTCATCATTTCTACACAGTTAGCAAGTTAATCACGGTTCCCAAAATATTCATTTTCAAGTACTGAATATTTTTATTCTTAAACCTGTCTAAGGATAAATAAATAGAACCTGAAATCTGCATTTCAGGTTTTAGTTTAAAGGCAATGCCACTGAGACAGTGTCATTTTGCATGACAGATAAGGTGCAATACTCAAGTAGGAGCCCAAGAAACACTTTAAGAAGCATGTTTTTAAAAAGGACAACAGAAGGGAATGAGAGGGAGGTGCCCTTCTGCCAAATGAAACTGCATAGAAGCACAGAGCTAGTTCTTTGGGCTGATCATTTGTTCTGTAAACTGCTCTAGAAATCAAGTCATATGATGGCGCTTTGATGAGTTCAAACAAGAGCATTGAGGAAGCTCTGCGCAGAGAGCTCCGACCACAAACTCTTGCTGTGCAGAGGATACACCATAAAAAAGGAAAGCAGTTTTCCCAGGATGAGGCTAATCCTGTGCACTCCTGGCATGCTACATTGCTTGTGGCACAGTGGCCTGTCCTTGCACTCTTTCCCCTGGAAAGTACCCCTGGGGACCCCTCTGTTGGCTCCCAAATTCTCCCCATCTTCCTCAAATAGTGCTGGAGCACATCTACAAAAAAAATAAATTGATATAGGGAATTGATACTAGACTTAAAGCCTCCATAGGGCATTAAACTCTCACGAGGTCTCTGTACAGAGATTTTTCTTCTGCTCCTCCAGCTTGCTTGCAGGAACTAGGCGACTCTTTCCTTTCGGGGAGGGCCAGAGCCATAACAATGCAACTCTCTGTCAACGCGCATACCCTCAGCTGCAAGAAGAGTTAATACAGTCAGCAGGACTTGGTCAGATTGCACAACGACCTCCTGGATGTTCTAGCAGCCAAACAGTGCCAGGGCATACCTAAATATTAAAAAAAGACAGGCTGAGCTACATATCAGTTCTGTATGCAATAGGATTAAACTTGGTAACTTCTGGGCAGGTAGAGAATCAGAAGCGCCAATCAGCAAATAGAGAACCTCACCAGGGCCCAATTTAAAGCGTCCAGTTTTTAAGGAGAAGAAAAAAAAAAAAAAAGTCCAGCAAATGTCAAGTTTCCAACAGGCTTGAAGAACGTTCCCTTGAAAGCGCTGCAGTCAGCCCTCACAAGAGGGGACAGGAAGGTTCAACCCAATTTGCAGCTCTTTTATCTGAGAGATTCCCAAGATAAATCACTCATCTCTTCCTCCAAATGGCCTGTTAGAAAATCTCGTGCTGCTGTAAATTTAGTTTTTAAGAGATAAGAACAATGTACAAGTGGCTAAGTAATATCTTAGCTTGAATAACAATGCTGCATTTCCACACAAATCTACCTTTCCAAAGAAAGATTGGTGTGCCAGCCATCAGGAAAGATTTCTCTTTATGTTTTCCTCAGAATAAAATAAGCAGCAGACGGGCTTTCTTTTCTTAGCTGCAATTTCTATGCTTTTTACACCACGCAGAACTTTCAGGATAAAATTATACATAAGATGTAACCAGAGGATCCCAAACTGGTAATCAAAGAGCATCCAAGATGCAAGGACTGGCACGAAAAGAGCGACCACACTGGCTACCAGAAGGGGAGGAAGGTTTCCTCTTCAAAAGTTGCTGCAAACCTCTACATCGATCACTCAGCAGGGATAAATTACATATTTTACTAAGCTTCCCTGCTGCCCAACAAAAAGATGTTGCTCCTCTTTTTCAGCTTCAAGTATCAGTAGGCATCTGCCACAGGTAACAGAAAGCCAACTTCCATTGGATTTTGTTGCCTGCTCACAGGTAACAAAAAAAAAACACAACCAAATACCAACAAAATCCCTGCTACCAAAAACCTCTAAGACACATCAGCATTTGCTCTTCTGCTGGTCACAGAAATGAAGCCACAGTGATGCCACAGAATACACGTGGGGACATTAAGAAAAAATAAAGTGTTTTTTTCATGCTAGCTCGGTACAAATGTAAGATCTACTGTGCTTCGAACTGTACAGAAAACAAAACAAAACGTCAAAACCTCAGCCACAAAGGGGTCCTTTGTATTCAGAGAGCTAATTCTGTAAGCAGACGGGCAAGAAACAGTCACAGGTACTGGAAAGAAGCGCAAACACGTTTCCTAGGACAGCAGCTTGCCAGGCAGGCCTGAATATTTCCAGCACTCAGTAGCAGTAGGTGTTCTGAAATTAGTTCAGGGATAAGAGATCCAGCCAATCTGCTTCATAAAGCTCCTTCCCATTTCCTTTCCTTGACATTTCCCAGTGGCAAAAAGAGCTGTCGAGGTACTGACCAAGCAGGTTCCCAGAATGTAATTAAAATACTGTATTTTCCAGGTTAAAGTCATTAGGACTGAGTAAGAATACGGGCAATTATACAGCACCTAAACTTGTTCTTCAACGTTTTTAAAAGATTTAAAAAGAGAAGGCGGCTAAGAACTACCACCTTTCCAAAGCATTACCTTTATAGCAGCAAAGTTACCTTTGCAAACTGAACTACTTTAGACCGATTCCTGCCTGTGTCCACAAGTCCCATGTTATTTAACATTTCCAAACCAAGCGGGCCATGTCAGTAACCTTATCCAACAGCTTCTGAACTTCAAGGAGAAAAGGTACTTTCCATGTAGCTCATGTGGGCAAAGGCAGCGGGCACCTACCCTTTTAGGTCTCTATTTTCTGTAACCAGCACAAGAGCACTGTCAAGGGCCACGGGAAGAAACCAGCTCCTCAGAATAATTTTTCTTCTTGCACACAATAGAAAATTTAGCTTGTCTTTTGGTAAATGACGCTCAGGCACGCAATGCCATCACGCATGGGGCAAAAGTAACAGAAGAGAAAACCTATAAACTTTAACAAGCATTTACGCTCCTGGATGCCAGCGCAAGCAACGTGCAGAATCGGGTAATAAAAAAATAAAGTCACCTGAAAATAGGTAAGTTAAACCTTTTTATAAGACACTTGTACACTTGTCCCTACTTTCCTCCTGGAAAGAACTAGCTGGTAAAGCAGAAGCCTTAAAGGGTTTGCACATTTGTAAGTCCAAGGGAAAAGTTCACCTAGGCAAATGAACTGCAGATACAGTATTTTTGGGTAATGAACCGGTACAAGCAGCAGACTACGTGCTGCCCCCCCACACAACAAAAAGGTGCAGGAAGGCGAGATTACACAACAGCAGCATCAGGTGTTTTGTAGGCATCACAAGACCCCAGAAAAGAACTCTGTTAGGAAGACGATGCAAAAGCGGTGGCGTTTTACCCATTTTCCATTTATCAGGAGGCACTCCTGCAGACCTCGGCGGGCTCCAGCTGCTCCCTCATGCACTCAGTCCTCCTGTGCTCTGCAAGAAAGTTCCTCCCGTCCTTGAGGCGAGGCTGTCCCTCCGCTACGCTCACAGATCAGGCTCCTGAGGAGCCCTCCCCGAGGTGCTGCAGGCTCCCAGCGGCTCCTGCTCGCAGAAATACCTCAAGGTCTCGGCGGCTTCACCGAGATCCACGCCTCCCAGCCCTGCTGCTGCCCAGATTGGCAGGGGCAGAGCCAAGCGTCCTCCTCCCGCTGCTCCCAAATGCCAGAGCCAAACCCTCCAGAGGGGCTGTGCCCGGCTCCTTCTCCACCGAGGTGCTCGCCCCCTTGCTGCCCCAAAACGCCCTCCTCAGCACCCGCGGGGACCCGCAGGGCTGCAGCGGGCACCCCGCTATCGCGACATCCCCCCCGCTTTTTGTCTCCTCACCAGAAGAAAGTGTTGGTGCCGTCGTCGTACACCTCGGACTCGGTGCTGCGGCGGGGGCCGGGGCCGTCGGGCTGCTCCTCCAGGGCGGCCTTGCCCAGCGCCCCGCCGGGGCCTCGGCGCTCGCCGCGCCTCATGGCGGCCACGGCCGCGCGTGCCCGCCACGGGTGCGCGCCGAGGCCGCGCTCGGCAGAGGGAAGGGGAGGGGAAAGGGCGGGGCGCGCCCCCGCCGAGGTGCGCGGGGCCGCGCGCAAGCGCACAGCGGGGAGGGAGGGGGGAATGGAGGGAGGGGGGAGGCTCCCGTTGTCATGGCGGCCTGAGGGGGGCATGGCGCCGAGCTGCCCCTCGGGGTGGTTTCCTCATGGGCAGCGCACTGACATCCCCGGGGCTGTCCCCCTCAAGGGGTGTGTCACACAGCACAAGTCGCACTCCTCCCTAGGGCTCTTCTGTCTTTGTCATGGCTTCCTCCGTCCCCTCAGGAAGCTGTCCGCTGAGGGCAACTCCTGTGGGGGCAATGGAGGATGGTGGAGGAGGAGGTCCCCGGGCATCTTGTCCCTGCCCGTGGAACTTCATGATCTCTGAGGTCCCTTCCAACCCCAGCCATTCCATCGTATGGTCACGGCCCCACACAGGTCACTTCACAGATGTCACTTCAAAAGTTGCTCCATTATCCTCACTGCCGATCACAAAGCGCAGCACCCCCAGAGCAAGAAGTTCACAAAGCTTGTTGAAAACAGGGTGGGAGAAGGGAGCTGGGGCTAACCAAAGGCTCAGCAGGGTTTCAGGCTGTTGACTCTGACTGTTCAGTTTCCCTGCAAGCATCCCCAGCGCCATCAGCCATTTCCTGGCTGATCCTTGGTGAATGCACCTTGAGCTTGTGAAACCTGAAAGTATTCTTTGTTGGGGGTGTAGTTACAGCTCACTGTGGCAGGTATTTGCTCTGTCTGCAGGAAAAACAAAACAAAACCAATTGGGAAAACAGCCCTTTCAGCTGGAACAGGACAATGTTATGCTAAGAGTACACAAGTACATCTCAGCTTCTGTAGACAGTAGCAGTATTGTGGCAATATTTGATGCTCAATTTCTGTATCTTTTGACAAAAGTCATGAAAGAATAAAGAAAGTAATTAAAGAAAATGGCTTATTTTTATGTCTACTCACTTGAATTATCTGGGGACAAGTGATCCTTGCCAGACTGTTCTGCAGCTTTCAAGGAGCCCAGAGCGTGCACTCATGTTCCTTCCACCCCTGGCATCCTGGTTGTCCCAGCTCCTTGCGGACTGAAACATTAACTATTTATAATCAGTTTTTGCATTTGCAAAAGTGGCAGCATTTTGCTGGCAAAAGCTTTCAGTTTCCCAATGGGCAGCCTGACCAGGACTAGTGGTCGCATAGGAGCCACCTGCTTGCTTGTTCAGACACACATGAGGATATTGCTAGAAAGGCAAGTCCAGATGCACGGGTTGGGTGCTCCCATGCCCCCAGGCCTGCTGTATTCTTATTCCTCCTTGACCCCTTGTGGGGTCTCTTACCTGCAGCAGAACATCCTGAGCTTTCCAAACTCATGGTGAGGATCAGGCTCTTCGACCAGAATAAACCCAAACGTGAGATACTGCTCCTGGCCTGCGGGTAGGGAGGCCTTTCTTTCCAGCAAGATGCTAGAGCCATCCTGGTGCTTTCTGTGTTAGCAGACACCACATGGGAGAAGAAAACCCTGGAGGAGCAAAGACGAGAAGCCAAAAAAGAAAGGAGGGAAAATATTTCTGTGACTGTGAAGGAATGAGCTGGCCGCATGATGGCAGCAGCCAGCTAGGCAAAGAGCAAGGTGTGCAGGGTGATGAGCAGCAGGGATTGCTTGTAACCACCAGCTAGGAGCTATTAGAGCCATTTGTGTGTGAAAGGAGCTTCGCTGGGTTGGCAACGCTACCATTCTGCTTGTTTGCTCTCTTGTTAAAGACAGAGCAAGTCTGTGTAGCTGCCACACCTGAGCAAGGATTCAACCAAAGATTTTCCAAGAAGGCTGAATACTGCTGCCCTTTGAGAAAAAAAACAATTCTGCAGGTACACTTCAGGCTACTGCACAGTCTCCTACTGACCTGAAATGCCCTCTCTCTCCTGGCAGCCCTGCTATGTTTTATGAGACCTTAGCCTGTTCCAAGAGATGCCACCAGCTCCCACTGCAAAAGCAAAGGCTGCAGTCACACAGCTTTGCGTCACATTGGGAACATCCACCACATCTCACAAAGGAAAACTAAACAAGCTCTACGTTAGTGTCCCTTTCTGCCCAGCCTAAAGCCCTGACATGTGCAAAACAAATTAAGAACAGTACTCACCAGGCAACAGCTGACGCAGCTTTCTGCGGTCACGGCAAACACTGAGTCAGGTCCAAACCTTCTGGGCGCTTATGGATTCCTACCCTTCTTATATCTATTGACATGGGTCCATCACCACTGCTTTGGGCCTTCAGGACAGGCAGAAATTCTCCAGGACCCAGCTTTTCTGAGGGTCTTTTTTTCAAGGAGCTACAGCTCATTGGCCTGGTACAGCTGGAAGAAATGCACAAGAGGCTAAAATCGTACAGCCAGAGCAGAAGTTAGAGCTGATGGCATAAAATGCAGCTTGCGAAGTGCAGTCAGGACTTTGGAAGAAGTTTTTTCATGAGGAGGGTTGTGCAGCACCAGGTCACGTGAAGAGGTGGAGGAATGAATCTCTGTCAATTGAGGCTTTCAAGACTCAGCCAGACAGAGCCCCGAGGATCTTATGCCAACAGTTCACCCACTTGGAGCAGGAGGTTAGACTGGAGACCTCCAGAGGCCCCTTCCAGCAGCACTTCCATGTTTCCACACCTTACAGGATGAAGCCCCCCAGTACTTTCACCTGGAGCAGCACCACCTCGCACAGCCAGAAGGCTACAACGTGCTGCTTTCTGTCACCTCCGGAGCCACAGCTGGCCCTCTCCAGCACACTGGCTCTTCCTCTGCCTTAGTCTCAAATTTCAAAACAAGTTTTGCCCTCAAAAGTGGAAATTTTCCCATCCAGAACCACTTCCCTTGAACTATCTCCACAGCACAGCTGGTGGTGCTAGATGACAGCAGCTCGAGCATTCAGACCCAATATATTCTTGCCAGGCTCTCAGTATCTGGACAGCTTGCTCATTAGCACTGTTGTCTAATAAGATTTTTTTATAGCTGCTGAGAAACATATGCACTGCAATCAAACCTGAAGCTTCGTATGTTCGGCAAGTATTAGGCTTTATACAGTGGCTCGACATCGCTGGCTTCTGTCTGATTCTTGTCTTCCCTGCTTTTCCAATAGCAGGTAGGATTCAAGCCCAATGTGAATTATCTTCTGCCCATTTCCCTTAGCACATTTTCTTGGAAACTTCTGTTTTTTGACTGATGTCTTCAAAATTAAGCCAAAGTCCTACAAACTTTTTTTTTTTTTTTCCTCTACCCATTTTATGCCACTCATCTTGCACAAACAGAATGGCTAATTTCTTTAATTGCTAAGGATCTCTCTGGGTGCTAGGCTGCCACACGAGGCTGAGCAGCCAGTTCTCATCTCTGCATATCTGGGCAGGATGAAGGATCTCTGCCTCCAGTCAGTTCATAAGTGGCACAGAGGTGCCTCACTGAAACACAGCCCTTCTAACAAAAAAAATAATAATAATAATTTAAAAAGTTGCAGTTTGACACCAACCACATTTAAACAACTTCTTCCAAATGATCTTTCTTCCTTTGTGTCCTTCCAGCCAGATGCACAGGAAGGCAATACCCTTCAAACTCTTGGAAAGAAGGAAAGAAATCAGAGGCCCTGGGGACCTAAAAGACCAAATAAATACTTTATCACCATCCTAAATTAGGGCTGCATGCATGCAGGATCACTTTGGAGCACTCAGAAGAGGACTGCTCTGTCAGAAAGCATCACTGCGAGGCAAGATGTAGACAGGCATCCTCTTTCTAGTAGAAGTGGTTTAATACATGAAGCTTTCAACTGTCTGTTACCACTTCTCAGATGGAAATCACGTCTGGCTGGGACTGACAGGACAAGGGAGTGCTCCTAGAGAGCTTCAGTACTGCCTCGCTCAGTGCAGGTCAAACCACTGCCCAAAGTGGTTGAAACGTGTCAGGCTGATGTGATACCACAGCAGATTAGGAGGTATTCACGTGACTGACCCCAGCAGCAATAAACCGTTACGGGCGATACCATCTCAGATCACTCTGGCTGCTTACAAAGCATTTGTGCTGTTGCAATGCCTCAGCAAACGCACAAGCTGGAGCTTCGCAACACCTCACGCCTTAACCAGATTTTCCACCGACAGGCTGGAGAGTTCATAATTTTCCCCCCCTGCTTTTAGTTTCCCATGCTGCCATCCTCAGCACCGTTCCCCCAAGAACACTAAACACCAAGGCAGAGTGTTGCAGGAGAGTTACGTGAGGAGGAAAGCACTGAAATAAGCACACCATCAATTTGGCTGCTGGCCTCGCTGCAAAAGGAGCTGAATCTTGCCAGGGCAGAGCCAAATGCCTCCTGAACTGAAGAAGAAAAAGTTCATTGTTTCCTCCAAATGCCATGAGAGACACCACAGAGGTCGAACACCTAGGACAAAGAGCCAGTCTGCAGGCACAGACTCACCTTCCCCGCTGGCTAGCAAAGCCCACGAGCTCTTGGGACTGGTGCTGGAAGCAGCTGCTGCCCGTGTTCAGTGAGCTGCCCTATCTGCAGAGCAAAGTCCTCCCAGCCCTCCCTGGCAAAGTTTGCAGGACGAAGACACAGATGTGCAGGTAGAGCCACGTGGCTGTCCCACCTTTCCGTTTAACCCAGCCGTGCTCAAATTGCAAAGGGCTTTGATATTCTGTCGGGAGACATGGAAAGCACCATGGATCCTGTCTTAAAAGGCTTCACTCCTTTCCCACATAAACACATGCGTGTTCTCCCACACCCGTGGGGAGCTGCTGGCAATTAGGACAGTTTTCCCCTTCTGGCCAGCCCTACAGATCGCTTCTGGGAGGCTAAAGGTCGCTCCTTGCCCTGCTCTACCCTTGACTTCAAACACAGCAGGAAATCCAGAAGACGGCTCTTTTTAAAAAATGGTAATTGCAGGGCTGATTCACCGTCTGTTCAAGGCACTTGGCAAAGCCACAGAATGACTGCAAAAAACAGCGTGGAGATGCCAGCTGCCTTTCCTGCCAAGATACACCTGGGTTACCCCCCAGGACTCATTTTATATAAGAGCTACCCAACGCAACGCACTCGGAGAGCACAGGAGAATCCAAACCAGGGGATGACTAACTCTTCTGGGAAAAGGCAGCTCTTCTTATCTTGGAAACTAAAACAAGAAACCACCATAAAACATATAGGGAGAGTTGTCAGACATGGCTCACACATCATGTTTTCACTGTCTCTTGTAAAAAGAGAGCGCTATACCCGGCTCCAAGCTGTAGGTCTGGATGAATTGAGCCTTTGTGATCATATAAGCAAGCAAACAAAAACATTTGTGTTTCATTTATGATTTCCAGTGGGTCACCTCCAAGCACCTTGCCACAAATGCCATCAGGGAAGCAGGGACTGAAGCTGTCACACGCTAGTAAATCACATCTGCTTAGAAGTGACAAGATTTTAAGGAGCAGGGGGAGGCAAGCGGCCTATGTGGTTTGGGGGAATATTCAGGGCACACTTTGATGCTTCCCTCTTCAGCCACAAGGGAGGGAACACTTGTTCTGAGGGACTGTAAAACACTGGGAGATGTTCCCATACTTGTTGGCACTGGACGCTGAGGCCCCGCACGCAGCAGCACTATCGCATATGGGAGAACGAAGTGCACAACTTCCAGTGCTGTTTTCGGCAGCCAGCGAGGCGTGAAGAAGGATTTATCGGTCTCTGTTCAGCCCTTCCAGGGAGCCAGATTTTCTGTGTGGTTTGGGAAGACCAGACTGGGAAATACAAGAGGAACAGAAAACACTGGGCCACTGAAAAACCATGGAGAGCATCCTCACTTACCTGGAAGCTCCTACTTGGCCTCTTTTCCTTGTCCTGGCAGTTAAAAAACTTGCTTATGACCTCATCCTGTTCACTCTCAAAGCCTGTGCTGCTCCTACCGTCTCTTCCATGGAGCCCAGAGTTCCCCCCAAGAATGAGACAGATCGTGCACAGCTCAGATTTTTTTAAAAAACTTTTTTTTTTTTTTTTTTTAAGGTTTAGTGCTTATTCCCAGCTCTTTATTTCTCAGCCTGAAGTGAAGCATTTAATGCTTTCTAGAGCTTCTGCTCATTTCCTTCTTCTAATTTCTGCTAACTTCCTTCCTCATTTTGGCCCCTGCTTGTGAAACCTCCTCGGGGGTGTTCAGAGGACACAGCGAGTGGCTCTGTATCCGAGAAGGAAGACAGGTGCCCAAGGTGCTCTCACCGAGCTAACAAGAGGAGCCACGAAGGCCGACTCTACGGGGTTATCAGCCTACGCCGCTGGGCGGTACTGGGCTTGCCACTCCTTTGAACAAGGGTGAAGGGCAAATTTCTCACCTCCTCCTTCCTATCTGCCCACTGCCGAGCAGAAGCAGCTCCCTCCCAAGGCAGGAGGGTGTCCCACACGGAAGTCACCACTCCCGTTCACATGAGACCTCAGGCAGAGGTGCTGGGGAAGCCGACCACCTCCTGCCAAAAAACCTCAGGAACCTCGCAGCCCGCTCCACCTGCAGCCTCCGCCACAGCACCGGCCTGACAAGACAGCTCCCGAGGGACCAGGAGGAGCCAAAGGAGAGCAGGTGGTGGGAAGAGAAAGACTTCACCATGCAGGTAGGAAATAGAAACTGCTCAGCAATTTCCACGAGGTGGGTGTTTTTTTTTCCAGCACCTCAGAGCCATCTGCAGCTTGGAAATTCCTATGCTGTAAGCGCTGATCTCTGCCACTCACATGCTGTCAGCCCCCAGGGTACTCAAAAACTACCATAAAACCTCAGTTCCTCTTTCCAGTGAGCAATCTCGTTCTTATCATGACTACGTAAAGGGGAAAGCAGTACGCTGTGCTTGCTCTGCAGTTTCCCCACAGTACCTCCAGCGTGGGAGCGAGGCAGGGCTGAGCTCCACACACCACCCCAGAGGTGCAGGGGGGGGTCACACATGGACCCAACACCTCAATGCCACAGCTCAGAGTTTCCAGAGAGCAGATCACAGGAGCGTGGCTTGGTTTTAAGAAGGCTGAGACCAGATCTTTAGTTTCTACATGCCCAGGAAAAGACAATGCTTGTTCCAGCCCCCCATATTACAGGAGCGCCTGAAATAATGCCAGGGGAGAAGGGGAGCTGCAAAGATTTGTTTCTTTGGCTTGAAAGAAAAGATAAACTTTATTTTGTTCAAAAGGCAAACTGTCTGCCTGTTCGATCAAATATTGTCACGTTTCTTAGGAAGCTATGAGGTAAGGTGGAAGAGCTCCAGGGGAAGGGAGGAGAGCACAGGAAGCGTTTGTAGGAATCATCCCCAAGACAAGATAGCAGTCCGGTCACCTTTGTGTGGGTGACAGGAACCACCCAAACTTTCACCAATCTACAGCTGGAAAGGAAAACAAGGATGCCGGATCCTGCCCAGGTGGTTGGCCTCGGTTACTCACAGAGCTGACTACACTTCCAGCCCCAGGGTACCTCAAAAGGATCCGGTGACCTCCTTGCATGGGGATCAGGACACCTGGCTGCCTACAAGGATCCTGTGGTACAGCTGGAGAGAAAACTGGCACACTTCAGGGCACGCAAACCCTCCTCGCCAGCGAAAACACTGCTCTTTGTGCAAGTTGCTTCTCCCATGGCTTGGCAGAGCGTGCTTCCAACCCTGCTCCAAGCACAGCACAGGAAAAGGGCTAAATGGGAACCATCCTTCTTGATAGCAAGGAGTAGAGTCCATGGTTTATACAACCGCTTCGGAGCTGAGGCAGCCTTGCCCACACACGAGGCTGACCCGGCTGCCTCATGCTTCCAGAGCAAAGCAGCTGTCGCCAGATTAGTGCTGCCAGTCCCCAGGGCCAGAGAAATAGGTGTGGGATCCCTAATGATCCAAAGTCCCTGCCTTCTGCAGCTGTCCCTTCGCATGAGACACATCTGGCCTCAAAAGCAGGCAGGGCTCCTGCACAGCAGCCCCAGCAGAGGAAGCTTAACACAGCCTTTGCATGGATGTCAGCAGCCACCGAGAATTAAGCCTGCTGAAACTCCACCCTTCTGTCATCCCAGGTCTGCAAACCTCCCCCCCTGCAGCTGAATGCAATTTTTCCTATTAGCACTCCAGAGGTGGGCACCAGGAATCATCTGCACTGATCTGCAAATAATTTGCAAATCCTTCTCCCCCCCACACACACTGTTTTTCAGTCCTACACAGAGGGACTCACGGTGCCTGCAGAGGGGGGGACCAGGTGGTAAATCCTATTGCTATGGGAACACAGAGACAAGCCTGCCGAGCTGCTGCAGACCCTGCTTCCACGACATCCTTATTGCCTCGACAGCTGTACGCAGGTGGCCTGAGAAGCATCCCCACTGATTCTGGGGAAGATTAAAAAGTAACAGGTCCCGCTTGGGATTAAGATCAGTGCTTGTTGTTTCAGAAACAAGCAGAAACAAGGGCAGGATCTGGCAGCGTCAGGTCCAGGAGACTGGCCACGTTATGACAGGGAGTGCTGGCAGAGGGAGGATGCTCTGCTGGAGCTCTGCAGGGACAGAGCAGGACTCAGGGGCTGGTGGCACCACAGGGTGTGAGGGTGAATGAACCTACCTTGGTAGGTTCCTACCTGTGCATGAACCTGCCTCGGTAATCCCTTCAGAAGTTTTTCTCTGGGGTAGGCAGTGCTGGTCAGGATGCTTTGCCTCCCAGTAGGGGACCGCGCATGCAGATGACATGCCTGGGCCACCTGGAAACAGAAGCTGCAATACTAACAGATCCGTCCACCTTCTCCTGAGCTCTGCTGGGGCTGACACCAGTTGGACAGCAGCGTAGGGGTGCGTCTGGGAACACCTAGGGTACAAAAGGGTACCCTCAGCATTGTAGGGATCACTGCTCGAGCCGAAAGGCTGGCAGGCTTTGCAGGATGAGGTTGGTGCACGCACAGGCTGTGAGAAACCAGCCAGGCAGGAATGAGACAACGCAACCTGCAGAGAGGTGGTGCCAGCCCAGATCTGTGCCAGCATCCGAGCATCAGGAGCAGGGGCAGAGACCTGATGGGACTCCTGCTCCCTCCCTGTGCCCAGAGACGGGCTCTTGGACTGGGACAGGTAGAGCCAGCTTGGTTCTTACCCACCTGGGGAGACCAACCCGAGTGAAAAGCCACTTCTCCCACCCCAAAGCCTGCTCAGGGCTTGGATGGAGCAAATGACAGCACCACAAATGCCCTTTGTGTCATGGCTTTAACTGAGGAACCTTTCAGCAGCGGGAAGCACTGGTTCTTACCGTAGCAGCACCTCTTTGGGGGGGATCCATCTTCCTGAGTCTTCATGCTTTGACTTTCACAGTCTCCCCACTGCTCTTGTACTCTGGGTGAAGCCAGGGCCGTGGCTCCACATTAGAAAGTATTTGGCAGAGCGTTTCAGCCCTTTCCTCATCTCAGTCTTGCTGGCTCCCTTGGCCTCATTCTTTCTTCAGTGGAAGCTTGGGATCCAGATCTTACATCAGGACTTGGTTGCACCACCAGGGCTCCACTCCCGGGATTACAGCTGGATGAACTCGTCTGGCTGGCCGATTTTTTGGGACACAAAGTCTTCGGTGGCAATCCTGATTGATGATATCCCCTTCCCCAGCAGCTTCTTCTTTCTTCTGTGCTGCATCACCGTGCCCTTAGAAACAGCAGCATAACTATTTGCGGGGCTGCACCATGAATCACACCAAAGAACTGCAAAAAGAAATTGACATTTTTAAAAATGTCACTTTTAAGACAAGATCAATTCCCTGCCCTTGTAACAGCACGGCCTTCAGAGCAGGTCTTTATTAAACTCATTAGGCTCACTGGGATCTGAAGCCCAGCACCTTCTCTCCAACCCACTGAAGGGCTGGTTGGACTAATCCTCTCTTGCCTAAGAGCAACTACAGCTGCGGGACCGGGATGAGATCATGCTGGGGAGGCCAGGCACAGAGGATGGGGACAAAGTGTTTTGAAGCTGACATGCCCCTGTACTGGGCACCCACCACCAGATCCAGGCCACCCTAGGGTGCTCTCTGCAGCATCCCTCAGAGAAGGAGCACCCTAGGCTGGACCGAGGGCACCTACTGCCACAACATCATATTACTTGCTTCGTGTATCCCCAAAACCACTCCGCTTGGGTGTCTGAGCATGATTAGGCTCAGACTCACTTGGGTGCCTGAGCATAATTGCGTGTTCACTCCTGCACAGCCTCTCTTTCGAGCTGGCAGTGCACAGGAGGTCAGCAGGAAGAAGCCAAGTGCCAGCTGCCCCGGGCCCCAGACTGAGCCATTTGTGGTGCTTTCCAAGGAATTATTTTCCACCCTGTTTGCTGCGCAAGCCTCCCATTGCCTGCGCCCCACTCTCTGGTCCAGAGGCTTCAAAACTGCCTTCCCCTTCCTGGCCAAAAAGCTAAGCTCCCTACCTGAAAGGGAACAGTAAAGAGCAGAAAAGGTGGATGAAAGTCTTGTAAAAACCATTGATGCACGGAGAGGGAGTGAGTTAAGCATCCACACTCCTCTGGTACAGATGTCAGGGCACCGGGTGAAACAAGGAGGAGTGAAGTCCAGAACAGAAGGAGGTTTTGTTCTGCTGGCTGGCTCCCTCGGGGCCCCAGGACTCCGTAGATACGAGGCATTACAAGATCAAAACAAGGCTGCCCTTGCCCATGGAGCAGCAATCCCTCAAGGATCCTCAAACACAAAGACACATTTATTGACTCAGAAAGAGCCTGAGCTGGAGACCAAGAGTGCATGGGAGGAGGTTTTGGACAAAACATCCCTCCCCAGGTACCCCCTCACAGCCACTGGGAGAGGCATGAATGCGAGACTAGCAGAACCGAGCGCAGGGAGCCTGGCTGATCCCAGCAGCTTCACCTCGCAGGAAGACCCTTCTGTCATGCTGTCCAAAATGCTGTCCAACCTGCCTTAATTTTGGACTCATTTGGTTCTTCAGATAAACCACAAGTCAATGCACTCTGCTTCACCCCAGCAGGTTATTTATCTCACAATCTCTGCTGATGGGCAGGAACCACTCTTTGCTTTACTCTTTCAGTCCAACTACACACCTCCACCAGCCCAGCTGGGGCATGCCCAAGATCCTCTGGCCCATATTCTCTTTCAGGATGCCTTTCTCCTGCTATTACCAAACATCCCTAGCTTGGACAGCCTGACAGAGCCTGTGCAGACCACATACAGTGCTGGGTTGGCAGACAACACTGCACATCCCTTGCCTACACTATTAAAGATGGGATTCTCCATACCACAAGCAGAGTGCTGCTTACCTGCTCTCACCAGCTGGAGCAGGGCAGCTTGACCCCATTGCCTCCAGCAGCATGGGCAAGACCTAACCCAAAGCATTGCAAAGCCATCCAGGTGTTTGCAGAGAGAGGTTTGCTCTGTGTCCAAACACAGGATCTCACAGAGACCCCACTGAAGTCTTTGCTGGTTTTCTCTTCTTCCACAGGATGAAATTCTGTTGACCCCCTGGAGAAATTTTCCCTTTGAAGACTCAGATCCATTTGCCTCTGCGGTAAGCTCGGGTCCCTCTGCACTCACAGTGAGTTCAGAGCTCAAAAACGTGGATTTGGGGGGGAACACCATGGCAGCAGCTGCCTCAGTTTCCCCATCCCTACTCTTCTGCTCAATGCCAGTCCCCAGGGCACCTCTATAGAGAAAGGTCCAAACCTCAGATGGACTGGAGCCAAATGGGAGAGCTTGTCATCCCCATTAATTCCCTCGTATTTTCTGTGGGCAGGATGAAGAGAAGTGGGATTTCGTCCTCGTGAGCGACATCCACGAAGTGGGCAGCACGAAGGAGATCAAGAGGAAGAAGTTCCTGGATGAGCTGAGCAAGAAGGGGTTCGCCATCAAGGTAAGGGGCAGCAGGTATGGGTATCTGCTACGTAACGCAAGGTCTGTAAAAAACTGGCTTCTAAGGGAAGGTTAAAGAAAGATAATTAAAGCCAGAAAAAAAAAAAATCTATCCCTGTACTATCATGTGTGTACACAGAAACAACCAAAATACTCATTAGTGACATAAGAATTTGGGTGAGTTTATTGACCTTCATATCTCTATGTGAAAACTAAGTTTTGAACTGGAATTCACACTCACAAAATCTCTATAATTACTTAGCACAATTATCAGATGCTCTTTAGGTCACCTATATCTTTCACGCTACACTAAAGCATTTCCGAACCAGCAGTTCATTTTAATCACCCCAATTATCAGTTTATCTGTTTTCAGCAGATCATATTTTAAAAAGAAGAGGAAGGTGAGACAGAGGTTATTTCTCTTTCAAGAACAAGAGGCTGGGGATGTTTTGTGGAACCCAGGATCCCAGCCTAGTTCAGGCCCCAGGAAGAGACCCAAACCCTCAAACCAATCAGCCCACCATGTGTAAAACACACAGCACATGCACCCAGGGGAGACCCCAGCCCCAGGACTCACACAGCCCTTGGATTTTACAGCTCTGCCTTTTTTTACCTGTCTGCATTGCTCTAACAGCCTCTCTCTTCTACCCACTAGAAAATTGAGGACAAGAAGCTATTTTATGGGGTCCGTGCCCCGAAACATATCTTCCGGAAATACCAGTGGCTCCTGAGGAACCCTCAGGACAGCCGGCTGCAAGACTCCGATGCCCATCATGACATACCAGTGACGACCAGGTGGGTCCTGAGCTGGGCTGCTGCCTTCCAGCACCTTGCAGCCCCTTACCACCACACCAGCATCTATTTTTCATCTCAGCTCACAACTGTGCCAGGCTTTTCATTCTCCACAGAAAGCAAATTACCACCGTTGGTGCAAAGTGGCCAGCTCCTCACTGTCCACAAGCAGATCCCTGTTTCTTCCCCACTTCCTTCCCTGGGGACTGGTGCACACCTCCCTTTCCTTCCCCTCTCTCTGGGGCAACACCACCAGTCTGTATCCTCAGGCTTCCCTTTAATCCCAGTTTCTCCTTGCTCAGGATACGGATTGTGAACTTCATCTTGCAGAACACGGTCACACCTGACCTCGGTAAGGGAACGGGGCCAGTGAGCCCTTACATCCCCCTTATCCCCAGGGGATAAGCACAGCTCCTGCCCTGTGCCAGGCACAGGCATCCCAGCACCCTTGGGTGGGGATGTGACAAAAAAAGAGGTGCAGCTCTGGGAGGTCAATTTGCTGCTGTATCCAGAGGCTGGGAAATGTGGACTGCAGGAACCATCAATGGTCTGCTATTCCCTTTCCCCAAATCCACTGCCACCCTTCTGTGTCCCCAAAAAGGCTTGTCCCTCTCTGGCACCCTGGGATCAGCAGGAGAGGTAGCAAAGGTGCTGGCTCTCCAGCTGTCTCTGAGGACCTGTCTACCTGGCTCACTCCCAGCACCAGCCCCAACACAGCCTGCGGCATCCCAGCTGAGCAGCAAAACCACAAGGATTAGCACTGATCCCTTCCGGATAGCTCAGCCTCTCCCAGGCACTTTTTTTTTTCTGTCCCCGCCCTTAAGGCTTCAGAAAAGATTTTGGGTGATGCTGCCTGTCAGGAAACGTGCAGGGGGGAAAGCAAAGCTTTGTGTCACCGTGTCACTAATCCTTCCTGTTCCACTCTGCTACCAGAGAAGCTGCGTGACCTGATAAAGAAGAACGTTTTTGAGGCAATGTTTCCACTGCATGAGGTGAGGCCAAGTACACAGATGCCTGGGAGGAAAAGCCACAAGAGGTGGAGGAGCCAGACCGGGTGGGAGAGAGCTTTGGGTAACTGGGGCTGTATCGGGACACACCTGGATGTGGGGCACAACCGGGCTCCAGATGGGAGCTGGGCTGGGGATTAAGGTTGCCCTGATGTTCCTGGGTCCAATCAATTTCTCTGCTCTCCAGAAAGAAGAGGTAAGAGAATTCCTAAAGGAGAAGTGGGCTCGCTGGAGAGATATATTTTGCCAACAGCCGATTGAGAAGATCAGGTAACGTAGGCAGAAGAGGCACAGGGGATCCATCTAGCCAAGAGGCCCCACCTGAAACCCCTTCACCTGAAACCCCTTCCCAAGCTCCTGTTTTTTGTTTTGTTTTGTTTTAAATCATTAGTTTCTACCTGGCTCTTCTCACACGTATCAGGCCTTTTCTGCAGCTTGTGAAGTTCTTAGCCTAAAGGGTATCCCAAGGCACCAAGCTCCGTCTGCTAATTTTGCAGCATGAAAAAACCCCGCATCTGAGCAGCTTTTAATTAGCCTCTTTCATTTTCCACCACCCTCTTCCATGTTCAAAAGGAAGGTGAGATGAGAACAGAGTATCAGTGAACACATCCAGCCTGAGGCTGAACTTGGGACTTTAAGGGCAACAAAGGGCTCCTAAAGCCACATTAAAACTCAGGGAAGAGCTCAGCTATTTTAAAAAAGGGAAGAAAACTAAGTCTCCATGGCCAGGAAAAGGAAGGCAAAAATAACATGCTGCTTCATAAGGTTTTCAGTGGACCGTGGGAGGGAGATGAAATGCTAAAATTGCATTCTCTTTCCTTAAACGTGTCTTACAGTTTGCAAGTCTAGCAGGGGCACCAGGGAGCCTCGATCCCTCCATGGTGCTCGAGGTCAGACAAAACACCATTTCTAAGGTCAATGCATCCTGACCTGTTGTTATCACAGAAGGATCAAGGGGCCAAGTACAAAATCATCTTCTTAACACAGGCCAGGGAGCACATCACCACCTCTGACTGCTGGCAGGGAGTGAACCCCTCCGGAATATCGGAGGGGAGGCAGGTCCCTCAGTCAGTAGTTACCAGCATTTCCTACCCATGCCTCCAACCTTCTTGCCCACACAAGAAAAAATGAGATGCTGCTGTCAGAAGGATGAAACGTGGAAGTATTGCAGGGAGATAGATGATAGATAGGAGGGGATATTGCTCTGGTTGGAGAAACGTTGCACCTTGCGGCCCTCTCATCTTTTTGAAGCCTTTCTGTTCTGTAGACATGGGTTGCAACTTGGGCTCTCAATCACTTGCACCGCTTTTACCTAGCATACAATTCATCTGACCGCATTTACCCTTAAGGCAGTTTGCTTCAGTCACCAGGCTGACTGAGAACAGGAGAAAACACCTCGTTGCCTTCTCCAAACCCTGCAGGACATCATGCCCAGCACCACACGCCCACCAGGAGAGCTCTGTGTGTCTGTCCATCCCACATTCAGCTCTCAGATGGAGCCGTGCTCTGAGCAGGTCTTTGCTGTGCAGCCCCACAGCAACATCCACAGTGCTCTTCGCTGCATCCTCAGAGTCCACACACAGGGAGTCCTAGGATCTCCCTCTGCTGCCAAAATCCCCTGGGAACTGCTGCCCACTCCTGCTTCTTCCAGGTCACTTGGGCTGACTCTCCCAGTCCCAACCAAATGCCCAGATATGCAGCACTGCCCCTCCTGGACGTGGCTATCCCTTTGGGGGTGGAAGAGCATTTCCTAGTGACCCCAAGCAGCATTGTCTCCTTGTTGGCCCCAAAGCACATCTCACCTTTCCTTCCAGGTGCTATTTTGGTGAGAAGGTGGCCCTGTACTTTGCCTGGCTTGGCTGGTACACCTACCTGCTGGGGTTCGCTGCGTTGATGGGCCTGGTGGTCTTTGTGGCTGGGATTACTGTTTTCAACTCCAGCCAGGTGAGGTAAGGCAGCTGAGAACACCAAATGCACATCCCCTTCACCACCCTTTGCTGTGCATATTGCTTTGACCACTGTCACTCCCCTTTGCTTCTCTCTACTCCTTCCTCTCCAGCAAGGAGATCTGCGAAGCCAATAACACCATCATGTGCCCACTCTGCGACCAGAAGTGCCCGTTCTGGCTGCTCTCTGACACCTGCACCTATGCCAGGGTGAGTAGCCCCCTTCCCAAGACAGGCTCAAGGTGAAGGATGGGAAAATTCCCAGCTTATGCTGTGCCCACGCCACCAAAAATAAAACCCCCTGTGCAAGTTGGCTACAACATGCAGGAGACCTCCACTGATAAGGAAGACAAGCTCTAGCCTGATCACGGTCTCCACCACCACCAAAAAAAATGAAAAGACCAAGGAAAAAGCACTTGGCACGATCTAACAAGTCCCCGCTGTCTATCCCCTTCCTGCATTTTGCCCTCCTGCACCATCTTTACCTGTCTCTTGGGAGATCAGGGTGGCAAGAGGTCTACTGAGTGCAGAGGCTTCTTCCCAGCCCTAAGGTGCTCCTTGGTGCCCCCATCACGTTCTTCCTTGATCTTCTCCAGGTCACTCACATGATTGACAACGAGGGGACAGTTATATTTGCCATGTTCATGGCCATCTGGGGTAGGTGTCAATGTCTCAGCACCACACACACAGAGCTTGCAAGGAGGAGCAGCCCGCCATAGCTTAGGGGGAGAGGAGGTGGAAGAAAATGGGACACCAACGCAGCTCCAGCATTCAGGGGCTTTTTAGTCTCTAGCTCCTCTACTTCCAGAGCCATCCGCTCCCCCTCCAGACAACACAAGGGATAAAATCATGCCCCAAATTCCTTTCTACGTCTCAAATACTCCTCAGCCACCCTGCCTGAGAGCTTTTACTCCTTCATCCACCACAGCCTCCACCCAACTCTGGTCCTTTTCTAGCAGCTGCCTGTAAGTGGACACAGCTGCAGGAAGGAGGCACCACCACATCCCTCAATAATCCTCCTCAGGTTGCCACACCATCTTATAGCTTCTCTGGAAGACCATTGGGCTCTGAGTCGGTGTGATCCCATCACCATATTAGCTGCATGTTTAGTCTGCTTTCACTACAGCCCTTTCAGTTACAAACACCACCGTGGTTTTAACCAGCCAGCACCTGGGCTGGGTGTTTCACTGCTGAGCAGGTTACAGATGTGGTCTTGCATGTCCCTGTGGGTCATCTTGCACAAAACAAGCTTAGGAAGGTGAATTAACAGAGTGGGTGGCTGTAAATTAATTTGCAGAGGCATAGCCGTGCTGAGGTGCAGCATGGGATGCCTATTATCTTTTAAAGCACATTTTTCATCAGTCCAGAATAACGTGGTTGGCTGGCCCCATGTAACCATGCCCACCACAGCAGACTAGCCCTGGTGCTTACTCTGGTTTAGATCAAATCCCTTACAGTCCCTAGAGCTGGCCTGACTCCCAGTAAAAAAACTCACCCCCGTACCTCCATCCTCTTCTTCACTGCTGCTCATCCCGGATCCTTTCTGGTTGCTGAGGTGCAGAGGTAGCTGCTTGTCCTTCATGGGCCAAGAGCAGTCCAAGCAGCTTTGCCATCAGGTTGGGTGGTAACACAACTGCCCAGCCTGTGCTGTGGAACGGAGGGGTGACTTCTGCAGGGCCATCCCTGAGGGTCACCGTGCTCCCACCTTCCCCCCACAGCCACCGTGTTCCTGGAGCTGTGGAAGAGGCAGAGAGCCACCGTGGTCACCAACTGGGACCTGTACATGTGGGATGAGGATGAGGTAAGGATGTCATCTTTCCTGCTTAATGCTTCCCTTTTCAGGGCAGGAGATAGCTAGGCTTGCAGAAGAGATGCGACAGAGGTATCTCTCTGTGGATGTGGACACATAATAGAGGCACTTAAGCAAGGGGCAAAGCCAACACCTGGCTCCTTTGACAGTCCCAGGAGAGGCAGACCCCTTCAGAGAGCTGAGCAGATGCTGGTCTCCACTCCACATTGCTATTCCCCTCTCTGCATTGCTAGCCCCCTCTTCACCTGCACGAGTGCTTGAACTCAGTCAGGACTGGCCATGCTGTTGTAGGTTGGGTTGGGTGCTCAGTTCTGTCCTCTGGTTCTGCTCATCCCCCACCTCCATTTACACGACCACCCTGGGCTTTCCACCACCTGGGAATGGCTCTGTTGGATCCTTCATTTTCCATACATATATATACGTGCATGTATTTGTTTTATTTATATATTTTTAGGAAGAGCTGGCTTTGGAGCTGATCAATAATTTGCAGCACGAACCTCGGCGGTACCAGCACTCCTACTTGCGCAGCACCATCGTCCTCATCTTGGCTCTGGTCATGGTATGTGACAGGATAAACGTAGGGTAGAGGAGGCAAACCCTTGACACTCTCATTTCTTCCCGTGAGTGTGACAGGCCTAAGGAAAGTCTAGATGAGGAGAGGTGGAGATGTCCATGTTACAAACCTCTAACCCTCCCCTTAAGAGGACTGGCTTGCTTTTGAGGCCAGTTGCACGTGGTAAAGAGAGGCAGTGTCTGAAGGCCCAGCGGTTCTCAGCTGGAACGGCTTCTCCTCACCCCTCCGCCCTCCTCCACAGATTGCTGTGCTGATCGGCATTGCCCACGCGCTCGTCATTTACCGGGTGGTCGCGACGGCTTTCTTCACCCAGAGCGACTTTGAATTCCTCCGCGAGCAGGCCAACACGGTGGCCGTGATGACAGGGGCTGTGCTGCACTACCTCTCCATCATCACCATGACCAAGGTGCAGAGTGTGGCACGGGGTGGGTGGTGGTGGGGTTCGCCCTTTTTTCTCCCCTGTCATCAATACTCCCCTCTTGTTTTACACTTCTCTCCTGCAGGTCAACAGGCATGTGGCCCTCTTTCTCTGTGACCTGGGTAAGGGAAACTGGGGGCTGCCCCCTACCTGCACCTGCACCCCACAGCGGTCCCCAAATGCAGCCAGACTCATGGCCCCTTCCCTTCCTCCACCTCTGCGAAGCATCTCCCAGGCAGCTCTCACCATGCAGGTCCCCAGGGAAATCAGCAGCTCAGCTGGCTGTCCCCAGACACGTTACGCTTTGGAGGGGCAGTGAGGCTGAGAGTTGAGATGAGCAGGAAGCCAATAACAACCACAAAAGAGCTTATAGCATGGTTTTCCTCCCAACTTGAAGCCCCCTTCTGCCCCAGCTTGTGGCTCTGAGGGATCTTTCTTCTAACCTGGGCTTACCACCCTCAAAGGGCTCAGGTAAAGGGGCAGGGAGAGCTCCACAGGGCGTAGAGACCCCTTTACAACCTCCAAGGCTACCACGGGATCCAGGGGGAGCGGGGCAAGGTCCCACCACTGTGTGACCAAAGCCCTGTTTCTGTCTACAGAGAAACCACGGACCTTCTCCCAGCGTGAGAACAACTTCACCATAAAGTTCTTCATCTTCCAGTTCTTCACAAACTTCTCCTCACTCATCTACATCGCGTTCTTCCTGGGGCGGTGAGTGGTGGCCGGAGGCCCAGGAGGAGCCCATCTCATCCACCCTCCTCACCAGAGCACAGCGCCCAGGGCAGATGGGAGAGGGCCACAAACCACTTGGGAGCTCAGCAGGGCTTTTCCCTGAGGGTGTGGTGGGTGGGGGGAGCCCCTCGCCTCTCTGCTGATGTCTGGGGGTCGGTGCTCTCCATCTCCATCCTCCAACGTTCATCCAGAGGGGGGGGTCAACGGTGGGGCTCAACAGATGTCCCTCTTCTTGCTTCCCTGCTCAGGATCAACGGCCACCCAGGGAACTACGTGCGCATCGCTGGCAAGTGGAGGCTGGAGGAGGTGAGGGACATGCTGTGAAACCCCCTGACGCCACACCACAACTCCCACCCTGCATTTCTCCCCTACCCAGCAAGGCTCTGCTGAGCCTCAGCTTGGCCAAGTAGCCCCTCAGGGCAGGTCACACTGCTTCTGGTGCCCAACCCCTCTCCTCTTATCCCTTTGCAGTGCCACCCCAGCGGCTGCATCACCGACCTCTTCATCCAGATGGCCATCATCATGATGCTCAAGCAGACCATCAGCAATCTCGTGGAGTTCCTCGTCCCGTAAGTTCTCCTCCAGCCTGCAGAGCACCTCCTGGTGTTCCTCTATATGCAGGACATCTTCCCAGCTCTTACAGAGAACAACCCTGGCCTTTGGGCCAAGATTTCCTCCTTTTCCCCATGTCAGGTCTCCAGGGCTGTCACTGCCAGCAGGTCAGCCCTGCTGTTCTCTGCAGGCAGCGGTACAAATTGCTTCCTCCCCTTGCAGCTGGATAGGCCACAAAATACGCTCTAGGCAGAAGCGCCCCAAGAAGAGAAACATGGTAGTGGGAGAAGAGGAAGAGCCTGAGGACCCCTGCAAAAAGCAGTGGCTGAGCAACTATCAGCTCAGCAAGGTCAACATCTTCAGCTTGTTTGATGAGTTCTTGGAGATGGGTACGTAGGGAAGGGGAGGGTGAGCAAGGAGGGGTGCTGTGTGCCGTGTCATATGTCCTCCTCGGGTGGGGAGAGCCTGACTTTGGGGAGCCCTTGTATAGGCAAGGGAGAGCTCTGAGACCCAGCTCCATGCCCAGCCCCACTCCAAGAGCCCTGGCACACTGAGATCATTCCCAAAGTCAGGGAGGACAGGCAACTACGTTGGCCTTGGGTCCCTGCCTAGCATCTTCCTCTCCTCCTAGGAGCATCAAGGTGATGGCCGTAACCCTTAGGTGCTCCCTCTGCTTGGCTGGCTCAACCAGTGCCCAGTGGGACCCCCACAGAGTTCCCTCTCCAATAGCTCTGGGAGAGGTGGGTGTCCCCTGTGGGGTTGTAGGGTCTCCAAGACAGGTCCATCTCCCCCTTTCAACCCTGTGAGGCCCCTCTGACACAAGCCATGAAGCAGGACAAGCCCACACTGCAGCTGGGTCCCTGTGGGATGACCCCTCCAAAGCAGCTCCGTGCCATCACCTGGCATTTCCCCCCTCTGCAGTGATCCAGTACAGCTTCACCACCATTTTTGTGGCTGCCTTTCCCCTCGCCCCACTGCTGGCTTTCTGCAACAACCTCTTCGAGATCCGTCTGGATGCCATCAAGATGATGCGGCTGCGCCGGCGCATGGTGCCCAGGAAGGCCAATGACATCGGTGAGACGGGGCCCTCTGTAGCTGCTGCTTGGGGAAACAGTGCAGGTGGAGAGCCCCTTCTAATGGGGGGAGGTCTGGAGCATCCCTTTGCCAGGGGCCGGTACCACAGGGAGAGCTGTGTTTTGGGGAAGGAGAAGCAAGTTCAGATCCTGCAGAGGTTGAAGAGCACCTTGTCTCTCTCCTTCTGGCCTCTTCTGGCTGTGCCAAACCAGCTGGGGCTGGGTTTGCAACCCCAGGGGAGTGGGAAAAAGCTGGCGGGAGGGTCTCAGTGACTGCTCCTCTCCTGCAGGAATCTGGCTGCAGGTCCTGGAGGCCATTGGCATCCTGGCTGTCATCGGGAACGGACTTGTGATTGCCATCACGTCTGACTTCATCCCTGTGCAGGTCTACAAGTACACGTACAGCCCCTGCATGACGAAAAACAGCACTGCTGTGGAGTGAGTGTTGCTGGGCAGGCATCCCCACCCCTGCAGCCCTGCCTGCAGTGTCCTGTCCTGCCTCTGTGCAAGAGTGTGAGGCTTCCCCCAGAGCGGGGAGGGTCAAAAAAGAGTTGTCAAAAGTCTTCAAAAAGAGAGTTTTCCAGATGGCACCAACTTCAGCATGGCAGCCAGCCTCTCACTCACATCAGTGGGTGAACTTGCGCCTCTGAATGGAAAGAGCATGGTGAAGCACCCAAGAGCTGCAGGGAGGACTTTCAGCTGGGTGCCTGCCCATGCCCTCTCCTCCCCTCCCTCTTTTCCCACCTGGGGCCTTTAAGTCCCCTGCCAAAAGAAAGGACACAAGAGCTGCAGTTTCCTTCAGGGCATGCCACAACTTCTCCAAGTGTGGCCACAAAGCAGGAATTTCCCCTCGCCGCAGGGTTCCTGTGCCCAGATGTGCCCTTTCCTCCCCCACAGCTGCCTGACCGGCTACATCAACCACAGCCTCTCCGTCTTCCGCATCCAGGACTTCGAGCACCACACAAAGCTGGCCGAAAATCAGACAGACATCATCTGGGACAAGATCACAGAGTGCAGGTACCAGCACCCCTGCCAGCCCCTCACCACAGCACCTAGCCCCTGGAGGAAGCCACCAGAGCTGGGACTGCCGAGGTGGGACGTAACGCCCTGTGAGGGGGGAGCCTGAGCTGGCGCTGATGGGGCTCTGCTGCAGGTACCGGGATTACAGGAATGCCGACGACTACAGCTACACCGTCCAGTTCTGGCACGTCTTCGCAGCCCGGCTTGCCTTCCTCATCCTCTTTGAGGTGAGCACTGAGGGCAGGCTGCCTGAGGAGGCACAGAGAAGCTGGGTCTAACGCAGGGGTGGTGGCATAGACCTGGGGAGCCACTCACTGCCCGCGGTGGCTCCGTTTGCTTTCTGCAGCACGTGGCTCTGTGTGTCAAGCTGATCGCAGCCTGGTACGTCCCCGATGTGCCCCAGTCAGTTAAGAATCACGTTCTGGATGAGAAACACAGCAACCTTCGGAAAGAACTGAGGTGGGTGATGCCCCAGAAGGTGCCAGGGGTTGCTGTGCTCAGAGACAGCATGGTGTTCAGCTGGAGACCTGGCTGATTGCAGGATCAGCCCACTCCAGAGCCCTATGATTGGGTTTCTTGCCTCCGTGGGCACAGAGGAGCATGGGGCTATGAGCCCCTGCCTTCTGGTAAGCTCCTCCATCACACTTTTGGAGGTAGCTACTCCCCAGCTTTCATTCCAGCCCCTCCTGCTTAGGGCCTACAGCATTAAATGTCCATTTAAAGGTGGGCTGCATGACCTGGGGAGGAGGAGCCACCTCCCTCCACACCTGCAGTGTCACTGAGCAACCCAGGTGCCTGGCTTTCAAGTGTCTCAAGGCCTGTGAGAAGAGTTCCACCTGGGGTGATTCAATACTAAAGCTCACCAGAGGAGTCGTCTGCTTGCCTTTGTCTTTTCCTTTAGGAAAGACAAGCTCAAAAACAAACAAAAAACAGCAGTTTTGTCCAAATTTTCCATTTAAAACTTTGCTGAGGGGTAGGGGGGCAACCCACAAAACAATTTCAGCTGGAGGCAAAACCAACTTAGCAGAAAGCTGTAGGTGCTGCTGTCCTCTGGGACTGAACCCTGCTTTGGAGGGGGGCTCAGCCTGCCCCTCCCCTGAAATCCAGGTGAGAGCAGAGCTGTGTGGGGTTTGGGAAACATCACACCACCACCATCCAGCTCCCAGGCTGCAGCTTCCCATCAGCAGAGAGATTTGCACACACAGGGACTTCCCACAGACAGCGGATCATTCTCCACTTCTATCTGGCAAACAGCCCTGTTCCCGCTCAGAACATTTTCCCCTCTTCCCACCTTCCTTCCCGATGCAGATATCCCATCTGTAACCTCCCTCTCCCTTCTCCCCTAGCATGATGGAGTACTCCACTGAGGTGTAGCCTCCTCGCACTGCAGAGAGCAAGAAGCACGGACCTGAGCCCCTCTCCCCAGCCCGGCAGTGCCACAAGCACCGGAGGAACCACCACAGCACCGCTGGCAGAGACAGGCCACGTTCCCCCAACCTTGGACTTGAGCTGGGGAGTGACAAGGTGACGGCAGCTTCACAGAGCAGGATGTTTTATGACTTGCACAGCCATGAGGAGGAAGAAAGTCTCAGTAGAGACAGGAATGCTACCTGGGACACGGGCTGGGCGAGCGTGCTGCTGGTCTGCAGGAGGTGATCGAGCTTCCCCATCAGTCATCGCCTTCACATGCCACACAGCCTCGCAGGAAAAGGCAGCTACTTCAGTCCACATTCCCTCTCACTCCTTGGCACCTTTTTCCTCTACCTTCAGTGACCTCCCTGCTCCTGTACCGTCAAGAAAATTCAGTCCTTCCTCTCTCACACCAGCCAGCACAATGCTCCTCTCGGCACAACTACCATGTGGCTGCAACTCCAGCCCAGCACTTTCACAGGCTGGAAAAACAAACTCGTTAGCCTGAGTGGCTTTTGTAGTGGGCCCTGCCAAGTCACTGCACCTGCTCTGACTCGATTACATTCCCACCTCAGCTAGAATGAGAGAATGGTGAATAAACACACTAACCACGCAGGTGCAAGCAGCCTCATCTTCAGCTGCCATGAGTCACTGTAGTCACACTGGAACCATTCCCCCCTCCCCTCCTTTGCCATCCACATCACCCAAAGGAATTGTCTACTCCACCCCCTCTTTTCTTCATGTGGGTAATCAAAAAAGGGCTGGAGCTGGACCACTTGTACCTAGCTCAGCATTAGGGCTGGGGGAGAGGTGCTGGCTAGTGACAGGATTAAAAGAAGTTGGTGCTTTGACCATGCATAGTGGGAAAAAAAAATAAATAATTTGCTAGGGTAACAAAACAGCATTAAGCTACACAGAAAATCCAGAGTCACAGGGCTAGAAAGGGTTATTTCTTGCTGCAAAACAGGCCCACTAGCCTAAACACAAGCCCTGCCAGCCTGATATTTCTTCCCCTCTTCCCTTACAGCTCTCCCTTCTACCTACAAACACAAGGGGGTTTTGTCTGTAGCAGAGCAGGGGCTACGTGCCACAGCTGGTCTGGTGTCACAGCCATCACTGTGGATTTTCAAATATTTATTTCCAGTCTCTTTGCTTTGCTTACTGCCAGGCCTACCTGAAGATTTACCAACTCAAGGTAGAGCTATTTGCCTGAAAGGAACGATGTGTTTGTTTGGCACTACACAGAAATGAGAATGTGCCCTCAAATGTGGGATCCTTCACTCAACGTTGGGTGCAGAAACAGCCTTTTGATGCCTCTTGCCATGTTAGACCTGTGTGCGGCAGCCTTGCTGAGTTGGGTTGGTAAACACAGGGAAACAAATTTTCTCTCTCTTTTTTTTTTTTTTTCCTAACTTTGATCCATGAGGAAGACAGGAGCACAGGCTGGGGCGTTATAGCTCAGTTTCCAGTTTTGTCATGGTCCCTGTAAGCTCTGGGAAAATCCACCGGGGAGTTTTAAAGCTGACCTCTGAATTTTAGGGTCTTTTTCTTTATGAGAACTGAAAACTTTTAACCAGTTTTGAAGTTTAACCTTCAGCTCCACACTTTCATTATCTCCTCTGTAAAATGGAAATACAAACCTCAGGTGAATTGTGGGAATGAACTCAATAAAACGTGGGAGCTACATGGGTAAGCATGTGTGTGAGCATGTGTAATAAGCGTATAGCCACGACACAAACTCAGAAAGATGCAGACAATGAAACCAGAGAAACATAGGTCAGGAACAAGTATTTCATTAGGACTCATCTGTCTCATTCTGTAATTAAAAGTCAGAATAATCCAAGGCCCTGTAAAGAAATGTACACAGTGATGCTCCTTCCTGTAACACCTGGAGAGTCCCTGTCCTGATTTAACAATGAAAAGCCACCACCTGCTGCGTTTCCTGGGAAAAGGAGAAGAACAGTGACAGTGATTAAATGTCTGCTGCTAGGTGCCTCCTCATCCTGTAGCACTGCTCTCATTTATGGGACGTGGAGGTGAACTCCGGTACACAGCCGCCTGGCAGCATTAAGTAGCTCAACCTTAATTAGCTTCAAGCTGTTAAATGCAGCAAGAACCAGCTATTAGCAATCTCCCATCAATAAAGTTATTTCCATCTGCCTCCTAGCTGGCAGAGAGCTCTTCCTACCTCAGCAGTATGTGCTCACCTTGGGCCAGGGGTCAGCAGCAGGGGGATGGGGTCACAAACCCCACAGCAGCACCGCACACCGAAGCAACAACCTCAAATCAAGAGAATTTTGGCTGCAGCTGGGGATGCAGAGCCAGCTCCTTCCCTACAGCTGCCCCATGTGTGATAACCCCAGCCACTGCCTGCCTGGCAAAACGCAGCTCTGTCAAAGCACAGAACGGGGGCAGAGCTATTTTATTGCTGAACCCCAAATATTTATGGTCTCCTGAGGGTCCCATCACATATTTCCAGCAGTAGAGGGGCTTGCAAGGACTCTGCCTTGCTACCAAGGCCAGAAGGTGACTCTCCCAGGGGTGACATGCCTGTGAGTCCCTGCCCAGAACTGCAGCAAAAGGCACCAAAGTTAACTCAAACCAAAAACTTCACTCCCACGGACGTGGAAAGCCACAAACCACCAAGCAGGGAAATGAAACAAACCATGCAATGCTCTCAGCCCTCTGGCTTGTTCTGTCCTTTTGCCACTGTGAGCAAGATCAGCTCCATTTCCTCTTGCTTCAACTTACCCAGGGGAATAACCCTGATAGACAAGAAAGGTTTTATCAGCCCTCAGGTCCCTATCCTGCCTCCTGCTGCCCTTGCCATTGACATGAGCTGGGGTTTGTCCCTTGGGGATCCTTTATCACAGAGCCATCAGGGTTGGAAAGCCCTCCAGGACCACCTGCTTCAACCACCCCCTACCACCAATGTCACCGCTTAACCATGCCCCCAAGCGCCACGTCCAACCTTTCCTTGAACACCCCCAGGGACAGTGACTCCACCACCTCCCTGGGCAACCCACCCCAATGCCCAACCCCTCTTTGAGCAGAAATGTCTCCTCATTTCCAGCCTGAACCTCCCCTGGCGCAACTTGAGGCCATTCCCTCTAGCCCTATCGCTAGCTATCTGCGAGAAGAGGCTGACCACCACACACAGGGACCACAAACCCTATGGCGAGGAGCACCAGCCGCACACAAACACAACCCCAGTCCCTCTATACACCCCTTTTCCTTTTTACACCCAAACTTTTCCCTCAGGGTTTAAATGGCTCGGGGAGGGGAGGGGAAGGGAGGGACTACAACTCCCGGCGTGCCCCGCGCGGGGCGGCAGCCATTGCCAGCCCGCCGGCGGGCGGTTGCCGTGGAAACGGGGGGGGGGGGGGGGGCACACGCTGACCTGTGCGGGCAGGATTTGGGATTTTTTTTTTTCATAGTTTTTAACAATTTTATTTTTTTCAACGGCTATCTGATGAGCTGCAGACAGAAGGAGCTGCGCTGGGGATAGAGCAACGGCAGGCCACCTGTGCAGAAGACCCTAGAAAAGCCTTTTTTAAAAAAATTAAACTTAATTTAAATAATATAAAAAAAAGCTATATATGCATTTTGAAAGTAAAAAAAAAAAAAAAATCAGCACTTAAAACATAGAAAAAAATAACAACCAGAAGGTGAAGCATTGGGGCCATGACGCCATCTCCCTACATCTTCCTGCCTCTGTGCATCCCTACCACACAGCCGTCCCACCAAAATCCCCCAGAAGCCAGAACTGTCCCCAATTTCTGCCCTTCTCGTGCCACGATGCTGCCTGGTGGTCGCTGTATTAATTTATTTCTAGGAAAGTCCAGCGGTGAGAGACACCCAGCAGTTCTTACCGCTCCCACCACCATCACTCTCCACGGGAGCAGGGTGTTTCAAGAGGAAATAGGTGCTTTTCTTCCCTTTTCAGCCCCAAACTGTGTGATGACCTCACTGAAGACACTGATTTTGGTGCTCTCGGGCACAGCCAGGTCCTCAGGCAGCAGGTCAGGACTGCAATGTCCTTACAGTGGTCATTCACTGCACCAAACATCACCGCAGCTACAAACATAACCCGTGCCTGCGCGTGCCGCAGTTCTAATATTTACCTCCTTGGGACATATCACAGCTGTCACCTGCTGCTCATCAGCAGCCACGTCTCACCCAGCCCCGGTTCCCCACTGCAAGCTGACCCCACATTACCCACTTGTTCCTGCAGAGATCCTTCGGGCACAGCTGCCACCCTCCTGGCCATGTCTGCGCCCCGCCATCAGTACCTCACCTTGATGGAGCCCCAGAGCACCGAGTTTCTGGGTGCTCTGCAAACCCTGTCCCCAAAATGCACCCTGGGCATCAAGTCAGTGCCTGTGACCTCCCCTCTGTGGCCTGGGGAGCCGGTGTTACCGGTGGATGCAGGTTTTGCCTCATCCCAACGCCTCCACGGGCTTTTCCAGCCACAGGGAGCCGGGGGGAATTTCCTCCTGCATGCACCCAAATCCCCGGGGGCTGCTTGGTTGGCAGGGTGCACGACTTGCCTTCCTTCTCCTTTTTTCTCCCTCCTTTTTTTTTTTCCGTCTTTTTTCCCCTCCCATAATGCCAAAGTTATTTTTTTTTTCTCCAACAGGTTCAGGTGGAGGTGGAGCAGCAGGAGGGAGGGAGGAACGGCCAACTCCTCCTGCAGGCCTGGCGCCCAGCGATTGGGGCGGCAGGGGAACCCAGCAAAGGGCACGGGCTGAACCGGGGAGGGGGGAAAATAATAAATAAAAAAAAAAAAAGGAGAAAAAAAAACTCCAGCAAGCACTGGTCCGGCAGGTCCAGTCGGCTCAAGCGGCGCAGGAGGGAGGCAGCTGGCAGGGAGCCCGCAGCCTGAGGAAGCTCCTGAAGGTAAATGCAGCTCTCCGCTGCTTCCCTTTCCGCGTCGAGGTTGTCTCGGACAGGGTCTGTAGGGTCTTGTCCTCTCCCCACAAGCCCCACCGCTCTCCTCTGGCTCCCCAGACAGCTTCCATCTTTGCTGCTTGCTCCTCTGCTGCCATGCTTCCCTGCTCATCTTGCTCTCTCCATGGCTTTGCTCTGGGGGGATGCCACAGCCCAACCATTGAGCTCAGATTGCTACAAATCCGGCCTGTTCCTTATCCCAAGACATAGGAAATGGGAGCGTGCTACACGTTGCCCTGTGCTCCTCCTCCAGCCCTACACTGAGCTGCCCTCTGGGCACTCATTTTGGGCCCCAGAACAAAGGAGCCCCAGCTGTCCCTCCCCATGGGACTAGGGAGGCATCGAGGGCTTCCCTCAGCTCTCTGGCAAGCCCACATTTTGATGGGACTTAATATTTGCAGTGATGAAATGATGTGAGAGTGACCTATCTGGGCTGGACGAAGTGCAGGCTGAGCATCCCACCAGGCAGGGAAAGCCCCACGGCACCCCAATACAGCCAGGTAGGGGAGGGGGGCTCATCTCCAGCCCCTGCTCTTCTATCATGGAGAAACCCAGTTAATCACGGAGACACCCAGTTAATATTTCAGGTATTGTTCAGCTGCTCAAGTGTTTCCTGTGTACCTTGATCCCCAACTTCACCTGGCACCAGGGCCTCTGTGCCAAAGGGAAGCAAGGTGCCTCCGTCCCCACTCCCAGCAGCGTCCCAGCATGGCTTCTCTGGGGACAAACTGGGTTTGATCATTTCAAAACCAGTTTGAGTGGTGAAGGGCTGGGGCAAAGAGGCAGCCAAGGAGGATTTTTACCCCTGCTGGCCCCAGCAGTTATGCTGGGTGTGTTTACGGTCGCGCTGCCTGGCAGAAACACCGACAACGTGACGTCCTTGCTATTCCCACATCAGCCCCGGCAGGCACAACACCCGCACTGGGGGCTCTGCGGGCGTCTTGGGACAGAGGAGCCCAGCCCCACCGCCAGGCTCTGCTTCACCGTTTGCTCCTGGTGCCTCTGCGAGCTATCAGCAGGGTGCGGGGTGTCCTCCCTGGTTCCCTTTCTTCCCCTGGGTTGATTGCAGCCTCTGGTCGTGCGATGCCAGCCGGGGGCTGGTCCCCAAGACACTAAACACGCAGGGCATGTTGTGTGGCTGCGCCTCTCCCCGGGCACGGCCACAGGGCAGCACCGCACCAAGCCTCCTAATGTGGCCAGGAGCACTGCACCCATTTAGATTAGCTCAACGGTATGAACGCTCACGAGATAGGGAGCCCGTGCTGCTATAAATAAACCACCCCATGGCTTAATTTGCAATCTCAATGGGCACCTTGGGCTGAAAGCAGCACCGTGGCCAAGCCGTGCGGCACGGAGGAGGGTCCCCCGCTTGCACACCTCGACAAGTGGCTGTGTTCAGACCGTGGCCTCTGGCTGGTTTTAGCTGGTGGAACATTGTCCCAAAGCCATGTTTTTAATGCCCCACAGCCCTTAGTTGGTCATTAATCGCCTCCTGACCAGGAATTTGCAGGCTGTGAGTTAGCACTGTGCAGGCAGAGCAGGTGACTTACTGGCTGTGCTTTGGCTTCGCCCCACGGTGGCACCCACCACCCCGTGACCCCAAACTGCTACAGGGGGGGAATAGGGCACTTGCCCAGCGTTATGCCAACCCAGGAAAGAGCACCCAGTGCTCACGGAACTGTTTCTCATCTCTCCCAGCCCCAGTCTGCCCCGCGGCAGTGGTGGCAGCGGCAGGAGAACTTTGCCCCCCCCGGCAGACGGCACGCCGCAGGGGCCCTCCTGCCACGGGTGGCCCGCCAGCAATGCCAGCAGCTGATCTCTCCTAACCATGGCAGGTAGGCTGCAAAATGAAACATTTCACATTTTTTCAGCTGGGGAGGACCCCGTGCTCCTTGGGCATGGCAGAGGTCCTGCTTGTTGCTCCGGGGGTGGGTGAGGGGCTGTCCAAGCCCCAAAAACCGGCCCAGCCTGCTGCAGCGCAGCTGCAATCGGTGCTTGCTGCCAGACCCCGGCGGCTGAGCTTGTTTTTCTGGGGGAGCTGGGCTGGCTACGGGGCTGTCGTGCTTTCCACGCTGCTGGAAGGTGTATCCCTGATGGCTTTCCCCTCTGAAACTCCCTTCCCACTGTGCCCCTAGCCCTTTGCAGCGTGCCTCCTGAACTTCTTGCGCCTGCTGCCAATGAGACGCTGGTGCTGGCGCTGGGGAGCCGGATAGCCCTGAACTGCACCGTGCGCTGGGCAGCCACTGAGCACTGCGAGCCTGTCTCCTCCTGGACCAAAGACGGGCAGTGGCTGGGCAGCGAGAGCAGCCAAGACACCACTTGGTAAGTAGCCTGCCCCAGGGTACGTCTGCCTGCCTGTCTGTCTGGGTTGCCCAACCCACGGGAGCTCCTTCTCTCTCCAGGTTTGGCCAAAATGCCTCGGAGCACCTCCTCGCCACCGTCCTGCAGGTCAACCTCACGCATGATGCTGACTTTGGGGTGTTTGCCTGCTGGGTCAGCAACGCCACGGCCACCTTCACCCTGCGGCGAGAGGGTAGGGGCACATGGGGACCAAGTTCTGGTGGGGACAGGGCAGGGGACAAAGAAAGGACACCCAGGAGGAAGGTGGTCACGGAGGGTGGCCACAGCAGCCCCATGGGTATCACAAAGCAGGCGCTGGGGACACGGCTGCATGTTGGGGTGCAGAGCACCATACATTAAACCCAGAAGCCTGCATCTGGAGCCACTGACCGCTCACTGTCCCCTTCCCCATCCTTGCAGAGGCCGCGGGGCACGTGAGTGCGGTGCTGGCAGCCCTCATGGTCCTGGCCCTCCTGGTGCTGCTGGCGGGGCTCTACGTCAGGTGCCGCCTGAGCGTGCTCCTCTGGTACAGGAACCGCTACGGCGAGCTGGAGATAAACGGTGAGAAGGGCGTAGAGGACATGGTGCCCCCCTTAGGACAAGCCTCCCCTGGGCCAGGGGCTCAGCAATGTGCAAAGCCCCCACCCCAAGATAGGCTCCCCTTTTCCCCATGGTCACTGCCTCCCCAGATGGGAAGCTGTATGATGCCTACGTGTCCCACGCCACCGCCCCGGATGACCGCAAGTTCGTCCACTTCATCGTGAAGCCACAGCTGGAGAACCGCTATGGCTACAAGCTCTTCCTGGACGAGCAGAACATCCTGCCCAACGCTGGTAGGCACCCAGCTGATGCCCACCCAGCCCTCTGTGGGGCTGGGCAGAGGGACACCTGGGCTTGGAAACCAAGAGGGGACAGGGGAAGGGCTGAGCTGCTTGTCTCTCTCCCACACAGAGCCATCAGCCGACCTGATCATGAACGTAAGTCGGTGCCGGCGCCTCATCGTAGTCCTCTCCGTGGCCTATCTGGAGCAAGACTGGTGCAACAGCAGCTTCAGGTACGAACCTGCTCCTGTCAGCTCCTCGGGGAGAGGAGGCAGTGGGCCCTCACCCTCCTGCCCCATGCCTGACTCACAGGGAAGGCCTTTGGAGGTTGCTGGAGCTCTCCAAGAAACCCATCTTCATCGTCTTCGAGAGCCAGTACCGGGAGATCACGCACCCTGCCATCAGCCTGCTGAAGCAGCACAGGAACCTGGTGACCTTGCTGGTGTGGCGTGCTGGCTCCATGGTAAGAGCGAGGTCCCACCCTGCCAGCACCCCCCTTTTGGATAAAAGTGCCCCATTTTGCGTACACTCAGTGATCAGGAGCCCTGTCCTGCTCCGGGGCGTCCCCCAGCCGAAGCAGCAAAACTTTGTCCCCATGCTGCCGTGGCTGCTCACGTCTCAGGGCCGGGCCATGAGCTGCATGCAGCAGGTTGGGCCGGTTTCTCTGCCGCCATGCGGGCACGCTGCCATGCCGGGAGCACAGCTCTCACCTTGGCTGAGCTCCCAGCTCCAGAGAGAGAGAGCCGAGCCCCACAGAGCCTGCCACAGCCCCACACGGGCTGGGCTGGGCTTTGCTGCAGTCCTAATTCAACTGGGTCCCTTCTTACCCCACGCAGACCCCGTCATCGGACTTCTGGAAAGAGCTGTGCCTGGCCCTGCCCCGCAAGGTGTCCTTCCAGAGGACCATGGGGGACCCGCAGACCCAGCTGCAGGAGGACAAGGACCCCATGCTGATCCTGCACAGCAGCTACCTGGACAGCCGTGGGGACCCCCACCCCGACGGAGACCTGGGTGCAGGTTTGTGTCCTCCACCTCCTCTCCCACTGGGGACAGATGTGCTGGGGACGGGCAGACACGTGCTAGGGGTCACCTGCCTGCTGTCTCTCTGTGCGATGCACAAGGGCAGAAGTTTGCTAGCCCTGGGGTACAGAGGTGTTAATTTTATTGGCAGGGCCCTGAAGGATCCTTTTGAGCCTGTGCCAGTGGGTTGGGGGGGTCAGAGGGGCTGCTCAGAATGGGGCCAGCCTCACAGCTTGCCCCTTTGGGCTACATTTACACTGCTGTAGTGGTAACGTTGACTTGAGCCACTTCCCCAACACCTAACCCATCTCCCCAACTCCTTCCAGGCCTCCGTGGATACCTTTTCAGAGGACCCCCACCTCCCCACGTCAGCAGCCTCGGGGTGCCCGCAGCTTTGGCCGCCGGCCCGCCGGAGGACACGCAGCAGAGGGATGGGCACAGAGCCGAGATCGACATCTCAGACCTGGGCTCGCGCAACTACGGCGCCCGCACAGACTTCTACTGCCTGGTGACGGAGGATGACATCTGAGCAGGGCCACGACGGGGAAACGGGGTGCCCCCCTGCTCCGCAGGACTGCATGGAGCCAGGTTGCAGCTGGAGGATCCCAAGTGCTGTGGCTGGACCAGCACTGGGAAGAGAGGAGCTGGCTCCTTCTAGCAGCACGTTCTCTGCTTGAAAACCACCGCAGGGCCTGGGCACCCTTGGGTGCTGGGTCCCCCTCCCTTGCCACGGGTGGAAGGGACATTTTTTCCACCTAACGGACAAATTTGGGGATTGACGATGCCCTCCAAGAAGCAGCGTGCACTTCTGTCCCTTTTCCCCTCATGCCTCCAGTGGCCTGGGCTGGAAAACCACTGGGAGCAGCCGTAGCACCGCCGGCTGCAGCACCCGAATCCCAGTGGCAATAAAACGCTGCTGCTTGGAGCAGCCCTGGTCTGTCTGCAGGGACATGGGTGGCACTGGTGTCCCAAACAGGATGAGCGTGATGGCAGCACAGGGCCAAGCTCCCCCACGCCAGCACCCCGCGGGCCCTCTCCTCCCCTCCAGCAGGCGCAGGGCTGTTGTTCAAGGCCTTTATTTCGGGGATACACAGTGCTCGGGGAGCTTGGACACGGAGAGCTGGGGAGACAAACGGATCCCCCGGACCTCGCTGGGCCCAGGCGTGCCAGGACAGCCGCATCGGGGGCTGCTGCAGCCCCTCCTGGCAGCGCTGCCTGCTCTCCCCTCCCCTGCCTGCCCCCCACCCCCTGTACCTATACTCTACCCCGTTTCCCAGACAGGGCGCGCAGCACACCCCAAGCGCAGGGCTCCCCCTACCAGCCCCAAACCCCCTGGCAGACCCAAGCGACCCCCAGCCCTTCCCCGCACGCCCCAACCCGGCCTCTGCCTCTGCAAAGTGAGCTTTGGACCCATGCTGGCGCCAGCCCGCGCCGGGCACCGAGGGCATCTCCCCACCCCATGGGGAGACACCGCCCAGCAAACACGAGCTGTCTGGCCCTGCCCAGATCCTGCTTACGCAGCACCAGCCCCAACCCCAAGCCCTTAACAGAGCAGCAGCAGTGCCCCAAATGGTCCCTGTGGGGTGCAGGGATGGGGACAGCCCATCTTCCCGCAGCGGGGGCACGGGCAGCCTCAGGCACATCTCCAGGTGGAGCCCCCAGCAAAGGGAGGACTGAAAACCACAGCACTGAAGCCAGTCCCAGCTCCTTTCAAAATCTGGGGAGCCAACAGCAGCCACCTTGCCCCCTCCCCAGGCTCCCTGCATTGTGCAAAGCCCCGTCCCCGTGCAGCCAGGGCAGGACCAGTGGCACAGGCACCCGGCACGCTGCGATTTGGGGAGCTCGGCCCTATTAGTGGGGGGGAGCTGGAAGAGAAATTCCCTCAAAAGCCCCCCTCGCCACCAGCACTGCTTTGCAGGAGCCTCCCCAGAGCTTCTGCTCCTCGGCCAAGCCACGAGACGAGCTTGAATTGGCGCAGGAAGGAGGGAGGGGGGGGCTTTGCAGCACCTGCGTCTCCAGCCCAGGAACAGGGTGCCCAGCAGAGGGGTTGCAGGCACGAGGGGTGCAAGGAGCAGCCGGGGACTACGCTACGCAGCAGGGTCCTGTGGCGAGCAGCTTCCCCAGGGCACAGGAGGCAGCGAGGAGCGTCCCAGCAGGGAGAGGAAGGGCTGTGCAGTCCCTTCTCTCAGGGTTTGTCCTTACAGGCTGAGGAAGTCCTCCTTCCGGTACCCCTTCTGCAAGAGAACAGGTCACCTGTCACACGCCGCGGGGACACCGCTGTCCCCGCTCCTCTAGGTGCCTGCCACCAAGGGGATGATGCCGTGGGGATGTCCCCACCTCTTCAGGAGGCAAAGGCAGAGAGGCTGAGCAAGCGGTGTGCCCGGATGCATCTGGGTGGCTCGGTTTTCCAGGGCGAAGGCCCTGGCCCTGGCTCCCTTGGGCTCCACCCCAGGACCCCACAGGAGGGAGGTACGTACCACCTTGAAGTCCCGGTGGAGCTTGGTGTACTGCCACATGTTGCCCAGGAGGCTGGCCGCCGCTCTGGATGACTTCTCGTTGTCCGAGCTGGAGCAGAGAGAGGCTGCGATGAGTTTTTGGGTGCCACCAGGCACGGGGTGCTGCCCACCAGCCCACGGATACCACCCCAGGAGGGCCAAGGACTTAGGGGAAAGAGGCAGAAGACTACAGGCTGGGGCCCACCACAACGGGCTGGGTGGCTGCAACAGGCAACCCCACCATGGGGTGTCCCAAGGAGGCTGTAAAGGGATGGAGGCCAGCCTAGAGGGCACTCTGTGCTGCTCTGGGGATTCCCAACACCAAGGGAAGGGAAGGGAGGCTGGTTGTGAGCCTCGTCCACCTCGCTGGAGCAGGGGAAGAAGGGGAAGAGCAGGACAGGACTGCAGGTCCAAGCTAGGAGAGGGAGCTCCCACCTGTCCCTTCTCTTCTTGATGTAGAAGAGCTTCCTGAGGCCATCGAAGTAGACGATGTCGCGGGCTGCCATGGGGCTCTCCACCACCAGGTTGTTGAGCACGGCAATGATGTTCACGATAACGTCAGCAGGAGGTGCCTTGTCCCCAACGCTCCCTGGCAGCTTCTCAATCAAGTGGCTGACCACCTTGGTTGCTGGGGGGCAAAGGCAACATGTCAAAGCCCCGGGGGAGGTGTGACAAGGACAAATCAAGCGAGATGGCGGGGCTGAGGCAGAGCAGAGCACACAGGAGACGTTTGGGGAACAGGGAACAGGGAGGACACCTCGCATGCCAGCACTCTGCCTGCCTCTAGCTGTGAGCTCAGCAGGCAGGAAGGTGCTGAGACACGCCCGCAGGTAACCAGAGGCCAAACCGAGGATCAAAAAGGGTGGAGAGCGTCCAGCCCCAGCCCTGCCCGGCCCTCCCTGGCACTCACACATCTCGTCCTTGTTGCGCGCGTGGCGGGACAGGTTGCGGATGAGCCCCGTCAGCGAGCGCAGCTGGTGGTGGTCGGCAGTGCGCACGCGGTCCAGGACGGGGTTCAGGATGCGCTCCTGCTCCAAGGCCAGCCGGCTCAGCACGCCCGCCCACTGCAGGGGCAAAAACACACGGTGGAGACACCCGTTAGGATCACCAGGCACCCACCTCCTCCCACCCCATTCCTCCTCCTCCCCTCCTCCTCCCCTCCTTGCCCAGCGTGGCCAGATGACCGGGCTGGCGAGGAGTGTGGTGGCCACGTCCCTCCAGTGATCAGCAGGAACAGCCCAGCGAGATGGGACAAGCCCAGGGGATGCTCCCCTCATGTGTCCTCACCCTGCGGTCCCCAGCAGTGATGTTCTGCAGGGCGCCCGAGGCTGCCTCGGTCGTGTGCTTGTTGAGCTCGCAGCGCTGCAGCAGCCGGTTGTAGATGCCCACGATCTGTGGGTTCCAGAGCCACTCCATGCCCTTGGGGTCCTTGGAGACCTCTGTGAAGGTGACGATGTCCGCGTTCAGGTAGTGCTGCAGGGATGGGGACAGGGTGCAGTGTTAGACCTAGAGGGGTGTCCCCTCCACAGTGCCCCTTGCCCTTGGCATCCCCCCGTGTGCACGGGCACCTCCAGGACCTGACAGGGACCCGGCAGGTCACACCCTTCGGCATGGGGAGGGCTGGCACCCATTGCCACACGCAAGTGCCATCTGATTCACCCTCTGCTGAGCTCACCCGTCTGTCCCACCCAGCAGCCAAGGCCAGCGTCCACCTCCACCCCGCTGTCATCACATCCACCAGCTGCTTCCCTGCCCCGGATGATGCGGCTGGCACAGCACAAAAAGGGTGACCCCCTCCCCAAAATCGCCCTCTCCCTGCCACTGACCTCACGTGCTTTCTTGCTCTGGGGGCTGAAGCAGCCCACCAGCTCCCCCGTCATGGTGCCACCGTTGTTCCTGCGGTGGCCCTCCAGGCGCTGGAGGGAGGAGGGGGGCATTTCGTCGTACAGGCGGTAGGAGAGGTTTCGCAGGACACAGACTGCATTCTCCACGCTCTGGGGAGAGAAACAGGGCACAGAGGGGTCAGTCCTGGAGAGCACAGAGCGTGGGCACATCCCCTGGGGGGCAGTCACAGGGGGTCCCTACTGGGGATCCACGGCCAGAGTCACACCAATGGCACCAAGGCTGGCAGCACCCCGCTGTGCCCAGTAAGCTTGGACATACCCAGAGCAAATCCCAGGGCTCACCTTGTCCTCCGACTTGCCCACCTCCAGGGAGCTGTTCACATAGTGGATCATGGAATCCACCAGCCCGTGGCACTCACGCATCTTCTGCCGGGTCTGCTGGCTGGCAGAGCTGAGATTCCTGGGAGGGGAACAGGGATCCATCACAGCAAGAAGGGGATTTCCCCTGACCACCACCTCCTGGTGCCCCAACTCTGCGGGGAAGGCAGCTAAAGCCACGGGGCTGACAACACTTTGCCTTGATGCACCAGAGCTGCAAAGGATTGGGACCCCAGAAACAAGCCCTAGGGACCTTTACCCTCAGCAGGAGTGGAGCAGGTACCTGAGGAAGCCCGTGGAGTTGTAGAAGATCTCTGCCTCGGAGGGGTTTTGCTGGATGACACCTGAGCCACCCAGCCCAGAGAGGGGGACCAGCACGAGGTCTGTGAGCTGCTCCAGCGTGTCCCGGGCCAGGCGATCCTTCAGGTTGTCGCTGGAGGAGAGATTCCACAGGATCCCTGCACAGAGGAGAGGGATCCTCAGACCTGGGGACAGCTGGAGAGCATGCCCACCCTGACCCACCTCCCCAGGGCTCACACTGGCCACCCACAGCCAGGCACAGCAACGGGACAGCTCGTGGCGGGGGAGACCACCCAGCTGGGTGCCGACAATGCAAAGAAGTTGTCCCCACCAAGGCGGGGGTGGATCAGACCCATCTCACGCCAGGAGGACCCCTGCCTGCCCCTGTGGCCATCTCTGACCTGTGACGTTCTTGCGGAGCTCATCGTCGGGCTCCCGCAGCGTCCTCATGAGCTCGTAGATGCCGTTCTCCTCCACCAGCGCCAGCTTGTTCTCGGCGTTGTCGTAGATGAGGTTGCGCATGGCGCCGGTGGCGTGGCGCTGCACCTCCTGGTTGGGGCTGTTGAAGAGCTTCACCAGCTTGGGCATGGCCTGGAGGCTGCGGGCCTGCGAGGGGAGAGGCCAGATGGGTTGAGAGGCCAAGCCCCTCTCCCTTTCGCTTGGGGTCTGGGGCTCCTTCCACCTCTTTCACCCCTCCAGGAGCGCCCCACGGCAGCAGAGAGGAGCAGGGGACCCGATGAAAGCACGGATAGCCCCAAGCCCCATCCCCTTTGGTTCGCAGGTGCCCACCTGCTTCTTGGCGTTGCTGTCGCTGTAGCATTTGTGCTGGAGGTAGGCAGCGCCCAGGACCTGCAGGTTGGGGTCAGTGGCTATCAGGTATTTCACCGCGGAGGGCAGGTCGATGTCGTCAAACCTGGAAGCCACAGGCAGATGAGGAAGAGCCCAGGCAGGACATCCCCTGAGGGTCTTCTACCTCTGCTCCCCACCACGTCCCAAATCTCCAAGACCAGCCAACCCATCACACTCCTTCCTGTGGCTGAGTGAGCATCTTCCCACCCTCACATCTCAGGATGGGCTGCTGGCAGGAGATAAAGGCACACAGAGGAGGTAAAGGCACTTAGAGGCCGCTCCACACCATGGTACCTCACTATGGGGCTGAATCCTGCCAACCACCTCACCTCTCCTGCTTCCCTCGCAGCAAGGCGATGCCAGGAGGGCTGGAGGGTTTTGCCCTAAACCAGCCGAGTGCCTAACGAGGACACAAAGGACTCATCTGCTTGGCACTCACCCTCCCGACTGCTGGGTGAGCAGTGTGCTGTGCCCGTTGTACATCTCCATGCCGCGTTGGTCCTGGAGGTGGTGGCTGGACTCGGCCAGGCTGCGCACGGAGGGCGCACGGGAGCTGTGCTCCACCATGCCCATGTAGGAGCCCCCGATGCCCGCCTGCGAGGACGGCTGGATGCTGCCGAAGGAGCTGGTGCTGAGCCGGGAGCGGTTGTTGCTCTGGAAGCGCTGCAGCGTGCGCATGGCCGGCGCCCGGATGGTGCGGCTCTGGGGCACCTCGGTGCCATCCAGCCAGTCGGAGGAGCTCTTGGCGTTGGAGCCAGCGCTCATCTGCCTCTCGAAGGTGTACGAGCGGGTGAAGCCGCCGTTGCCTTGGCTCTTGTAGAGGGAGCGGTGGCCCATGGGGTCCAGCTGATCCGAGATGACGCTGTAGCGGTCGTCCGCGGCGGTGGGCGGCAGCGGCCCGTCAGCCAGCCGCAGGGAGCGCAGTGACAGCGTGTCGAAGCTCTGCCGAGCCCGGTAGTTGCGCTCGTGGAAGGAGCTAGGCCGCGGGGAGGTGTTGGCAGCCTGCGACATGGCGTAGCCGGTGCCGTAGGCCCGGCCCTTCGCTATGCCCCCGTTGCTGATGGTCGCCATGCGTTTGTGCGGCGTGAGGTCCACCGCTGACCGCGAGGACCAGCTGCTGCCCTTGAGCGTGCCAAAATCTTTCTTGGCCATCGACTGATACATCTGCAGGGCGGAGAGCACAGGGTTAAGGGAGGATGGCCGTGAGCCTGTCCCCTCCATCCCCACCGCGAGCAGAGGGAAGAACAGAGCCAAGAGCCCCCTCGGCTCTAAGTTGCAACTAGAAAAGCTACAGCTAGAGGCTGGGCATCCCCGGCTGACTGGGAGATGGGTCCCAGTGCAGGGGCAGATAGCGAGCCCCCCAGTACGTACCGAGCTTTTGGAGTCCAAGCCATTGCTCTGGGAGCGGGAGCTGAAGGACGGGCGCAGGGTCGTGCCGTAGTGACCGCCTGCGGGATGGAGGGTGGAGGCAGTGAGGGGTGCGCGCACATCCAAGCAAACGGGGAGGCATTTGGGCAGCCTGGGACCGATGCAGCCCCCCTACCCTGCTGCCCTAGGGGTAGCAGAGCCCCACTGGGAGTTGCCGTGGTGCCAGGGCAGTGGCAAGAGGGATGAGCGAGTCGGAGGACTGGGGATGCGCCTGCCTTCCAGCCACAGAGAGCAGGAAGAGGCCGTGGAGACAGCGCGCCTCCCACGGCCTCCCTGCCTTTCATCGTGCCCCGACGGCGAGAGGAGTAATTGCTACCTTGGCAGGGACACGGTGGCTCAGCACGGCTCCCCTTGGCCTTACCCGGGCTGGGATCTGCGCTCAGAGAAGCCTGCTGTGCCCTGGCCGGGACGCTTAGACATGGCCTCCTGCCGCGGGAGGCTGCAGAAGGCAGAGCCGTGCCACCACAGCCCACCGGGTGGCCGTCAGCAGTGGTGCTGAGGCGTGGGTGCCACCAGGTGTCGGAACAGGGACAGCTTTGGGGCTCAGGGGTGAGCAAGGCAAGAGCTGGGAGCCCCCAAAAGCCAGTCCCAGGGACGGGGCACGAGGGAGGAGGACAGGGAGACCCTGCCAGCGCTGTGGCCACAACGGGAGCGTGACCTGCACCCACACCCAGCCTCGGTGAGCCCAGGGGTGCCGCGGGGGCTCTCCCCTCGCCGCGGCGCAGCCCAGGGCACAATGGGGAGAAGCAACAGGGCGGAGGCCAGGAGCTCAGACGTTAAATGGAGGCGCTTGGAGCCCGGCCAGCAAGGCGAGACGCCGCTGAGAACCCAGGGACGGGGAAGGCGCACAGCCCGCAATCCCCAGGGAGCACAAAGCGGGGAGCGGGACCCCACTTCCCTCAGGGTGGGGGGAAACTGAGGCACGGGGGGAAACCAGCCCAGGCTTCACCCTCTTTGCTCCGGGGTGTGGGGCAGGTGTGGGCACGGGAAAAGGGGAACCCCCCACCCCCCTCCAAAAGAATAATAATAATAATAATAAAAAGCCACCTGGCGGTCTCCCACCTCTGCCGTCGACCTGGTCGAGCACGGCGGCCTCGGGGTGCGCGGCGGCCGCCTGCCCCCGCAGCAGCATTCGGATGCGGACCTGCTCCTGGACGCGGGCGCTGCGCAGCCTCTGGGCCTCGGCTGCCTCCCGGCCTCGGCCATCCAGCTGCCGGTCGGAGGGCAAAGCCAGCGAGCAGACGCCGGCCTCGGGCTGCAGGGCCGAGAGCAAGAAGTTGTTCGTCTCCTGCATGGTGGCGGTGGCGGCGAGCGGGGCCGAGGTGAGCGGGGCCGCCCTACTACGCAGGTGAGCACGGCAGGGCGGCGGCGGGGCCTTCCCTGAGCCGTAGGGAGGCACCCGGCCCGCCCCGCCGCCGCCACGCCTCGGCGGCCGCCGCTCGTCCCTGCTTTGGACAAGGTGGCCGCGAGCCCCCCGCCACCATTGAGGCCCCCCCGAGAGGTTCCCACAGGTGGAGGTGCCAAGGGGCAGCCTCACGGTGACAAGGGTGTAAGGGGTGTGGAGGCTGCCCCAAAGGGGTTTGGGGGAGGACGTGCCTCAGGCTACCGTGACTCCCTTGGCAGGCTCCCCATTAAGCCCCAGAGCCTAACCAGCTGCCCTACCAGTAAGCCCCGGAGCTCCCCATTAAGCCCCAGACCCCTGCATTGAGCCAGCAGTGAGATGTGGACCCCTATGTGGTCCTGCCAGCCGACCCTCGGAGAGCCCCCGACCCCTGGGCAGCCTCCCTGTTGACCCGCAGACCTTTGTGTGGTCTCTCTGCCGAGCCCTAGACCCCAGCACGGACCCAGCAGTGAGACCTGATCCACCCCATGGCCTCTCCAGTCCATCCCAGAACCCCAGGTGACCCCCCTGGAGGGCCCCAGACACACATAGGGCAGCTCAGAAGGGTTCTGGACCACCAGCTAGCCTCCTTGTAGCCCTGGTCAGTCCCACCAGTGAGCCTCAGACCTCCACGTGCCATCTCCTCGGAGAGCCCCAGGTCCCAGGCAGCCCCTTAACACTGACCCTCACCCCCCAAATTCCCCCCACCCCAGCTGGGGCGCAGGGCTGGCCCACCAGGGGGCTCCACAGGGGGCAGTAATTAGGGGCCAGGCTCTCCCTGCTTTGCTTTTCAAATCAGCCGGGGAATTAAACAACAATAATAATAATAAATATAACAACAAAGGGGGCAGCTCAGCGCCGCCGGGCTGGTGGCTGTGCGCATGGAGGCAATGAATGTGGGGTGACTCAGCTGCTGCCGTGCACAGGCACTAATTAGGCTCGCCCCACCCACCCAGCCACCCTGGCCGACCCCAGCTTGGGGGGCACGCCTGCTTTTCCCCAGCCCAGCACGCTCCCGAAATCCCCACAGCTTTGTCTTGTGCCAGGCCGTAAACCACAGCTTTCCCCTCTGCCCAAATTCTTTCCCTGAGCCACGCACTCGTGAACTGAGCTGTGTACGTCCTCAGCCTCGGGACGGGGTTGGAGTGGTGTCCGCGGTGGCTTTGGTGCTCAGCGTCACCCGCTCCGGCCCCGCCTGGCAGAAGCGTCTTGGGGTTTGGCAGCTGGTGAGCTGGCCAGGACTTGCAACACCCAGCGATGACAGCTCCAGACGGCAGCTTTTGTGCTTCGGTAGGAGGGGGAAAAGAGCAGGGAGGAATGTGCCGCCGTCAGCAGGAGCAGCGGCTTATTCTGGGCGGGAGAGCGTTTTATGGCCAGGCAGCCTGTCCTCTGCTTTGATGTGGTCCCTGGTGCTGGTGGCTGCAAACCCCAAAACCCCAGGGCCACCGCAGCACCGTGCCCCGGGACCGATGACTCGCCCCCCGCCTCTCCATCTCTCCCTGGGGAGCTTCATAAGTTTGGGGATCACACCTGATCCTTCCTTTTCGGGGTCTGCAGCCCTAAGGAGACCCCGCTCCCAGCTCCGTGCCCACCTCGTGCCACCCCCACGGGTACACCAAGTTAGCAGAGCTCGGCAGGGCGCTCCCAGCCCGCATGAATCACGTCCCCCCCGCCCCGGGAGCAGGCGGTTCGCTCCCGGTGCAAGTTGCTGCTTGCTCGCGGCCCCATGCCAGGCTCCGAGGGACTCGGGGACACCCCCCAGGCAATGCCTCCGCACCCCCAAAGCGGGCAGCTGGGGCTCTGCAACCCCACAAAATCATTCAGGATGGGGCACTTAAAAAGAAAGACCAGCAGCACATCGGCACAGCGTTCCTATTTGGAACAGAACCAAGGAGATGTGGCCACAGCCGGAGCGACGCAGGGATGAAAAAACTCTGTGGACACACCAAAGCAGCAGCTGGCTCGCACCCTGGAGGCACCCCCATCCTCTCCTCTGTGCCACAACTACGCCGTGTCCCCCCGTGAGACCTCTGTGCCCAAGGGCAGGTTGTCCCCTCTGCCTGACTGGGTGCCTGTCCCCAAAAGCAGGTCCCCGGGGAGCCTGTGACTGCCGCTGCCACCGGCGGTTCAGGCAGGGAGTGGCTGGTGGCACCGCAGTGCACGTGGGCCACCCTGCCCGCGGTGTCCCTTTGACAGCGGGGACACTGAGGCACGAGGACATTTAGGGAGGGACAGAAAAGCTGCTTGGCCAAAGCTGGCCAGGAGCTGGCTGCTGACAGACCCATCATCCAGCACGAGCTGCCCCTTGCCACCTGGACGAGCTGGCTGTGGGGATGCCAAAGGGTGGCTGATGCCACCACCTCATCCCGGTGGGACCCACGGCCCCTCAACGCAATGACAACCTGCAGCGGGGACAGCCACACGTGTGCGAGAGCGGCGGGCACGTACCTTGTTGGGTGGCCCTGGAGGGCCGGTGCCCTGCAGCATCCTCCCTCCCGGCCAGGCGCGTGCCCCTCCGGGTGCTTTCGGGGGAGCCGAGCACCCCGCTGCTGGGGTCGGCGTTGCCGTCTGTGCTGTGGCGGGTGTGGGGCCGCGGCAGGGCCCGCCCCGGGAGCTTACCCAACCAGTCTCTTCACCGTTGTTTTGCATGTGTGCTCAAAAACCCGCTTGCCTCACAGCCAAGTTCGTGCTTTTGGGGCTCGTGACGAGGCTCCGGCTCTCGGTGGCTCTGTGACTTGCCATCAGTGGGGTTCCACGGGTCCCTCAGTCCCCGTCACCTCCACTGTGGTCCCAAAAGCCCTTTGGGGCCCCACCACCGTGCCCCTTTGGCTAATGCATCCTGCCCAATGTGGGCCATTGAGCCCCCCGCCCAGCACAGGGCACCCACGGGCGCAACAAGGGGCTTCCGAAGAAGACAAGAGGGAGCAGAAGCAGGGGAGGGGGACACAGCTTTTGGGGCAAGGGGCTCCCCCCTGCCCTAGAGGCTCCCGGGGAGCGTGTTTGCATGTGTGGGATTGAGCAGGAGCCCTTTGAAGCCCAGATAAGCCGAAAGGGAGCGTTCCAAACGAGCCAAACCAGTTTCAGGGCCATCTCTCCCACCAGTGCCGGAGCCGCGGCTCCACACCGCACCCAGTGCTTGCCAGCCCCCTTTGCCCACCACCACCCCTGTGCTCAGCCCCACAGCCGGCCCTACAGAGCTGCTGGGCCACAGGCTTGGGGCTGGTACTCATCTCTGTCCCCCCCCATCCCGCAGGACCCAACAAGCCCAAATCCAGCACTCCCCCGGGGCAGGGCGAGCCGCTCAGCAGAGGCCTCTCCCTCTTGCTCCTCAAAAAGAGGGGAACTGCCCCAGCCCTGCTGTCATTTGGGGTTCCCCTGCCCTACCAAAGCTGACACCGGAGAGGCTCAGTGTCCCCAGCGGGGTGAGCGGTGACAGCACTGGTAGCAGCAGCTCCAGCAGGAGCACTGCCCGCTCTGACAGCTGGAAAAGTTGTGCCTAAGGAAAATTGGCTTTGGGGATCACGCTGCCCATGAATTTTGGGGTCGGTGTGGCCGCCTGCCCTGCCCAGGACTTCTCAGCCCCGAGGCCACCTCCTGGTGCAGCAGGCAAAGCCCTCGCCCACAACAAAGCACTAAAAAAGGGCTCGAAAACGAGGGCAGCTGGGCAAGGAGAGCAGCCTGCGAGTGGCATCACGGGGATAAAATCCCGCTGCCTGCCCTCTGCCCTCATCCCACAGCAGAGCAACCCCAACAGCACATCCTGGGGTGACCTGAGGGACATTTCAGCTCCCTGGGGGTGCTCAGCCTCGCTGCATCACCCCCATGAAGGGGCAAGGATGCCCAATGGCCTGCTTTTAGCCCCTGCTCCCACAGTGGGGTGAGCTCCCCGTGTGGGGCACGGGCGGGTGGAGCCCAGGTGTGGGGTGGAGGCTCCCCAATCTCCCTGCAAGCCCGGGCGCGCATCAAAGGCACCCGGCTGCCTCCTCCTCCTCCTCCCCCCTTTTTCTGCACGTTGCCACCCAAAAGAACAGATCCTCACCCCGTACCCGGCCTCCTCCTGCTCTGCCTCGAGGTGCAGGGTGACATGGGGCTGGGAGGGAAGGAAATCCCAGCCAAGACATTGATTTTATTTTTTAAGAATTAAAAAAAACAAAACAAAACAAAAAAAAAACGAACAAACAAACAAATAAACAAAAAAACAACAGACAGAACTTCCTGAAAACAGCTTCCTACCTCATAATTTCACAGAAATTAGCTTGGAAACGTTGTTTGCTCTCCCCTGCTCCCGATACCTACTTCGGGCTCTGCCCTTTCCCCCCCCCCCACAGCCCACCCTCCCGGGCCTAAGCATCACCAGCTCGTCCTGCTTGAGGGGGTCCAGGAAGGGGCTCTGCCCCTGCCCCAGCCACCCACAGCAGTGGGGGCAAAGCCGAGCCCTCTTCTCCCCTCCAAGCCTGCCTCTGGGGATCCCGCTGGCCTTGGACCCCCACCCTGCAGGTATCTGCTCCAGCAGCCCCCCTGCAGAAGCTTGGCACTGGCATTTTTGGGGGGATGCAGAGTGGGCACCGCCTGCGAGCTTGGGTACTGCGTTTCTGGGTACCGCTTTTTTGGGTACCCTTTTCTGGGTACCTCTTTTTTGGGTACCTTTTTTTGGGGGGTACCTCTTTTTTAGGGTACCTCTTTCCCACCTCCAGCATCGCCGGCGCAGCACAGCCCCAGGGCTCAGCCCGGAGGCTTCGCCCCTCCTGACAGCAGGATGCCCATCGCCCCAGCACTAATGAGTTAATAAATTCAGTTTCTGACTAAGAAATTAGACCCTTAAGAAAAAAACCACGAGCCCGCTTTCGCCCACCCACCCCCCGTTCCCCAGTATCGCCCCCCCCAAAGTAACTGCGGTTCGTTGAGAGATCCTGGTGGCAGCGAGTGCCCTCCGTGCCAGCACCGGTGGCCACGGGCAGGGGTTGGGGACAGCCAGGTTGCGGCGGTGGTGGCCGACCTCTGGTGGGGCCTGGCAGCTGCAGGCCGGGCTCGGGGCGCTAGTCCTTGGGCGGCTTCTTGCTGC